CGCGCGCATGGGACATGTGCGCGTGCCTCTCTTCCTCTTCCTTCCCTTACCCATTTCCATTTCTCTCTCCTCTCTCCTCTCGTAGGCTCCAACTCACTCACCAGCCAACCCGTCCGCCCACCCGGTCAGGTTTGCCGCCTTTAATTAACCATTAATTAACCATTAATTAACCATTAATTAACCATTAATTAACCATTAATTAATCCCGCTCGTCAGGTTTGCCGCGTTTCGCGCGGGATCGCGCGCCTCGGACGGCGCCTGCACTTAGTACCATACCTCCATAGTACCAAACCCGGTGTGGGTTCAGTCCCGGTGGTGGTGCGGTAGGCGCGTACACCTCCCTCGACGACGTGTACGCACAGCCGTCGAGGCGGCGGGACGACATGCCCACCTTTTGGCTCGCCGAGACGCTAAAGTACCTCTTTCTCAACTTTGCCCCTCCGACCCTCCTCCCGCTAGACGGGTGGGTCTTCAACACGGAGGCAACGTCGCCAAGGGCTCGGCTTGCCCTTTGGGGCCAGAGACCCCCCACCCACCCCCCCGACCCGAACCCACACAGGCGCACCCGCTGCGCATCTTCCCGCGCGGCGCCGAGGCGGCGGGCGCCGCCGCCGCCGCCGCCGCCGCCGCCGCCGAGCAAGCCAAAGTCGCGTCGCTCGTCGCGCAGCTGCAGGGGCAGGAGCAGGCGGCGCTCGAGCAGATGAGGGCGCGCGCGGCGCAGAGGCAAGCCCGGCTCGCCCCGAAAAGCGCCCGCCGCTACGTCGGCCGCAGCCAGAGCCCCTTCTCCAGCCGCTGGGCAAAGCGCGCCGGCAGCCGGGCCCCGGAGCGGAGAGCCTCGCTGCGCGAAGAGCGGAAGGGGCGGATGCTGGAGATCGAGGAGAAGCTGAGGCGCGTGCACGGCGCCACCCGGGACAGCTCTGAGCACGTGCTCAAGGCGCCTTCTCGCGCAGGGGCGCGGCTGCGCCAGTCGCCCAGCCAGACCTCCACGTGAGAGTTGTGGCGTGGACTGCGGCGTGTCTCCGCGAGTTGTTGACGACGGGGGCGAGGATGGAGCTGCATATTGCCCATTGTGTACTCACACCACTACACTGTGGGGTGTGCCCGAGCATGATGTATGTGCGCGTCTGTGTGTGTGTGGGACAGACGTTGTTCTCCTATGCGCGGGGCTTCCCGCGGGGACCGAAGACGTAACAGCAGCAGCAGCAGCAGCAGCAGCAGCAGCCGCTTTCGTGAAACGCCGCGCTGTACTTTTTAAATACTTTTTCTCGCGATGTCCAAACCGCCGCGCCGCCGCTCGCGCCGCCTCGCCACCGCCGCCACCGCCGCTCCCTCGCCGAGCACGCCGCCGCCCGCCCGCCTCCTCGACCTCCCCACCGACCTACTTGTGCGCGTCGTCTCTCGCTGCGACCCCGTCGACATCGCTCGCGCCGCGGCCGTCTCGCTCCTCTTCCACGCCTCGCTTGCGCTGGAGGGCATCCGCTTGTGGGCGCGAGAGCGCGGCATCGAGCTGCCGGCGCAGTCGGAGGGCGAGGGCTGCGCCGTGCGGTGGCTGTGCTTCGCCGCATTGCTGTGCGAGTCCAACCCGCCGGCGAGGGCGGCGGCAGGCGGTCGGCACAGCCTCTTCATCGACGGGGAGGGGCGGCTCTCGTCGTGCGGCTGTGCGCCGTCCTACTCTCCAGCCCTGCTCGGCCACGGCGAGGGCGTGACGCGGCTCAACACGCCGACCCGCCTCCCCTCGATGGGTGAGCGCGCCGTGAATGTGTCGGCTGGCGCCGCGCACAGCCTCGCTCTCACTGCCGGCGGTGCTGTCTGGAGCTGGGGCAGTGGCTACTGTGGCCAGCTGGGCCACGGCGACGCGCAGCAGCAGCTGCAACCGACGAAGATCGAGGCCTTTGCTGGGTGGCGCGTCGTCGCCGTCTCGACGGGACGCGACCACAACCTCGCCCTCACCGCCGATGGCGCCGTCTGGAGCTGGGGCAGTGGAGCCTCTGGCCAGCTGGGCCACGACGACCAGCAGACCCAGCCGCTACCGAAGAAGATCGAGGCCTTTGCTGACCAGCGCGTCGTCGCTATGTCGGCTGGCGATAGCCACAGCTTCGCCATCACCGCCGACGGAGCTGTCTGGAGCTGGGGCGAGGGAGAGCATAGCTGCCTGGGCCACGGAGAGGACCTGTCGAACCAGCTGCTGCCCAAGAAGGTCGAGGCCTTGGCTGGCCAGCGCGTTCTCGCTGTGTCGGCTGGAGAGGACCACAGTCTCGCCATCACCGCCGACGGCAGTGTCTGGAGCTGGGGCCGCGGAGACCTTGGCCGGTTGGGCCACGGCGACGAGCAGAGGCAGCCGCTGCCCAAGAAGATCGAGGCGCTGGCTGGGCGGCGCGTCGTCGCTGTGTCGGCTGGATACAGCCACAGCCTCGCCGTCGCCGCCGACGGCGCCGTCTGGAGCTGGGGCTTTGGAGCCTATGGCCAGCTGGGCCACGGCGACCAGCAGAACCAGCCGCTGCCTAAGAAGGTCGAGGCCTTGGCTGGCCAGCGCGTCGTCGCTGTGTCGGCTGGACGCTTCCACAGCCTCGCCCTCGCCGCCGACGGCAGCGTCTGGAGCTGGGGCTTTGGAGCCTATGGCCAGCTGGGCCACGGCGACCAGCAGAACCAGCCGCTGCCTAAGAAGGTCGAGGCGTTGGCTGGCCAGCGCGTCGTCGCTACGTCGTTGGGAGGCGACCTCAACCTCTCCCTCACCGCTGACGGCGCCGTCTTCACCTGGGGCAAGGCTGAATATGGCCGCCTAGGCCACGGAGAGGACGAGTCGAACCAGCTGCTGCCAAAGAAGATCGAGGTGTGGGCGCACGGGCTGGAGAGTGCTTGACACTTGAGTCGAGCCAGGCGAGAATTATAGTCTGATGCTATGCCGCTGTCGTGGGACGGAGCTCCGTTGGACGTTTTCAAGATTAGCGTGTCAGAGTGAAATGGAACTAGCCTGTGGTCTTTTGCAGTGTGCGTGAACTGGGCTGGCAGCTTGGTAAAACCCTCCCGGGTGCAGCGTAACAGCGAGACCGCCGGTCTGACAGTTATCCGTACCTAGGATTTCTTTTCCATTGTAAGGAATCCTTGTAGGAATTCTAGTCCCACTACTGTTGCTCCCAGCGCCCTCCCCCGCGCTTCCTGCGGCCCTAGCCGATGGTACTAGCATGGGAGGTCATCTGGCTACCGCGAGAGCGACCCAACTCGTCGACCCATCGTCCGATGATGGTGCCGCAAAGTCAGCCTTCGGAGGCTATCGTGGGGTCGAGCCGGCAGTAGCCGTGACATGTCACATGTGGTTCCACCACCCCTCGTAGTCTTTGCCTCTGACCGCCACCGTTCCCAGGCTGCCTAATGGGATGGAAAGGAAGGCTCGACGAGCGTATAGAAGCGTGCTCGACCTCGTCGTGGCAACCTGCACGGCAGCGCTGGCAGGCGCGATGAGCGTCGTGCCACCTGACCCGAGACGGGTCGCAGGCGTCGTACCGAGCGTGTCGAGACCGTGTCCTGATGTGATCTGCACGGATGAGTCACGTCGGCGTCAAAGGAGCGACGTGCGACCTGTCAGAGCTTGCTCTCCGATCTCAGCGGCGTCGAGTCGTCTCCGGCGGCGACAATTCGGTACCTCCCCAGGACGCGCAGAGGCAGCTGCGAGTGCGACCCCGCCGAGTGGACGGTTGCACACCGCGCCACCTGCTGTGTGCAACCGTCTACTCGGCGGGGTGACAGCTGCCTCTGGAAGGCACCGAGAGGTACGAAATGGCGCAAATGGTCAAAATCAAGGTTTTGTAACGCGAGCTGTGCCACAGTGAAATGGAACTAGCCACACCAACCAACCAACTGTCCGGGCCCGAGTGCGCGAAGTGCGGGACCAGCCAACCACCCCCCCCCCCCCGGGGGGGGGCCTCTGTGAAAGCACGAAGATATCTCTCGGAAGTGTCGCGCCAGCGCGAGTGGCTCGGAGCTAAAAGGCCGGGCGCCCACGATGCCCGTGCTTTGCGATCGTACTTCGTGGCGGGGTGCACAAGCTGCAGGCGGCCTTTGCGACGGCGGAGCTGGCGCGAAAGGCGAAGCTCGAGAAGATGCAGGCGGCGTGGTGCGCGCGCGAGGCCGACATCGACGCACGCCTCAAGGACGCAAACGACGTGCTCGCACGCACGCTGCCGGCGGACCGCGAGGCGGCGCAGATGTCGGTGGACGTGATCAAGGAGGAGCGGCGCAATTTCTATACGGCGCAAAGGAAGGAGAAGGTGCAGCTCGAGGAGGCGCGGCGGACCGCGAAAAGCGCAAGCACGACGCCGAGGTGGAGGAGCAGCGTGTCCACAATCGAGACATCAAGGGCAAGGTGCGCAAGAAGTTTTTGCGGCTATTGCTCCAAACTTCGGGAGAGAAGGGCTACATATTATGACTGCATCCATGCGCCTGGTGCATGAGGGCTGTGGGTCGGGACATTTCACAGTCGATGGCGCCGATAATGACCTCCGGAAAGCCCTCACAATCGCCTCGGATGGGGTCCACCGGGGACATTCTCGAGCCCTCTGCGTGCCATCACGAGCCGGTGTGAGCTTGAAGACCCAAGATAAGTGCGGTTCGGGACAGCTCGGGCTTGCTACTGATGGGCCTGGGCCAGGAGAGCGACAGAGAAGGCGAGCTCGTGAGCTGAGAGGCTGGAGAGTCCGCGTGTGACCTTGTCGCGATAAAAGTGCTTCGTGGCGAAGTGCTACACAGCGAGTTAGGAGTGAGCGTCTTAGTGGCGAGGCGCGGGACCGTCTGTGGCGAAGTGGGTCGCATTCTTCCGATTTCCTCAACTCCGGGGTTTTTCTCTGATTTGCCGTCTCCTAGAGGTCGTCTCCCCACTAATGTACGTTGCGTACTTTTAGCTTACTGGCTGGGAGAAAGAGCAGGCGCACATCGCTTCCAGGGAGGGGGGCGCGCTTCTGCTCACACCACGTGCTAGGGGGGGGGTCCGACCCCCCCAGAGGCTTCACCACATGCTAGGGGGGGGGTCCCGACCCCCCCAGAGGCTTCACCACATGCTGGGGGGGGTGGGGCGTGAGCAGAAGCGCGCCCCCCTCCGTGGAAGCGATGTGCGCCTGCTCAAAAGGGAGAGGGGGTTGTGTGTTCTCTAGGCCCCTAAGGGCCCTACGCGCGGCGTGAGAGCTCGGAAGCGAGCTCGACGTCCCCGGTGTGCAAGCCGTTTTGTGAGGAAAAGACGCAGGCCTGACGTGCGGCCGATTGTAATCGAAGATTTGTACGCCGCGCCGATTTTTCAGCGATTTTTGCACGGCGTTTGTGCTCGCCTCGAGCTTTGAGGTAGGTCATGGCGAATGTCGTGCCGCCTGGGGTACTGGTCGCGCCTGGGGCGACACTCGCGCCTGCGGCAGAGCACCTCATCTACCTCGGCCGCGTGCGGCCTTGCAGGGCCATCGAGTACGAGGATCCCGCCACGCCGCACTTGGCAAAGCTTCGCATCGAGCTCCCGCCTCAGGACCAGTGGGCGCCGGGTTGCAAGTTCAAGTTCCACGTTCCGTGCGCCTGCAAAAAGCACACGTCCAAGTTTTTGAAGCAGCGACCGGGCCCCATAGCGATCGTCGTCTGGGACACGAATGTGTGCCCTCTGCTATGCTGTCTCGACGGTCGCTGTGCCAAATGCTCGCTCCGACGCTGGTACCTGGCAGTGGACCTAGCGGTGGCCTACAAGCGGTGCCGCGCCCGGCTCCTCTGCTGGCTCGAGAGGGCGCAGATCAGGATGCATGCCTACGGTCCGGACGGCGTCGCGAGACGGCGTGACCAAGCTGCGTTCGAGGCTGACTTTGCGGCACTGCTCCTCCACGACCCCCCTCGCCGCATCGTCCGCCGGTACGTCCTCCGCGGCGCCGATAGATGCGCGGCTTCTCGCCCCCCGCCTTCCAGGCCTGCGATAGCCGCGGCTTCTCGCCCCGCGCCCCGCTCCTCCTTGCCGAACCACGCCACCGTCAATGAGCTGGCGCGGCTGCTCGACTTGCCTCCCGGCGCGGCGGGCGAGCCGCGTTTCGTCGTCATGCAGGCCAACGCGATGCTCGAGATCGACCCGTCGGGCACCCTCAAGGAGCAGGCGGAGCGGGCGTTGGCGGTGCTGGTGGGTCCATCGTCGTCAGCGCCATCCGCCCTCTCCTCGTCGAGCTCCGCCCCCTCTGTTTCGGGGCGGGGGCGGGGGCGGGGGCGGGGGCGGGGGCGGGGCCTTGTGGGCAGGGGTTCACCTTTCCCCTCCGCCCACGCCTCCGCCTTCCGCGCCGCCGCCTCCCGCCCCGCAGCCAACAGCGCCGCCGCCGTCCTCCGCGCCTCCCTCCACGCCGCCCTCGACGCCGCCCTCGACGCCGCCCTCGCCGCCGCCCACGCCGCCTCCAGCGCCGCCGCGCCCAGCTCTGCTCCCTCCTCGGCGCCCCCCTCCTCGTCTCCCTCTTCCGCGCCGGGCTCTGCCCCGAGCTCCACTGCCTCCGCCGCTCCCTCCGCCGCGCCCTCTGCCGCTTCCGCCGCCGCCTTCGCCGCCGCGGGCGCCACCCCCGTCGACTTCGCCGCCATGGCCGCAGCCCACGCCGCCGCCTTCGCTCCCGCCGCCCAGCCCGCCTCCTCCCTCCCCCGCACCACCCTCCCCGTCGCCTCCGTCGCCGCCGTCGCCGTCGCCGCCGCCCTCGCCTCCACCGCCCTCGCCGCTCCCCCCCCCGCCGCCCCCGTCGCCCCCCCCGTCGCCGCCGCCCCCGTCGCCGCCGCCCCCCTCGCCGCCCCTCCCCTCGCCGCCGCCGCACTCGCCGCCGCCGCACTCGCCGCTTCCCCTTCGCCTCCCTCTGAGGCAGCAGCTGCGATGGCTGACTTCGACGCCGGCCTCCCCCTCGAGGACAACGCATCCTCCTCCTCCTCCGTCGAATCCGCCCCCGTCGCCGCCGCCCCGGTCGCCGCCCCCGCCTTGGCCGCCGCCCCCCTCGCCGCTCCCTGGCGGTGGCCTCCGTAACGCCCCCCCCGCCGCCGCCGCCGCCTTCGCCGCCCCTGCCTTCGCCGCCGCCCCCCTCGCCGCCGCCCCCCTCGCCGCTCCCTGGCGGTGGCCTCCGTATGCCCCCCCCGCCGCCGCCGCCGCCGCCGCCGCCGCCGCCGCCGCCGCCGCCGCCCGAACCGAGCCTGCCCCCTCCTCTTGCTCGATGAGCGAGGTGGGAGCCTGGCTGCCAGCGCTCTCGGCGCCACTTCCCCCGTATCCGGACCCCCCCTAGAGGTGTGCCGCGCCGCCGCCCTCATTTCGACCCAACTCAAACCACCAAGTAAACAAACCCACCCACCACCGCCCTCCTTCACGGCCGCCGTCCTCCTTACCACTCCCCTCTCCCCAACACTGCCAGGCCGAGCTCGGAGCGTCGCCGAGGCGGTGCACATGAAGCTACACGCCTTCAAGCTGCTCCAAAGCTGCTGGTCAGCTGGGGTGCTGCCCGCCACAGAGGCCGCGTTGCGCTTGCGAGGCGCCGGTCTAGCAGATGGCACTAGCCTGTACGTAAGTCTGATGTCTGTACGTTCGACGAATCACGAATGCGTAAGAGAGTATAGGGTGAGTCTGTACGGCTTCAACCTTTATGTGTACTGCAGTCGCGCTCCCAATACATGCATCACTTTTGTGACAGGTCTCAGACTTTGACGGTTTTTGAGGTTTGAGCGGCCATATCTCGGTAACTATTGATGGTCCACCGCGCACCGGAGAACTCATCGGCGATAGGGGGTAGACAGCGTCCTAATCTAAAATCTGAGGATTCAGGATTGAGGGCTTGCTTCAGTAAGGCCAAAGTGAGTTTATGGATGTGTGAAAACGGTGCGGGACACGAGGAGTCACGCGGACCGACTCGTTGGTGACTCTGCTGCACGGCGTTTCAGAATTTTTCTCAGCGTGAGCGAGACGTGGAAGAGTGCCACCGTCGGGTAGGACGGGTCGGCCCGGAGTATCAGAGTAGCCGTCGTGGTCGCGGCGAACAGCGCCGGCCACTCCGGCGCCGCGTCGGCAACGTGGGAGCATGTCCACCGCCACTTCGCGGTCGCAGCGCTGTTGTCGCCAGAAACGCCGCTCAAAGTCTGAGACCTGTCACAAAAGTGATGCACGTATTGGGAGCGCGACTGACTGTCGGGCAGCGAGAACAAAAACTTCACTCATCACTGCATGTCTCGCTTGGGCTAGTTCCATCTCTGAGCCCTGGCTGTCAGGCTGTCAGGTGCTGTCAGGTGATCTGTCGGGCTGTCGGGCAGCTGTCAGGCACTGTCAAGTGCCTCTGTCAGACCAGCTGTCGGGTGCTGTCAGTGCTGTCGGGTGCTGTCGGGTGCGTGTCTGACATCAGAGGGGCTCTGTAGCTGTCGGGTGCTGTCAGAGCTGTCGGGTGTTGCTGTCAGACGCTGTCGGAGCTGTCAGAGCTGTCAGGCTGCTGCTGCTGTCAGACGTTGGGCTGTTGCTGTCAGGTGCTGTCAGGTGGTGCTGTCGGGGTGCTGTCAGGCTCTGACACACACCAGCCACACTTATGACACTATCAAGAGGAGACCAGCAGGACTCTACTGCACACAGCACACATACTCTAGTCTCTACTCTGCCTCCGGTCCCACCAAGCACCATCTTCTTCATGGTGGACGTCACCATCTTCTTGTCTGCCGCACTGAGAGAATAGCAGAGAGGCAGGCTGGAGTGCTTCTTCAGGTACACCTTGCTGATGATCTGGTAGTTGCTGGTCCAGCGGAAGGCCTCCCCATCGTTGTCGCTCGTCAGCTTGTAGTACTTGCACGCTCTGTTCTGGTAGCGCGGGCCGTCTCTGGGGGGGTCCCGTCACCCTTCACCTCACGGTACCACCGAAGGATAAAGAGGCCCTTGGGGTCGTTGATGAAGACCCCGGTGCTGCGCTGACTCATCGAGAGCTGGCGCAGGTACTCTGCGCTCGAGCTGCCAGTGGCGCGGCGCGCGTCTACCGTGCCGTCGGCGAGACGGCCACCTGTCGGGTGCTGGGGAGCGCAGCTGGCGGCGCAGGCGCAGGCGGCGGCGGCGGCACAAACGGCGGCGGCCACCCCCACCCAGACGCTGTAGGCATATGACTGTAGGGCCCCAGAAGGCTAGCTGGTAGCTTCTCATTTGTAGTAGCACAGCCGCGGGTCCGCAGAGGTGGGGCGGGAGGGTTGAGAGAGAGACCCTAGGAGAGACCCATGAACATCCCATGACTACATGTCTTTGCATGTAATAGTTTTGTTATACCCTCATGGGGCACAAGAAAGAGGCTGCACGGCCTGTGTATGGTCTGTGCTGCTGTCGGGCTGGTCGGGCTGTCGGGCTGTCAGCGCTGCTGTCAGGCCACTGTGTGCTGTCGGGCTGTCGGGCAGCTGTCAGGCTGTCACGTTAGGGCCTGACAGCGACAGAGCCCCTCTGATGTCAGACTCTGCTGTCAGGCTGTCAGATACGTGCTGTCAGGCTGTCAGAGAAGTGCTGTCAACGCTGTCAGGCTGTCGGGCACTGTCAGGCGCTGTCCGGGGTTTGCTGTCAGGCTGTCAGACCAGGGCTCAGTTCCATCTGCGAGGCGTGGCCGCGCATGCGGCCCGATGGGGAGGAGCGGGGCGGACTACGGGGATCGGCATCTTACACGGCCCTTCCTTGCAGCGAGCCCACTCCAACCCACCCGCGCTAGGTCTCGGGGGACGCAGGGGTCAGCCCCGCGCGACCTCGGGAACTAGCCGGGGCAGTCGGAGAAGGGGCAACTCCGTGCACTGACGGTCGGCCGTCAGAAACCACGCCTGCGTGGATCGCGTCACACCAATCCTCGCTACCCAACGCGGCCAAAGGATATCCACCTCGAGAACCTCGAGAGAGAGTTCCATTTCACTGTGGCACAGCTCGCGTTACAAAACCTTGATTTGACCATTTGCGCAGAAAGGTACATCTCGGTGCCTTCCACCTTTGGGTATGTACCTTTGTCGCGCGCCGGAGACGACTCGACGCCGCTGAGATCGGAGATCAAGCTCTGACAGGTCGCACGTCGCTCCTTTGACGCCGACGTGACTCACCCGTGCAGATCACATCATGACACGGTCTCGACGCGCTCGGTACGACGCCTGCGACCCGTCTTGGGTCAGGTGGCACGACGCTCATCGCGCCTGCCAGCGCTGACGTGCAGGTTGCCACGACGAGGTCGAGCACGCTTCTATACGCTCGCCCAGCCTTCCTTTCCATCCCATTAGGCAGCCTGGGAACGGTGGCGGTCAGAGGCAAAGCCTGCGAGGGGTGGTGGAACCACATGTCACGGCTACCGCCGGCTCGACCCCACGATAGCCTCCGGAGGCTGACTTTGAGGCACAATCATCGGACGACGTCGGCGAGTTGAGTCGCGCTCGCGGTAGCCAGATGACCTCTCATACTAGTATCATCGGCCATGGCCGCAGGAAGCGCGGGGGATTCCGCTGGGAGCAACACGGAGCTCCGTTGGACGCGTTTTCAAGATTAGCGTGTCAGACAGGAGACAAGTGTCAGAGTGAATTGGAACTAGCCTTGCGTCCCGGTCGGGACCGGCGCGCCCCACGCGCCCACACCCGCATCCCGAAGAGAGCGCGAGAACGCGAAGACTCACATATGTTAGATCCAAAGAACTACGTCTCGTATGCAGAGTCCGACACCAACTCTGTAAAGACCCTGCGTACCGTACAGAAATCAGAATATACAGCGATACATCGCGCTATCTATAGACTATCATGAAGCGCTCATAAAACACCTTCCCCACAGCGCGGGGTCGACATGCGCACCACAACGCTTCCCCGCCACGGCGCGTTCCACGCACGCGCCTAGTCCACGAGCACGGGCGAGCTCGAGGATGGCGGCGGCGCTGCCGGCGCTGCCGCGTGCGCCGTCGCGGGCCTCGGGTCCTCCCTCGACCAGTCCGGCCTAAAAGAACCGGCGCTCGGCTGAATCTCGAATCAATCTCGGCTAGACCTCGAGTCTGCGAACGCAGATCTCGCGTGACCCTCGGCTAGATCTCGGCTAGATCTCGCCTCGGGTCTTCGATGACCTCGACGACGGTCTGGCCGCGCACGCGCACGATGGCGATCTGCGCGAGGGCGGCTCGCAGGGCGCCGAGGTGGGCCGCGCGCGACGCGCTGCGCAGCGCCTCGGTCGCCGCCTCCTGTCTTCGGGTCGCCAGACACTCTCCCGCGACGCGCGCGCCGCCGCACTGCACCTGGGAAGGCTCCGAGGGCCCTGTAGGCGAGGGGAGCTCCCGAAAGGAGAGGGAGGGTGCCGACGGGGGCGGGGCGCGTCCTCGTGCCCGTATACGGCGCGGCCATATCTCGGATAGATCTCGCGAGAGCCACGGGACGCCTCCTCGTGGCCGCCATCTCGCCTAGATCCGCACCTCCACGCTCGCCGCATACGCCGCGGCCCAGCCGGCGCCGTCCGGCCGCAGGTACTCCTTCTCGACGCGGAGGATGGAGCTCGACCAGCCGGCGAAGCCCACAAAGTGGTTCATCAGCCGGACGGCGTGCAGCGCCGGCGTCGGCGCCGCCGCAGCGGACGCGTTCGCCAGCTCGTGCCTCCGCACCTCAAGTCGGCAGTGGTCGAGCACGCAGCCGTGCAGCGTGCGCAGGCACGCGTCGCAGTCGAGCCGGCTGTAGAACTGCACGTTGGCCCACCTGCGTCCGTCCGCCTGGTGCATGAACGCGCTGCTCACCGGCCCACACTGCGCCGCGAGCGCCTCGACTCTGTGCGAGGACGTGTTGGCGGAGAGGCCCGAGATCTGCACAAGGTTGGTGCTGGCCTCGGGCCGGCGGTACAGCAGGACAACCTCGGAGTCTGTGCCCGTAGGCTGGGCAGCCGCCATGTGTTTATGGGGTACTCCCATAGGCAAGAGGAGGTCTGGAGAGGCCCACAGCGGTCAGGAGAGGCCCCAAGAGGGTGCTAGTGAGAGTCAGCACAGCGAGCGCGTCTTGGCGGCCACAAGTCCGCGCACAAAATGACAACAAACACACATAGACACACACACAAAATGATTTTTCGACAACCGCAGCGAAACGTGCCCGTTCAGCTCGCCGCTCCCTCGCCCACTCGCGCCCGACTTTCTACCTCCTCGTGATCCAACCCGCCACCCCCCTCGCCTCGTCACCCTCCCGCCGCCTCTTGGCGGCATTCGGGTGATTACATCACTACCAGTGTCCCCCCCCCCCCCGGGGGGGGTCTGCTCTGGGAGTGACTTCGAGAAGTCACTTAAGTGACTTCTCGAAGTCACTCGCCCCGCGGCCCGCGCGCGCACACAGTACGTGCTCTCGCGGCCGGCCCGTGCACCGTGCGAGCCCCGCGGACTCGGCCCCAGTCGGACCGCAATGGGAGAGGCTCCTAGAGCAGCCTGGGCGGGGTTCAAACGGCTTTGGAGCACTTGGGGCAGTTGGATGTTTTCTCCTTCCCCGTTGGCCTTTATACGCTTTTCTCGCCGAGTACTATCTAAGCCCATACCCCCCTCTGGACGCGTCCACCCTCCGTCCAACATTCGCCTCCCTACTAATACATATATATTCTTTTTGCGTATTCTTTCCGTATTCTGTCATGAAAAGGATGCTGTACCGTCGGGGGTAATCGACTGGGGACTGCATCAACGCGCATTGCTATGTCTATTCAGGGCCAGTTCGTCGTTTGTTGAGACGCGGCCGGTGAGCATCCCGTGGACGAAGCTCAGCTCCCACCACTCCCTTCTCGCGGGGAATAGACAACGACTAAAGGCACGGCACGACAACATATCGGAATTTGGTCACGGCTTACAACTGAATGTCCTTGCACATGCAGTGGTTGGCTCCGGATCGAGCCCGACTTGGCTGATGCCGCGGGGAGAAAACCGTTTTCTTTTGGGGGGCGGCGAAGGGGAGAGGGAGAGAGGGAAGGGGGTGTGAGCGATTCTAAGATCAGGTCTGCCACCTCCCCACTGAAAACGAAAATCGCGGCTGGAGCGCGGTAGAGGCGGTCCTCGAGGCTGCCGCCGCGGCAGAGGGGGTAGACGAGGCACGCTCTCGCCGGCGCCAAGCAGACGCTGAGCAGAGGGAGCAGGGACCGGTGGCACGCCGCGCTGAGCGTGCGCACCTCGCTCTGCAGCTCGGCGAGGCCTTGGGCGCCGACACCGACCAGCGCCCTCTTGACCGCGAACCCGCTCGCGACGCGCGGGAGCGACGGCAGCGCGTCGCAGCGGTAGACCCGCCCAAAGCCTCCCTCGCCCACCTTGCGCGCCTCGGCAAAGCCGTCGGTCGCCGAGGTAAGCTCGTCGAGAGGGACGGCGGCGGGCGGCGCGGCGGCGGCGGGCGGCGCGGCGGCGGCGGCGAGAGCGGCGACGCTCGCACTCTCCGCCGCCTCGGGGGTAGACAGCGCCCCAAAATCCACCACTCTGGGATTTCGCGCAATCGCTTGACTCTGAAAAGCTCGCATGTACCTCCTGCAAGCGCTGTGGTCGCCGCAGACTGGCTCCGACTTGACGGCAGCATGGAGACGTGATGCCTCCATGCTGCCGTCAAGTCGAAATCGACATGCGAGTCGATCTTTGGCTCGCGCCAGAGGTACATGCGGCGTTTCGGGCGACAACAGCGCTGCGACCGCGAAGTGGCGGTGGACATGCTCCCATGTTGCCGACGCGGCGCCGGAGTGGCCGTCGCTGCTCGCCACGACCATGCCTCAATCCTGAATCCTCAGATTTTAGATTAGGACGCTGTCTACCCTCTACAGGCCAAAGGCCATCTTCCGTCTTCCCTCCATCATCTCCAAACCCAGATTCCATCAACTAGAGACGCCGTCGGTTTTCCTACCAGGGGCTCTAGCGTGGCTAGTGGGTCGTGCGCACGAAGCACGATTGGTCAGAGAGACAGTTACAGTACGCACACACATGCGCGCCCGGTCGCCCCACGATCTCCTGATCCACGCCGCACACATAAAAGCCGTGTAGTCTCTATCTCTTTCGTGGGGAGGCGAGGGCACAACACATTATTGTGTGAGATAGAGACTTTGGCTCGACTTTGGCGAGCAAGGCCAAGGACACGCTACGCGGCGCTACGCAACGCATGCCAAAAGCCAGCGACTGGACAGCGGGTGCGCAGAGTGACACACCTCTCCGAGGATACGGGTGGTCTAAAGACGGTGGGCTTCGTGGGTGAAGTCGCCGGCCTCTCAATTCCGCTCGAGCTGAACGAGCTCGAGTACCTGGGAGCAGAGATCAGAATCGCGGGTAATCTCAGGCCATCTCGAGGAATCTCGAGGGAGGTTGGAGGTATGCACATCTCCACACGCAAGTGTGGGCCGAGGGCTGTCCCACGGAGCACACGTGTGTGTGTGTGGGGGGGGGGGCGTGTGTGTGTGTGCGTGAGCGTGCGTGTGTGCGCGTGCGTGTGTGTGTGTGCGTGCGTGTGTGTGTGTGCGTGTGTGTGTGTGCGTGCGTGTGTGTGTGTGCGTGTGTGTGTGTGCGTGCGTGTGTGAGCGTGTGTGTGTGACCTGGAAGAAGATCTCGGCGACGATGAGGACGATGACGAACCACTCCAGCATGTTGGAGTGGGACGTGTGCAGCTCGTTGGCGAGCATGTCGAAAAGCTCCTTGATGAGGTCGAGCCGCTTATTCAGCACGTCCACCCGCCGCTCGACCTGTCCACAGCTCGAGGCGTGAAGAGGCGCCGTTCACAGCCTAGGCCGCCGACCCACCGCAGTGCTCGGCCTCGAGGTACTTGGACACGCGCATGTAGATGCCCAGCCACTCGTCATCCTGAGGGAGAGTGAGGGAGAGTGCGGGAGAGTGGGGAAGGTGGCGGGAGGTGGCGGGAAGTGGCGGGAGGTGGCGGGAGGTGGCGGGAGGTGGCGGGAGGTGGCGGGAGATTGCGGGCCATCTCGGGTCCTCTCGGGTCCTCTCGTGCCCTCACCCTCTTTCGGGGTTCTCGACAGGACCCGTGTCTGATTTCTTCCTTTCTCTCTCACCTCCCAAAAGAAGTCTGGGTGCTCGAGCATGTCCGAGTGCAGGTTGATGGAGGCGCGGTCGACAAACAGCTGGCCTAGAAGACGCCGCGTCCTCTCGGGTCATCTCGGGACATCTGACCGGGACGGCGCATCAAACAATCCGCTTGGCCGATCATCCGCTTGATGTCGCGCCGCCCGAGAGAGATTTGGCCTAGGAGCAGACACGCGGCCGCGGTCGAGGACACCAGAACATGTCCCGAGCGCCCGAGCGAAAGCAGCCTGCGTTAGGTTGTTGCTCCCTGGGACCCGTGTTGCGTGGCTGACTGTGACTGTGATTTCGGCCCCGGGATTGTGCGTTTGTGTGTCATACGCCGACACGAGGGCCGTGAAGTACGGTCTCGTGTAGTGTATTCAGAGCACCGCGTGAAGACAACGGATGGGAGTACAGTGAGAATGCAGCGGAAGGCAGCGGAAGACAGCGGAGCCCGTGTCTCTCGAGTGCTGGTTGGGAGACGTGAATACGTGTTTCCCCCTCTAGCGAGAGGAGCGCCGCTGCGCGCCATCCGCTCCGGGATGTCGCGGGTGTCTGCGATCAGCTTCTCGATGGTCCGCTCGAACACGCCGAGCTTCGCAGACTGCGCGAGCCCAAACGAGATCGCGAGCTTCTCGGTCACCTGCCAGGCGAGATACGCCGAGATACACGCCGAGACTGGCCGAGGCCGCCCGATCCGCCCTCTCGGCTGTACCTTGGCTGTACCTTGGCTGTCTCAGCTGTCTCTCGGCTGTCTCTCGGCTGTCTCTCGGCTGTCTCTCAGCTGTCTCTCGGCTGTCTCTCCGCTGTCTCTCGTAACTCTCGGCTGTCTCTTGGCTGTCTCAGCTGTCTCTCGGTGTCTCTAGGCTAGAGCTCTACCTCTCGGCTGTCTCTCGGCTGTCTCTCGGCTGCCTCTCAGCTGTCTCTCGGCTGCCTCTCGGCTACCTCTCCACCTGCCGCGTCGCGAGCATGATGATGTCCTTGTGAAGCGCCGGCCGCCCCATCCCCGGCGGCGCGTACGCGAACGCAAAGTCGTCCACCTGTGGAGAGGACGGGGTCCGTCAGGGTTCGGGTACTGTGGGGGTAGGGGACGGGGTCGTACGGCGCACGGGCGGCGGCGGCGAGCAGTCCCGTGCGGCCGGACCCTCTCGGGTGATCTCGGGTGATCTCGGGTGATCTCGGGTGATCTCCGCGGCAATCTCGGGGCGCTGCAGTGCTCTCGGGCAGTGTGTGTGCGGTCCTCGTCGGAGATCAGCGGCTGCTGCGAGTAGTCGCTCTTGACCTTGGACTTGACTCGCTCCTCGTCCTCCTCCCCTGTTCACAGCTGCAGGTGTGAAGAGACGCTGCTCACGGCCGGCCGCGACTCGTGCCTCGTCTTCTCGCCTAATACTTCGGCCGGCCTCGGCTCAGCTCGGACAGCCTCGGACAAGCCTCGGCCCGCCCCTCGCCCTTCTCGCCAAAGCCCCACAAGACGATGCATCCGTACGAAAAGAAGAAAGCGTGCTCGTCGCGGTCGTCGTACCCGCCTGCGCCGCCGCGGCCGCCCGCCGCCTCGCCGCCGCCTCCGCTCTCTCCGCCGCCTCCGCCGCCGCCCCCCTCCGCCGCGTCGCCGCCGCCCTCCGCCGCGCCGCCGCCGCCCTCCGCCGCCTCGCCGCCCTCCTCCCGCCCCGCATCAGCAGAATGGCCAAGGGGAGCGAGGGCCGGGGCCGGGGGAGCGAGGGTCGTGTGGAGGACGGTGTTGAGGCCGTCCTTGTACACGGTGCACACGCGCCCCCGAGGCGTCTCCTGTAAGCCATTCTTCGCTCTCAGTCCTCACCCACACACTCGCTTCGACTCAGGCGCCGCTCTCCTGCGCGAGGCGCTTCAGGTCGAGCGACAGCGCGCAGCAGTACACCGTGCAGCGCTGCAGCAGCTCCCCCGAGTCCTCTCGGGACCGCCCCTGCAGCCTCGCCCGGCTCCTCGGCTCACCTGGCGTCCTCGACTCGCCCCCCGAGCCCGCCCGCGCCTCGTCGGCATACGAGCCGCGGGGCCGCGAGCCGCCTCGCCGCTTGGCGCTCACGCCGGCAGACCGGCGTGCCGCTCCGTAGGACGGCATCGGGTGGCGGTGCGACGGAGGCAGGCGCGGCCGGTTGAGGGTTTCCGAGGAGTAGCCGGTCAGCTTGCGAGGCGAGGCGTTGGCGGCGCCGCCGCTCCGCTCGTCCGGAAAGGCCCCGTGCGCGGGCGCGCTCGCAGTCGCCTCGAACGGCTCGGGGAAGGCATCCGCATTGTCCTCGAATGACAGCTCGTCGATCGGTGGCGGCGGTCCGGCGCCGCTGCTGTTGCGCGGACTGTGGCACGAAAGGTCCCGCCGGCCATCGCTGTGGACAGAGTCGGCGTCGCTCTCGGCATCACGCTCTTCACCCGCCTCCAGTGTGGGCGGCAGATAAGCCTCATGAGCGGGGCTCGGGCCGGCGGCGCGCTCGGAGCTCTCTGAGGAGCCGCTCCGCCTGGCCTCTTCACCAGCCTGCAGCAGAGGTACCTGTGGATTGCTGCTGCGCATGCTCGTCCGATCGCTTGCGGGCCAGCGCAATTTTCACACCTTTACCCACCCAGAGCGAGCAGTGGCATTGTCGGCGAGGGCAAACCGCCGTCGCCCCCTTTTTGCGGCGGGCGAAATGCGGTGGGCATCGCGAGAAAAGAATTTTTTAGGCGCAGCACTCTTTACCAACCCTTTGGCTTTGCCTCCCTCGGCGCGGCGGCCGCGGCCGCATCGCGCGCGTGTCCCTCGCCTGCGCCACCCCGGTGGCCAGCTCTGCCGCGCCCTCGCACGCCTGCTCCGCCGAGTGGCGCCAGACGAGCAGGTACGAGGCTGCAGCAGCGCCTAGAAAAAAGAAACGCCTCCGCGAGTCACAGCAGCGTCGCGCGAGGGCGAGCAAAGGTCGGGGCTGCAGCGGCGCGCCATCGAGACGGAGGAGCCGGAGAGGGCCTCCGCGAAGGCGTCGGCGAGCTGTGGCCGGTCCGGGAAGAAGTTGAGGTAGAGCATTCGCATCTGGTGCGGCGTCGCATCGCCAACCTCGTGGATGACGTCGACGCGGCCGGGTCGGATCATGGCGGGGTCGAGCCTAGGGGGTGGTATCGGATGGTCTCGGGTCCTCTCGGGCCCTCTCGGGCCACCTCGGGTCCTCTCGGGCCCTCTCGGGTCACCTCGGGTCACCTCGGGTCCTCTCGGGTCATGGCGGGTCATGGGGCCCTCATGGCGGGTCATGGCGTGTCATGGCGGGTCATGGCGGGTCATGGCGGGTCATGGCGGGTCATGGCGGGGTCGCCTCTCGATGTGGTTCGTCGTCATGAAGAGCAGGTGCTCCTCTCCGGCGGCGACGCCTGTTCACAGCAGTAGGTGTGAAGAGACGCTGTTCACACCATGAAGAGCAGGCGCTCCTCTCCGGCGGCGACGCCGTCGAGCGCGTTGAGAAGGCCGGAGAAGGAAGCGAAGGAGGAGCGGCGGTCCTTCGGGTCGCGGTCCTGTTGGAAGGGCCGAGGAAGGCTATCAGGAGGCTATCAGGAGGCTATCAAGAGGCTATCAGGAGGCTATCAGGAGGCTCTCGGAAGGGTCTCGGAAGGGTCTCGGACGGGTCTCGGAAGGCTCTCAAAGAGCCTTTTGGAAGGCGGAGCGACGTCCTCACGCAGCACCAGCGAGCCGGCGGGTGCGTGCGTGAGGGCGTGCGAGAGGCGATCGTCGGTCAGCCCTGGGTTCGGGTACCGTGGGGTAGGGAAGGGTGAGTTCGGGTACCGTGGGGTAGGGGAGGAGATGGGACGAGGTGAGCCGAAGTGAGCCGAGATGGGCCGAGGCGAGCCGAGGTGAGCCGAGGTGAGCCGAGGTGAGCCGAGGTGAGCCGAGGTGTAGCCGAGGCAGGACGAGGTGAGCCGAGGTGAGCCGGAGGTGAGGCCCGCAGCCTGGCTCGGCCAGGTTGAGCACGCAGATGTCGTACCCCAAGTGCCCCGCCAGCGCGGCGACGAAGGAGGACTTTCCCGAGCCGGGCGGGCCTGCACGAGAGAGAGAGGGAGGGAGAGAGAGAGAGAGAGAGAGAGAGAGAGAGAGAGAGAGAGAGAGAGAGAGTTGGACGGTGGCGCGTGGAAGGCTGCTTGCTGGCTGGCGGAAGGAGGACGTGTCCCGAGCCGGGCGGGCGAGGGTCAGCGAGTAGCGCGCGGGAGAAGCGCGGCTGCCGTGTCGAAAGGAATGGCTGCCCGTCGGGTTGACACTGCTACGATAGCAGACCCCCTGACTGACGTATGTCCCAACCCGTCAGCGCCCCCCCTCCCCCGGGCTAAATCTTGGCGCCCTCCGCAGCTTCGCCTGCCTCATACCTTTCTCCCACGCCCGCTCCTGGCCCGTTGGGCATGGCGTCCCAGTTCGTGCTCTTCAAGGGCTACCACATGGGCAGCCTCTGGCTTGCGGAGCGCTTTAGCGCCATGCCGGGCTGCGCCCTCGCCTTTGAGTACGAGCGCTGCCTTCGCAAGAAGGGCGAGATGCGAGGTGGCCCCAACGAGACCGCCGACGGGCTTCGGAGACTGCCCGCCGGCGTCGAGAGCGTGCCGATCCGCGTGCGGGGGCTCGCCACGAGCGTCGAGCTGGCGCAGCCCAGCATGACGGTGCGCTACCTGGAGACGAGCTGCGGCTGCGACCGCCGCCTCAACCCGAACGCCGACAAGCGAGAGACTCACACCCTCTCCGCCGCGGGCCAGCTCGTGCCCTCCGCGGCCGCCGGCGCTGGGCGGGACGGAACCTTTTGCTTTGGGTGCGAACCGGGCCCGGCCGCGCCGTGCCGCGCGACGGGCGTGTCGCTCGCCTCCTTCTCGGAGCCGCACCTGCGCCACCTGGCCGCCCTGGCGGCGCTGCAGCCGCGCCTCCGCGTCGTCGTCCTCCTCCGCACCAACCACGTCAAGCACGCCCTCTCGCTGCTCCGCACCGAGTGCGGCTCCCAGAACCACGCCTTTGTCAGCCCGACCCACGCCTCTGTCAGCCAGACCCACGCCTTTGTCGCGGCGCGCCCAAGCCCACGTGCGAGCAGCAGTGCGAGCGGCAAGCCGCGTCTGGTGATGCGGGTGCCGCCTCATCTCCTCCTCTTCAAGACGCGGTTGGCGGGGCTGGCCAACCAGCGCATCGCTCAGGTGGCAGAGAACTTTGCGCATTCGACCGGCCGCGGCGTGACGCGCTACGTCGCATACGAGGCGATGCAGCTCGACATGGCGGGCGTGCTGCGCGACCTGCTCGCCGCGCTGGGCGCGCCGCCGCTCGAGCGGTGGCAGGCGGCGCGGCGCGAGGCGGTGCAGGTCAAGGCGGGCTCCGAGAACGTCTCCGCCGCGGTGAGCAACTTTGGGGAGCTCGAGGCGGCCCTGCGAGTCAGCGGATGCCACCGCGCGATGCTCCTCGCCGACCGGCCGATCGTGTTTTCGCCTGGCGGCTGCTCTCCCGACGCGCTACCTCTGGCGCGGAGGGAGCTCGGTGCGCTGGGGAGGCGGATGAACCGGAGCGAGCACTGCGCGTGGGTCGGCACCATCGAGGGCAGACGCTTGCAGGGCTTGACCCGGACCACGGCGGTCGAAGCGACGGTCCTCGCGCGTAGCTACTAGCTTCTTGTATGTGTACTTTAATCCTGACAAAAAACAGCGCCTATTTGAGACGTAGCGCACTGCAACTCCTCCACACCTCTCTTCACAGGCTTCTCCAGTCAGTACAGGGCTCCAATCACCCTCTGATGCGCGGCCTGCTAGTGGCGCCCACGTCCACCGCAGCGCGAGAGCGACCTGTGCAGCCGCCAGCCGCGTTGCGCCGCTCCGTGCGCCGCCGCCAGGCCCCGGCCACCTCACTCGTTCTTGAAGTTTGGCTTCTCCTTGGCGGCGAATGCGGCCATGCCCGCCTTTTGGTCGTGCGTCGCGAAGGTGGAGTAGAAGATCGCGCGCTCGAAGCGCAAGCCCTCGGCGAGCGACGTCTCGAAGGCGACGTTGACGCACCTGCAGGTGTGAAGGGCAGGGGCGTGAAGAGTACAGGTGTGAAGGGGAGAGTCGCTCAGAGAGTGTGGAGAGCAGAGGTGCGAAGAGCGGAGGTGTGAGAGCAAAGGTGTAGGTGTGAGGGGGAGAGGTGTCCTGAGGAGAGGTGTGGAGGCTCGAGGTGTGAAGAGCGCACGTCTTCGCCATCGCCACGATGGGCTGGGACTGCGCCGCGATCTTGCCTGCGACAAGAACGAGCCATTAGCAGCCGATAATAATTGAACGACGGGCGGGGACTGCGCCGCGATCTTTGCCTGCTGTCTTGAGCGCGTCGTCGAGCAGGTCCGCGGCGGGCACCTGTTGACAGAAGGTGTCACCAGACTGCGTGCCTGTGATTGTGTGTGTGTGTGTGTGTGTGTGTGTGTGTGTGTGTGTGTGCCTGTCCGCTGCCCCCGCGTGCCCGTCTCTCTCACACCGCGCCAATGCCCCACCCGTGGCCCGGCTGCGCCTTCGCCTCTCCATCCCTCTTACTCATCTATCGGCGGGCACCACGCGCGCCACCAGGCCGCGCTCACGCGCCTCCTCCGCCGACATCTGGTCGCCTGATGGCATAGCGATCCGCCGCTCAGAACCGTCAAGGCAACGCCCTCCGCCACCAGCCGGCGTCGCCCGTGAGGACGAGCTCCATTGCGCGCGACTTCCCTACAGTGGGGAGACACTTCCTAGACACTCCTAGACACTCCCTAGACACTCCCTAGACACCTCCCTAGACACCTCCCTACCGTGGGAAGACACCAACGTCACGGTGAATGCAGAGGATCGTGCCGTGCACTCACAGCACTGCGCGACTCAAGGGGCTCCGTAGTACAGCCGAATACGGCTGAATACGGCCGAATACAGCCGCATACAGCCGGATACAGCCGCATACGTGTCCTCTCGAGCGCTGGTTTGAGCACAGAGGTTATTCCGCTCTCTAGGCCCGACTCGCCCACCGCGCGAGTGAAGCGCTGCGTGCCGCCCAAGCCAGGGATCGTGCCTGCGGACGCGTCCGTGAGCGTGTCGTGGGCGTGTCGTGGGCGTGTCGTGGGCGTGTCGTGGGCGTGTCGTGGGCGTGTCGTGGGCGTGTCGTGGGCGTGTCGTGGGCGTGTCGCAAGCGAGCATGTGCTGTCTCGGAAATGTCTCGGAAGCGTCTCGAAAGTGCCGCGCCGAGCTTGATCTCTGGCTGGCCAAACTTGGCCGTGTCCGCGGCGAGAATGAAGTCGCAGGTCATCGCGAGCTCGCAGCCGCCGCCGAGCGCGAACCCGTTGACGGCGGCGATGATCGGCGTCCTCACGGACGACAGCTCGTCCAGCTCGCCGAAGAGTCGCGCCTTGTGCATGTCCATGTACGAGAGCGGCTGCATGGCCTTAATGTCGGCACCGGCGGCGAAGGCCTTGTCGCCCGAGCCCGTGACCACGATGGCGCCAATCTCCGGGTCGGCGTCGAACCGTTTCACCTCCTGCACGAGCTCACGCACCAGCGTCGGAGACAGCGCGTTGAGCGCCTTTGGCCTGTTGAGGGTGATGAGCCCGACCGGACCGCGGCGCTCCTCGAGGATGCACGTCAGCGGGGAGGCGGTGCTGAGCCGCCGCTGGGCAACGAGAGCGGCCGGGCGGCCCAGCGAGGAGGCGGCGGGACGGCTCGAAAACATGTTGTTGTTCTGAGGACTGATGAGTCCCGAGCACGTCTCGGCCGGCCGGAAAAATTAGCGCATTCTCGCGAGACTGTCTGCCCGCACCGACGAGCACCGCGGCGCTCATGCGGCCGCTCTTTACCTATCTCTTCTTCTTCCGCCTCCTCCCCCCCTGCCCGTTCGCGCCGCCGCTCGTCCCGCCGCTCTGCGCCGCGGCCCTCGCCATCATCGCGGCGCGCACCTCGGCGTGCGACGGCGGCGGCGGCGGCTGCACCAATCGCGCGTGCGCTCGCGCCTATCAACTTGATCATGGGCCGTTGCTCATAGGCCATGACTAGCTCATACAAGAGGCCCACCCCTCGTCTCTCCTCCGGCGGCGGCGCGATGAGCTCGGCGGAGGCGAAGTCGCCCTCGAAGAACTCCTCGAGGATGATGGCGGCGGCGACGTCGTCGATCGACTGCGGGACGGGCGCGAGAGGGCACGCGGTGGGCGCGAGGGGCTGGCGCGAAGCGGGGCGGCCGCCGGGGGGGTGCGAGGGAGAGGAGCGCCTGGCCGCGTGCGGCACCGTCGCCGGCGTTGGCGCGCATGGACGCCTCCGCTGACGAGAAGCGCTCATCCCAGAGGTAGACGGGGCGCGGCGCCGCCTCACGTGCCAGAAGCTCTCCAAACCGGCGGGTGGCTACCGCCTGCTCGCCTTCGCCGCCCGAGCTGTTGTACGGCATGCCGAGCACGAGCTGGGATGCGCCCTCGGACCGAGCCGCGCGCACCACCTGCGCCGCGACCGCCGTCAGGTTGGCCGACTGGTCGTCGATGATGCCGATCGGGAGCGGCGCGATGCCGGCCGAGACAGCGAGGCCGGTGCGGCGTAGACCAAAGTCAACGCCGAGCGTGCGCGTGCCGAAGCCGCGCGCCGGGGCGCAGGCCCGAGACGCCAACCGCGCGGCCAGGCAGAGGAGGGCCAGGACCATATGTAGAGGCGTGACAAATCGGGAGGAGTCGCAAGCGAGAGCTGGGTAGACCAGGCCGCGACGACGAGACGACGAGTGGCTGGATCGCTGGGCAACTAAAAGAATTCTTGGGACACAAGCCTCTCTCACAGCACACTGGCACGACAAGGGCGCAGACTGGCGCGGACTGGCACACACACAGGCTCAACTAAAAGAAAGGGATCGGCCCGCACACACCACACACACACGCGCGTCCTCCCATCCCTCCCTTGGGTTGTCTGTTTTCTTTCTTTCTTTTTACACACACGCGCACCACACTCCTCTCCTTAAAATCCCTGTGTGGTGGCGGCGTGCCGTCCTCCCATCCCTCCCTTGGGTTGTCAGTTTTATTTCTTTCTTTCTTTCTCCACCCCTGTGTCAGTGTGCCTGTGGTTGCGAGAGACTGCCAGTGAGAAGCTGGAGGCAGGTCGCTAGACTGAGATGAGCCGCCAGTGGAGTTGGGAGTCCACCGTGCACCGCGCTGCGAGCCTGTCGTGTCCCTTGTCAGGAGCAGGAGAGCCCCACCTGTCCCCCTGATCGTCCTTCCAAAATCCTGCTCGTGCAGGTGGGGACCCTGTCTGTCCTCCTCTCCCCCCCATCCCTCGTTTGGGTTTGTCTGTCTTCTCTTTCTTTCTGTCATGACTCTCCTATGGCTGCGCACCGCCGAGGCGCGTGCTGCGTGCAGCGCAGACCGCAGTGGCATGAGAAAAGTCACGCGATGCGACTCATTTGTTGACGCAGTTTGCGGCTACTTTTTCTGGTAGCAGCAATTGGAGAAACGCGCGCATCTCTACTAAAGTAGAACAAAAAAGTAGTCTCTTAGCATACTGTTCGTACCTCATGCATGACGTAAGCTGCGAGGATGCTGTAGCCTTCACTTTCTGCGTGCCTGAGCTGGAAAGATTCACGGATGCACCCCGGTCGAAACAAACAGTTTTGGCTGTTTTTCGGCGGAAAAGACGTTTTGGGGGGGGCACAATGTTCGTGATTCGGTTTACGGAACACAAAGTTTTTGTCGCCCGATCCCGGATCCCGTTCCTTCGCCCTGACCATGTGGACGCTGTCTCTCCTCCACCTTTCCCTTGGCCAAACAGGAGACTTCCTTGTCGAATCGAACCTCAGGAGGGACGCCGCGTCCCCGCGGTACGACATGAACTGCGTCAACTGTTCCGAGCTTTGCGCGTGGAGCGACCACCAGCCGGGGTGCAACGGCGCATACGCCACCGCAATGGGGATGAAAAGGGAAAGCTGGGCCGATGCTGAAGGCACAATGAAGGTGTATCCCGAGGGGAGCTATGCGTGTATCGCCTGCCGCTCCTGCAGGCAGACCCTTTACGGGCAGCCGAAGTTCTGGTGTACTCTCTAGAGCTCTCTCACACCCGCCGTCCTGTCCTCTCTCCACCGAGGCTTTCGTTGCCGACTCTCGGCGGTGCTGCTCTCACCCTGCTTGGTGCCGCTCCTTAGGAACTTCCTTGACGTCAACGACGCCACCGACAATGACTGGGATTCCTACCACACGATGGCAAAGGGCCTCGCGGGGTGCTACTATTCCGTCGTTTCGAAGTACGACTACGGCCTCGTCTGCGATGAAAACACGAGGACGCTCGACGACTGGCGGAATACGCACTCGTGCCCCTATACTGTCGACGGCTCCTACTACGAAGGCCCATATCGAGACTGGTCATACGAGTGCGCCAAAACTGCCCAAGCGTCAAACCCTCAGGAAACCAGGTGCAAAGGTACGCTCGCGGACTACGCGTTCGGCTGGAATCCGCATGGCCTCTGCCACGTCTTGCCAGGGCGCATCTTGCTCTCGACCCAGGAGTCCTGCGGGGGCAAAGACCCGAGGAGCAGCACCTGCGCAGGCGTGTGTGTATGTGACTCCTCACATTCTACTCACACACACACACTCACACACACACGCACACATGCACACACACACACACACATACACACAGACACACACACACACACACACCACACACACACACACACACACACACACACACACACACTGCGCAGGCATGTGTTCGGACCCGCGCCAGCAAGACCTGAACATGTGCGCCAACGAGAACCGGGGCATTTGCGAGGCCCTGATTCCGAAGACAGAGCTGAGGCTGGGCCCGGATTCGGATCAGTCTGAAGAGGAGCAGGCAGAGGTGTGCGGGCGATATGCTGTCAATACGGGCAGGTCGATTGAATTTTGTGTCCTTTACTACCCGTGGTGGGACAACTACCGTGCGCATTGCGGTCAATTTTATCTCGCGCACAGGACGTGGTCATACAAGTGGGGAAACGGAATAGCGATGGCGGGGAGAAACCCTCCCATCAAAGACGACGCGAAAAACCTACGCGAAGCATCATCGGGGGTGGAGCGGACCTCCGCTGATAAGGCGACTTTGAATGACTACTCGGTGAGAAATGCATGGGGTGCCACCGGAGTCCGCATGAGTTACAGCTGCCCGGGCTATCACAACGGAGTCAGCTATTTCGTAAATGACCGACGAGCTCTGCCCACAGTGACCGCGAACGCTGGACTGACAGATTGCCCTCTATTCACGCACAACCCAGAGGGGCCCTTTGCTCGCTTGCTCGACTCCCTGAGCGAGGAGCAACAGCCGCTCCAGAACTGCAACCTCGCTGCCTCCGCAAAGCCAACGCCAGGCTGCGCAAAAGGCTTTGACAAGCAGCACCTGTGGTGCACCAAGTATCCAGATTGCCAGGAGATCGATGTGAACGACGAGCAGTTTGGTGTCAGGTTCATACCAAAGTCCTTGAGCACTGTGAACGATGCTCTTGGTCAGCGCACAGGCCGCTCAGGGTTACATCGACCGTCGCCGGACACACCGACCATCGGCTGCGTTGGGGGCGAGACTGACACAAACTGGTGCTGGGGCGTCGCCCCTTGTCCCCAGAAAGAGCACGTCGGGGCGTCCACCGCGTATCCGAATCCGTTAATCTACCCGCCGATGCCGCCGTTCCCCTCGGACCCCCCTGCCCCCTTGCCCCCCCCCGCTCCCCCGACCCCCCCGGCTGCGACGGGCAAAGTAGCTCGCGACCCGTACGTGAACTTTGCGTTTGGAGGCTCTGCGGACTTTCGCGGCCGCCACGACGCGCTCTACAACTTCCTGTCCGCGCCCGGCTTGTCGGTCAACGTCAAGACAGAGGAGGCAATCTTCTTTGCGCATCACGGCATGCTGACGGTCAACGGGACCTTCTTGACGGAGGCGCATATCACGGCGCAGCTGTCCCCACAAAAGCTCGCCACTGTCTCGTTCTGGGCGTCCGAGCTCGATCCAACCAACTTTGGCTGGCGAGTCATCAACGGGACCTGCGTCGGTCGCCCCTTCCGCTTCGGCAACCGCGGCAAGAAGAACTGCTTCGGCCTCAAGATGGCGATGGACTACTCGAGCGCCACCTTTGAGCTGGGCAACTGGACGGTTACGGTGAAGGGCGTGCCGTCCTGCGACACCGGCCACGACTGCCTCATCAAGGGGCCGGCGCACCGGATCGACGTCGGGATCACCGCGCGCGGCGACGCACCGGCCCGCGACAGGCCGCACGGCATCATCGGCACGCGGCTCGCGCTGCCGTCGCCGGAATGAGGAGAGTGATGCCGCGCCTGACGCGCTCGTTTCCTGTAGGCCAATCCTTTGCCACGCCGTCTGTGGAACGCAACGGCAAGCACGACCACTACCCAATTGCGGGCGACTACACCACCTCCGCCCAGGCTGAAGGCGCCATCGAGGGCACGGCGTCGGAGTATGAGATGCCGAGCCGCCACGCGACCGGGTTTGTCTACTCGCGGTTCAAGGCGGCAAGGATCGAGCCCGACTCGGCAGGGTTTTCCGGGAGCATTGACGCGTCATCCATCGAGCGCGTCGACGACCCCCCCGCCGAGTCGGAGCCGCGCCGCCTCGCCGAGCACACGAGCAGCGCGTGATTGCGCATGAACCATGTGTGCCGACATGGCCACCGTTCAGCAGCAGGTCCAGCGCGCTCAGCAGCTTCTCCGCGCCAACCTCTCTGACAAGGGCTGTGGAAAAAGAAATGGACACCTTTAAGCACGAACCCTAAACGCTTTTTTCTTGCCCAGCGACGAGCATACGGGCGTTACGCAGTGACCCAAAATGTCCAGCTCAGAGGCACACCTCCGGAGGCAGGCCGCCGCGCGCCGGCGACACAGCTCCAGCTGTCGAGCTGACCCGCAAAAGTCCTCTCAGAGCGGGGAAACTGTGGACACATGCGTAAACAAAGGACGGACGTTGCGCGACACATGCGTGAACAAAAGATAGGACGTTGCGCACCGACGACAGGGTGCAAGGGCCTCTCTACTAGACCAGTACTCTCGCGACATGCACAGGGCCTCGACGGTCGACACGGCTCTCGTCGAGCCGTGCGTGACAGCGACCGCGAGGCGTCGAGACTCGAAATCTACTCGAGGAGGCACGTGAAGTTGGCCTTGCGCGAGTACTTCGTGCCCTCGTCGCCGTTGACGATCAGGGCGTGGCGCGTGAGGCCAGACGTTGTCTGAGAGCGAGGTCACGAGCCGAAGCGCGCCGAGGTAGCCGAAAAGGGCAACTTCCTCCTTTGTCCATCCAGCGAGCGCGTTGAGTCCAGGCACACCAACGTTGCCGAGGACGTCGTTGACCCAGCCGCCGACCCCCTTAGGGATGGAAAAGTAGTACGGGAAGTTGCCGAGGCAGCCAAACGGGTCTTTGCCACTGTAGTGATCCTCGTAGCTTGCCATCTTGCAGTTGGCGATGGCCAGCTTGGGCGGGCAGGCCTTTGGGTGTTTGAGGAGCGACGTGCGCACATCGATCGCCTTGCAGGAGGGGAGGGAGGGGGGCGGGGGGAGGGGCGGGTGAAGTAGGGGTGAAGTAGGGGTGAAGTAGGGGGTGAAGTATAGGGGGCAGTCAGAGGCGCGCCCAGATGATGGGCAGCGTGATCCAGACCACGGTGAGGGTCACATCGTCCTGCGCCGTCGTCGTGCCCCAGAAGGGGTTGTTGAGCACCTTGAGGCCCTTGAGCGTGCACACGAGCGGCTGGCCGGCGCGCTGGCAGTAAGTCATGTACTGCATCAGGTACTCCCACGGCGAGATCTTGTCCCCCCCCAAGTTGGGCTTCGGCGGCCACGGCACGTTCCGCACGTCCTCGTAAGTCTTGGGTTCGGGGATCGACAGGTTGCGGAAGTCGTAGGTCTCCGGGTTGTTGTCGAGGATGTGGTTGAGGACGTACAGGGGACGGACAGCCTTGCCCTTCCGGAGTGCATTAGGCTGAAAGTCGGGCGGCTGCACGCCGAAGCAAGACGCGAGCGAGGAACCCATGAAAGCCGACCCTGGCTCGGGCTTGTCTGCGTACGGGTCGAAGGTCCACGTCCACGGGGCCCCGGACGGATGCCCGCCGCCCACGCAGCTGCTGGCATCCTTCATCCACGGGCCTTGCCCGTAGTTGTTGATCATCACAGCTGCCTAGACAGTCAGGGGAAGCAGGGGAGTGAGAAGCAGCATGTGCGAGCGAGAGACAGCCGGGAGGGCACTGGCCGCCTTTGAGACGCCCTGCGCGATGGTGCCGGCCAGACCGGTCGTCTCGAGCACGCCGCCGTCAGAGAAGAAGCAGCGCGTCGGCTCGCTGAGCGCTTCCGCGTTTGGCTTGGAGCGAGCCCACCTAAATCCCTAAATCCGGGCAACCAATTAGAAATGCGACCGCCGGGCCCCGGGCGGCGCGCGTCTCGTCGGCCACGTCCCTACCCCCAGGGAGGGCGAACCCAAACGGGGACGTGTTTTGGCAGTACATGCCCCTTTGCTCGGGCTGCTGCTGCGTGGCGCGAGACGAGCTCGCCGACGAGCGCTACTACTCGCAGTACCTCGACGACGACGCGCGGGATCTCGACGAGGCCCGTGGCGCCGCCGCGGCAGACCCGCCGCTCGAGCTGGCGCTCGGCGACTTTGCTCCGGTGCGAATCCTGGGCGTCGGCGCCCACGCGCGCGTCGTGCTCGTCCGAGCCCCGGGCGGCCAGTCATATGCGATGAAGCTGGCCAGCGACGACCCGACCGGCGCTCGGCGCGCGATTGTCGAGCGGCGCGTGCTGCAGCGGCTCCGCCACCCATTTGTCGCGCGGCTGCACTCGAGCGTCGCCACGCCGAGCTCGATCGCGCTGGTGCTCGAGTTTTATCCCGGTGGCGAGCTGTACGACCACCTGCGGCGCGAGGGCTTCTTCTCCCTCGCGCGCTCCTGCCTCTACACGGCCGAGGTGCTGCTCGCCGTGCAAGCGCTGCACGCCGCAGACGTGGCGTACCGCGACCTGAAGCCGGAGAACATCCTGCTCGACGCGCAGGGCCACGCGGTCGTCTCCGATTTCGGCCTCGCGCGCGAGGGCATCTCGCGCTTGCCGGACGGCGCGCGGTCGCTGTGCGGATCGCCCGCGTACATGGCGCCAGAGGTGCTGAGCGGCGCGGGGCACGGGACTGCAGTCGACTACTGGGCGCTCGGCACGCTGCTCTTCGAGATGCTGACGGGCGTGCCGCCCTTTTACCACCGCGACCCGCACCGCATGAGCCGCGCCATCCTGTACGACGAGCCAGCCTACCCGCGCCACCTCAAGTGGCCGGCGCGCGCGCTGCTCCGCACGCTGCTGCAGCGCGACCCCGCCCGGCGGGCAGGCTCGCCCGAGGCGGGCGGGCCCGCGAAGGTGCGGCGCGCGCGCTTCTTCCGCCGGCTCGACTTCGAGCGGGTGCTGCGGCGCGGCTACACTCCCGTCTTCGAGCCTCGCCCGGACGCGGAAGCCGCAGCGGGCGAGGGCGACCTCGACCTGCTCGACCTCGAGGAGCTGGTTGCGCGCCAGGCGGCGCAGGCGGGAGCCCTCTCGCCTCTGATGTGGCGAGGAGGAGGAGGGGCGGGCCGGTGGAGCGGGCCGCCACCGCGTACCGTAGAGGCAGAGGAGACGAACGAACAGACCAGAATTAGCTAGCGCCTTTCCCTGTTACCTGTTAGCTGTGTTCCCGCGTTCCCGCCTGCGCGGTTTCTGCTCTTTCTCTGTTTCGTTTATAATTACTTTATTCACGCGAAAGCTACACGGCTCACCTATGAAGAGTACACTGTACAGCGGCTCGTCCATATCCTCCAACGCTCCATCTACTGTACGTAGTACAGAAAAGCCCGCACACACAAACTGAAAGCACAATAAACAGGCTCACGCTCGGCTCGCGCCTCATCGGACATCGCTCATCGCGCCCCGCCGCCCCCAAGGGGAGGCCCGCAAGCCGTGTGCATGGGTGTGCGCGCGCGCCACCACAGCCACCACCCTCTCCACCTCCAACACACGAGACGCGCAGCAGACGTCGAGCCGCCCGCGGGGAGACGCACCGGCGTGCGGCGACCAAGTCCGGGGCTCCCGCCACAGAAGAGAGCGAGCTGGCGGGAGCCATCAAAGTCTTGCCCGTTGCCGTGCCGCGCTCAACCTTCATGTTTTTGATCTCGAGCAATCTCACTCACGCCGGCCAGGGCCCAGCCGGAAGGGGTCAGGCCCGATCGCGAGTACTCCGCCGCGGCCGCCTTGATGTCTTGCGGCGTCGCCTTCTTGCCGCAAGGGAGCACGAGTCGTGTGGGGTATTTGGCGCCCAACCGCAAGTCCCAACTCGCAACCATCTTGGCCCTCACGAGCGACGCCTCCTTCTCGGCGATGGATGCCAGAACTTCGGGTATGTCTTCGGCGGCGATCCAGTGGAGGGTGCGACGCCCACTCCCCACGTGCGCGCGCAAGGCGGCACCGATGTCGTCGCCGTCCATGGCGGCGCAATCCTCGGATTCGCCGGAAAGCCCGACGAGCGCGACAACGGCACCCGGGGAGATTATGTTGTGGAGCGGACTCGCCTCGCCGGTTGAGTGAACCACGGGTGGCCTCACGCCGTGCTCGAACTGGACATCCAACTCACCCGCTGGCAGCGGCGTCACCTTGAGCCGTGCACCCGCCATCGACCCGAGGTGTGACGCCACGCGCTGCCAACGCGTCGCCAGCGCGGCGGCGAGCGGAAACGTGGAGGCAGCGGTCGAAGCAGAAGTGCCGGTCGGTACCGCCTCAGCCGCACCCGCCGACTGACCGAGCTCCTCCGCCGCGGTAAGCCTGCTGCCATTGCTGCTCTTACGACTCGAGAAGGAAAGTGTCCGCCTCGAGAAGGAACGTTCCCGCCTCGGCACGGGCCACCCCTCGTCGGTGAGCACCTTCTTTGCCTCCTTCTTGCCCTCCGCATGGAGCCACGCGCCGGAGTCGTGAAGCCGGACGCGGCGTACCGCGCTGCGGCGGCTGAAGCTGAGCTGCTGGCCGAGCTGGCTAATTTCCTTCGCCAGCTGGGTCTTGAACGAGCACTGGCAGTTGATGCGACAGCACAGGGGGCAGAAGCCGAGGTCGCGAGCCGACGCCTCGCTCTTTGGAATGGAGCAGCGCAGGGAGGTGCCGGCGTGGCCCAAAGGAGGATGCGCGAGGAGGAGGAGGCCAGACGGCAAAGGCACCTCGACCAGCAGCGGAGGCACCCAGTCCTCTGGAACAAGGAAGCGCCACCAAACGCGATCCTCGGGAGCTACGCACGCGAAGCACGACGTCCTCTCAAACGGGGCGGGAACGCCGGCATAGCCCGCTGGATCATCCGCGGCTGCCTTGCTCTGAACCGCACCCTCAATCCACCCAATCTGTGCTTGTAGTACCCACAACCGGCTGTCATCCGTCGCGCCTTGAGGAAGAGAGGCAGAAGTGAGGGGGTTGCCGGCGGGCTCGTTGGCTGGAGCGGTGTCCATGCTTGTGCAGCAGCCGAAGCTTGCCGCGGCCCAAACCGGCGGGCGAAGACGGGCGAAGGCGGGTCAGTCGTTTCATCGCCCCGCCCCCCGTTGTGTTGTACGTACGAGCCAAACTCTTTAAAATCCCATCAGCGAGCCCTCGGGGCGCGCTCCGCGAAGAGAGGAGAGTTACTGATACAATGATCAATGTTTCACATGTCACATGAGAGCTTAGACACTTGAGCACTGGATAGGGTCGATTCCGCATGGTACGGGACCCCTAGAGAGAAGAGCGTTTGTTTGCAGACGTATCTATCTCGACTTGCACTTGCGTTTCAATAGAGCGTTAGAGCCCCACATGGACAAAGTGTAAGAAGCGGCGAGAACACTCAGGATTTTTAGTTTTATTGAGGACAAATAACTCCCCTCGCACATCTCGATGACGACACACTCAGCTTCGCGGTGTCCAAGCAGAGCTGCTTGTACTGCTCCACCGGCGCCTCTCGAGCAGGGTGAAAGCGCGATGGCCCACCAGACGCCGTCGAAGCCGAAGACCCTCCGACCCCTCAAGCAGAGTAGCCTGCCCGCTCGAGATCCGCCCTCGCCTTCGCCGCCATCGCCATCGCCGTGTCCCTCTCTCCGCCTTCTCCCTGCTCCGCCAGCTTCTCGAACTTCTCGAGGCGCGTCTGCAGCCGCGCGATCTCCTGTTGCTGCGAGTCGCCCCGTTTGCCGAGCAGCGCGCGCGCCGCCTTGAGCAGATCGCCGTCCATCCCCGCCGCCGTCGCCTCGTTGACCGCACGCGCGAGGTTGAACAAGTCCGCCTTGCCACCCACCTGCGCACGGCGCAGCGCTTGCGAGAGCATGGCCCCCTTGACGCGCGCCACCGCCTCAACCTCCATCTCCGCGAGCTTGCTGCGGGCCGCACCCACCTTCGCCGCGTCGACGCCGGCGGCCGCCGCACTCTCAATGGCGCCCCTGAGGCTCTTTAGACGGAGCGCGTCCGTCGACTGCGACCCTCCGCCGAGCACCTGTGCAACGGCCTGCTGCAGTGCGGAGCTCAGCTCCGCGTCCGCCACGCGGAGGGGAGATGCCGCCGCCGCCGCCGCCGCCGCCGCCGCCGCCTGCTCCGCCGCCGCCTGCTCCGCCGCCGCCTGCTCCGCCGCCGCCCGCCCTTGCGCCTGCGCCGCTGCCTGCGCCTGCGCCTGCGCCGCCGTCGCCCCGGCCGCAACCTCGGACGCAGCCGCTCTCGCGCTCCGCGCCGCACGCGCCACCTGATCCCGCTGCGCCACCGCGGCGGCGGCGGCGGCGGCGGCCTTCGCCTTTGCCGGCTCGATCTTGACATCGACGGAGTACTTCTTCTTTGCGAGCAGCGCGCACGCCTCGCGCATCGCCTCGCCCACCACGCCGATGCTCGCCGCGTCCTCAACGAAGTGGACGAGCTTCATCTCCTCCGACCGACCGCCGATCTGCGCGCGCCGGAGCGCCATCTGCAGCTTGACCTCCTCCGCTTCGAGAAAGGCGACCAAGCTGAGGTCAGTCAAGAGCGTGCGCGCCTCGCGCAGTGCAACCTCGCCCAGCCCGGCTGCCGCGGCCGCCTCGACCGCCTCAGCGAGCGGCTTGATGCTCTTGATGCTCGCGCCCTCCACCGCCCGGCTGAGGTTAAGCCGCGCCTTTTCACGAGGCGAGAGGCGGTCCTCGGCGGCGGCGCGTTCTTGCGCTGCCTGCGCAGCAGCCCGCCGCCTCGCGTCCGCCTCAAGCTGCCTCGCACGCGCCTCCTGCATCGAGCGCTCCATCGCCTCGAGAGGGTTGGTCGCCCATTGAAAGAGGGTCGTGAGCACGTCGGTTGTGGGTGGCGGCCTGTTCTGTGGCACCGGAGGTGATGAGACGGCCGGAGCTGGTTTGCGAGCATCCGCCGCTGCAGCCGCCGCCGCCGCTCTCTCAAACGAGAGCAGCTCCTTCCGCAGTGGCGCCAGCGACAATGCACTGACACCCACCTCTTCAAGCGAAGCGATTGCCGACTTGATGCTCGCGATGCGCGTTGTCGTCGACTCTCCGCTGTTGACGCCCATCGAGATGCCGCAGCGGGGGAGGCGGTATGCAAACGAGACGCCCGTCGCAAGCGTGAGAAGCATGAGCATTTCACTTAATGACACCAGCCAGCCGGTGCCAATGAGGTGCTCTTCGGTAATTGCGTGCGAATTCTCTTTTTCATCAAACCCGCAATCTAGGTCGGGGCTCACTGGTTTCGGCCCCGAACGGCGAAATTCTTGCTACTGACTGCCCACAAAACAAACAAAAATTCCCTGCCCACCCCTCACGCACACGCGGGCACACGGAGAGCGCTCATGGGCTCATGCTTTGGTGGTGACTGTGGTGTGGTGGTGGTGTGGGTGGGTGGGTGGTTGGGTGGTTGGGTGGGTGGGGGGGGGGGGTTGTGTCCGCTCCTGTCCAGATCCGAGCTAGGCCCAGCCGCTCTCGCAAGGTACGCCATTCTCGTTCAAGGGCGTGAAGAAGATGCGTGTGCCGACCGCCGCGAGATCCCAAAATTTGGCGCTCGATGTGATGCCGTCGGTCGGCACCATAGTAAAGGCGCCATCGGTCGCCTCAAATACGCCCTCGTTGGGAGAGAGAGAGAGAGAGAAATCGTTGGTGGGAGAGAAGTAAAGAGTGGACGTTGCCTCGCAGGCAACAACCCCCCTGCATGCTTGTTGTTGCTGTTCCCATTGCTTACCGGGACTACGGAAAAGGCGTCAATTGTGGTGTCGAGGACGCCCACGTTGGCCTCCCCCAAGAGGAGTGAAGTAGACGGTGGTCCCGAGAGCTGCGGCCGCAGAGTATTTAAACCCACCGTTCAGGCCTGTCATGTCAGGATTATCGGCCATGGAGCTGGTCACTGGTTCGTCGCGTCTTTCCGAAAAAGAAAGAAAGAAAACAGACAACCCAAGGGAGGGATGGGAAGACGGCACGCCGCCACCACACAGGGATTTTAAGGAGAGGAGTGTGGTGCTAGCCGTCGCCCACCCTATCCCTTGGTCGTCTGCCTCTTTCTATCTCCCTTCGCAGTCCCTCACCGATTCTCGCTGCAACCTTTATGCCACCTCGCGGTCGTCCCACTCTCGTCGTTCTCCCTCCTGTCGCTTCCTCCTCTGTCGCGTCGTTCTCGTCTGCCTCGTCCTGCGACGCCGCCGCCGCCTGCCGCTCCCTTGCTCTCGCGGCTTCTCTCTCCTTTCGTCGCAGCTCTGCTCACCTCGCGGTATATTTTGGCCCCTCGAGTTTATCGAGCTCTCCTCGCGCAAGGACGACTCTTCTTACGCCCACTCCGATCATTTGCCGCCCAGTCATATCGTTGCTCAGGTCCACTCTCTCTTCGAACACTTGCACCTCCACCGATGATGTTGGCGCTGGGGCCCCCTTCGGGTGCATCGTTACATCTGACGACGGGATAACCTCCACTGGTGTTTCGTCTTCCTCGGAGTCTTCTTCCCCGGCTTCCTCCCGTTCAGCTCTACGCTCATTTCGTTCAGCGTGGCTCACCCTCCATGCCGTGAACAGGCGCTTTATCCATCCTATATTCTTCTCTCTCTCCTCTGCCCGTGCCTTGGTCTTGTCGTTGTTCGCACCCATGTCTGTATGGCGATCGAGGCTGCCTTCCCCACTACCTGTAGTTCACTCGTCACCTCTCCTGCGAGCTCCCCTCTCTTTCTTTCTGGTATGGAGTCCGTGAGTGCGGGCAGCGTGCAGGCAATCACGGGCGCTATTTTGTCGTACTCCTCTTCGGCGAGCGCTCCGAATCTAGAGCCCATTGCCTTTAAGGAGGCTGCCCTCGCTTGTCTCAGGAATGCGGCTGTGTCTTTTGAGTCAGGCGCCGCCCGTTCGACTCTTGCTGTCGCCCTCGCTGTGTGTTTGTCGAGCTTCCGCATGAAGTGACGCGCCTCTTCCTTATTTCCAGCGCAGCTGCCGCTCAGTATGTGCGCCAACGACGCCTGTGGTGGCTCACTGTCTTCTTGTTTCCAGTCGTCCCAGTCTCAGTTCTCCGAGTCTCCTCCTTGCCTCGCGCGCCTCTTTTGTGGCCTCATCCCTAGCCGCTTTGCACGCTCTGCATCCCCAGAACGCACTTCTCGTGGCGGGGCCCCTCATTCCTCGTTTCTTTTCCCCCTCTAGAATACGCCTGTGGTGTGCCCCGTGTGGCACCCCGACCTGTTGTCTCACCCTGGCCCCCAAGATCGTTTTGGTCGTCACATTGTGATCCCCGACGTCGTCAAATGTCGCCCGCCTGTCCTTTCCCCCGTTCTCGTCTGGTATGTGGTAATCTCATCTTATTGTCCCATCGATGTTTGAGGCTGGCTACAGCCACTTCGCTCCACAACCGTCCCGCCACCCCTGCCGTGTGCGATCCCGGCCTCACCGTCTTTCGATATTGCTCGCACACCCACTCGTGCGCGCTCTTACACATGTGCCCGTACGTCCGTCGGTCCACTATCTCCCTCTTCTCTGTGTCCTCTGCCGCCTCCCTTCGCACCGTGTACATGCATGGCCGCGTTCGCACCGCGTCCCGCACCGCTTTCGAGGCGTCCTCCGTGTCGTTATTTCCGAGGTGTGCTGTCGCTACTGCGTCGGCGTATGCGTTGCAGGCTATTCCCACATGCGATGGCACCCACACAAAGACCACCGCCTCTAGCTTCGATCTATAGTACGCAATCGCCTCTAGGAGACCGCCTCTCTCCCAGTCTCTCAGGCCTTCTGGCATCCCTTTGCGATGCGCATTCTCAATCTGCTGCAGCGCAGGTTTGCAGTCGCATAGTACTAGGCACCGTCGCGCCTGCGCGTCGCTCGCGCTCGCCATTTTGCGAAGAGGTATGCGAGTATCGCGTACATCTCCGCGTCTATCACCTCCCACGTGTTCGGCAGCTTTCCTCCCCACATTCCCGCCCCAAACGCTGTCCGTATCTCCCCTTCTTCACAGGGTCCGATTCCGTTGGGATCCTTTACCTGTGCGTCTCCCGGGACGCTCTTTCCGAATCGTGTCGGTCCTTCGAACACGCCGTACGCCACCGGCACGTACTTTCCATCCTCCGCCATTTTGTCTTCATGGTCCTTTCCTCCGTCCGTCGCCGCAAAGTGTGTGAACTGGTGTGAGACGTGCAGTGCGAGGCATGTCTGCGCTACTTTCACGTTCAGGGCTCGTTCCCTTCCCCGACCGCAGCGGCTCGCTGTCTTTTCCCATCTTAATTCGCTTTCCTTTGCTGTCCGTCAGCTCTCCCCCCGTCTCAAATTCGTCGTATCGGAGCAAGAAGCGCGTTAAGGGGTCCTCCTGTAGCTCCCCTACTCTGATCGCGCTCGCTCCGTATCCGTATCCCACGAACAGCTCGTAGCCTTCTTTCTGCAAGTTAATGTGTCTCTGAGGCGCCCCTTCTGGGAACAACGTCTCATCCGCCCCGAGGCTCCCCTCCTGTCGCTCCCTCTCCTGTCTCTCCATCATCTTTCTCACCGCGTCCTTCGTGATCTTATTTTGCTCGGGTATCTCCTCCTCCCATGTCGCGTTCGTATCGAGGCCCGGGGTCCCCTCTAGCTTTATCACTCGATTGTCCCCGTCTTCTCTCGACCCCAGGTGCGTGCCGCTGTCTTGCGCCGGTTTCTTCCCTCCGAGGTAGAGCGTCCTGGCCTTCCCCTCCACTCGGATGTCCGTCCTGGTTCGCCCTTCTTCGAACGTGTGTTCTGTCATGTTGGGTCCGCTTGTGCACACCCCGTTTACCTCCCCGCTGTATTCAACGAATCGATCGAGCACATCGCTCCACGACGGATCATTACTCTTTCCATCGCATGTCTCTAGTGCTCTGTCTCCTTGTGCTGCCTCCGGCCCGTGTCCTGCGCTCCCTAGCCGACTGCGCTGCTCTAGCCACTCTCGGAAGGACGCCGCGTCTTTCCGATGCTACGACATCTTTGTTTTCTTTCTTTCTTTCTAGCACGCGCCAGTTCGCACCTGTGTCGAGCCTGTCTGCTGTGAGAGAGACTTGTGTTGTTTAAATTCTTTCTTTCTGGTGCCCTGCGGAAGGACACCCGCATCGCACCCCTCCACACCTTTGCAGCTCGCTCTCCGTCGCTCTCTAATTATGCTCTCCACGATCGCCACGTGCGCCCTCCCGCCCACACCCTGCCCTCGCCACACCCTCCCTCCCTCCTCTCCGCCCTTGGGCCTGGTCGCAAGCGGCAGCACCTGCCGGTGGTGGCGGCGGCGACGGCGGCGACGCTCGCTCACTCCTCCAGCCGCCGTGCCCGAGCGCAGGCCCTTTGCGCTCAACGCCGGCATGCCGATGGCCAACGCCGGCCGCGTCGTCTCGCCCGTCATGAAGGCCAACATCGTCCTCGCCGACAAGGAGGCCGAGGCCCGCATCATGGCCATCGTCGACGCCGAGCCAGGCAAGACAAAGTCGGCTGCCATGTGCAGCCGTATGGCGGCGGAGAACCTCGACCGCATCCGCGACGAGGAGGTGTTTGCCCGCTCCCACTCTCCGCCTCGCGCCGCCTCGCGCCGCCTAGCAAAGCTCCGTGCCGCCCGCTCCCCGTCCCTCAGCTCGGCTGCGCGGCGATGGGCCCGCCCTTCACGATGCCGACTGGCCTCGGCTGGGACACGTCGACCGAGCCCAAGAACCAGGAGGACATGGTCGCCCTCGCCAAGCGCCTCAACCCGGTGGTTGGCTTCTGGGACCCGCTCGGCATCGTCGGCGACGACACTTCGCCGGAGACCATCGGCTGGTTCCGGCACGCCGAGATCAAGCACGGCCGCGTGGCGATGGCGGGCTTCGTCGGCTACTGCGTCCACTCCAACGGCATCACCTTCCCGTGGAACATCCAGGCGCCCCTCCCGTGGACCTCGATCACGTCGGACCTGCCGGCCATCGCCTTCAAGGACATCACCGCCGCCGGCTCGCCGGGCGACATGTGGGACGCCCTCCCGACGGCCGCAAAGCTGCAGATCATCCTCGTGGTCGGCTTCCTCGAGATGCACGGCGAGAACTCGCTCGCGCTCGAGGCGGACGGGCAGAAGCACTACGTGCGCGGCGGCAAGCCGGGCTACTACCCCTCGTTCAAGGGCCGCTACCCGCACCCGGTCCCCCTCGACCTCTGGGACCCCTTCGGCTTCACCAAGAACATGTCGCCCGAGCGCAAGGAGAAGGCGCTGCTCGCCGAGGTCAACAACGGCCGCCTCGCGATGATCGGCATCTTCGGCTTCATCTCGGCATCCAAGGGCCTCATCGTCCCCGGCCTCGACTCGCTCGGCCTCGCCCGGTACGGCGGCGAGTACATGGCGCCCTTCACCGCCGCCGACTCGGCCCTGCCCTACGTCGCCGACATGGTCAAGCAGATCGGCAACCTCGGGTACGCGCTCTAGGGCGCGCTCTAGGACGCCTCCTGTCGCCGCTGTGTCGCGCATGGGAAGTGGGAGGGGTATCTCAGTAGCGCCGGAGTTCGGCCCCGTGCGCGCTGCCGCCACTTTCCCCTCGCATCGCGTGTGCGGCGGCCGACCGCGGTGAGAGTACCGGTCCGCCCTTGCGTTTTACGCGAAAAGAAGAGAGACATCATGTGGGGTCGGGCTGGGATCTGCTGCACTCCAGGCTCCATCTCGGTAGAGGGTGCGCAGCGTCCTAATCTAAAATCTGAGGATTCAGGATTCAGGCATCGCTTCAGTGAGGCCAAAGTGAGTTTATGGATGTGTGAGAACGGTACGGGACACGAGGAGGCACGCGGATCGTCTCGTCGGTGACTCTGCTGCACGCCGTTTCAGAATTTTTCTCAGCGTGAGCGAGACGTCTAAGAGTGCCACCGTCGGGTAGGACGGGTCGACCCGGAGTATCAGAGTAGCCGTCGTGGTCGCGGCGAGCAGCGCCGGCCACTCCGGCGCTGCGTCGGCAACGTGGGAGCATGTCCACCGCCACTTCGCGGTCGCAGCGCTGTTGTCGCCCAAAACGCCGCTACGTACCTTTTCGGGCAAACCATCGAGCTGTGTGTCGATTTCGACTTGACGGCGGCATGAAGGCATCACGTCTCCATGCCGCCGTCAAGTTGGAGCCAGTCTGCGGCGACCACAGCGCTCAGAAAGGTACATAGCCAGCTTTTCAGAGTCAAGCGATTGCGCGAAATCCCACACTGGTGGATTTTGGGGCGCTGCGCACCCCCTAATCTCGGAGCCTGGACCCTGGTCTCCCTCCGGCTCCGGCCTCCGCCGCCCACCGCCCTCCCGCCTCCGCGCACGCTCCAGCTCCACTCTGCATGTCAGTATACAGTAACTCTGACACTCTGGTGACTGGTCTCTCTGCTGTGGGCATGTACGATGATCGATGTACGAGTACGTAATTTCGACCGCCGAAAAGTCTCGCCCACTCGCGCTCCACACACCACACGCTCTCCAGACTCCACTCTCCACCGACCACCGCGCACCGGCAAACCTGTGTCACCCGAAATCCATATTGTCACTCTTATGGTTTTTTTTGCAAATTTGCGAAGTGCGGCTTCGGTGTGCATTTTTGCGGCTTCGGTGTGCATTTTTGCGGCTTCGGTGTGCATTTTTGCGGCTTCTTGGAGCACTTGGAGTGCAGTTATCAACCTCACATCCAGGGCCGGGGAGCTCAGAAGCGCACCCAGCGGGCCGGATGATCGGGATCGGGTTACGGGCTAGAGAGCCCTAGCCCCGGGGGTGCGCGTTCGCAGGGCCATAACACGGGTCTCCGAGGGTTAGCCCCGCGTACCGGGTTTCCCCTTAACTGCAGGACGCCCCCTCTACTCGGAGCTACTGATCCGAGAATACGCACCATCCCCACGCGATCCCTTACTCGAAGATAATACGAGAATACGCAGCTGCGAGGCACCTATATAGAAAGTGGTGCACTAACCCCGAGAAACCCTTCGGGTCACTCCTCATCGCAAACCCTGTCAGCAGTCCTCCTCCGGGAATGTACGTAAGAGCCACATACATTGAAAAACAGGATGCTAAATTTCGGCGGCTAAAAAGCAAAGGACGGGCACTTTTGATCGGCAAAGCAAAGTTGGAGTAACGGCGACCGCGTTCGCAATGAAGTCGAGCAGCTTTACTTACTAGGGCACATCGGATGCCCACATGCATTACCATTAGCCATCACAATAATCAATAGTATGTTGTATGTACGGCTCTCTACACAGACCTCAGACGGGGGGCCGACCCCGAGTCTGCACACACCCAGTCTCCGAGGCAGACCGAGGGCCCCACGAGGGCGAGGCAGCGCGCAGCGGCCAGCGCAAGGGACCCCCCCCCCCCCCCCACACACGCCCCAGCGTGCAGACGCCGAACAGCGCCCAGCGATCGTGTCCCGGAGACGGAATGCGGTTGTAGTTTAGCAAAAAGGAGCTCGGCTCCCTCGGGTTGGCCCTGCTCTCACGGCGAGACGCGCTGGAGGAGAGATTCCGCCTTGGTAATCTCGCCCTCGGACACGCCGGCCACGCGCGCCCTCTCAATCGCGCCCTTCAGCTCGGAGACCTAAAGGGGGGGGCGGGTATCCGGGGGAAGACAGGGAGAGAGAGAGAGAAAAGAGGCGGAGGCAAAGACAGAGGGAGCCGTGGTGAGCGCCGCCTGCGACGGCGCGAGGCTTCCGCCGCGGTTGAGGTACCGCTGCAAATTGTCGAACGCCTCTGTCCGCTCCTGCTGAGATGAACCGCGAGAGATTAGCCGAGGTTGGTCGAGGTTTGCAAATAGATCAGAGAGGCGGTCCGCTCCTTCTTGGACCGCACGAGCGCTGCTTGCTCCTTGGCGACGCGCGCCGCCTGGGCGAGAGGGGGGGGGGGGGGGGGCCTTGACAATGCGGGGGGCAAGAAATAGTGCAAGCAGTGCGAACCTCGTTGACGATCCTCGAAATCTCGTCGGCGAGCTCGCGCTGCGCGGCGCTGTCGTACTGCCGGTCCGGGTGCCACTGGACCTATGCACTCGGGTGGTCGGGACGTCACTGGGGAAAGAACGGGACAACTCTCGGAGAGCCGAGCGAGGGGAGTCCCCCCCCCCCCCCCCCTCAAGCTCGGCGCGGGGTTCCTCGCCTGCAAACCGCGCAGAAAACGCTTCCGATCCGCCGCGGGCATCGACATCGACCGACGCACCGACTCACGCACCGCCGCTATCTCAGCGGCGATCTTCTCCGCAGCCTTCCTCTCCGCCTCGGCCCTCTCCGCAGCCGCCCTCTCTGCCTCCGCCCGAGCCGCCGCCTCCGCCGCCAGCCGCGCTGCCTGCGCCCTCGCCGCCTCCGCTCGCGCCCTCTCCTCCTCCTCCACCGCCGCCGCAACCGCCGCCGCCCGATCCACCTCGGCGCGGTTCACGCCTGCAGCGCGCGCTCCGTCAACCGCGGCGAGCAGGCTCCTCAGCTCGCCCGCTGTGCCGCCTCCCCCTTGGTCGAACCGCCACAGCGCCGCGCTCAGCGCGGCGCTCGCCGCGGCCCGGCCGGCCGCCGCCTGGGAGGCAAGCGCCACGAGCCCCTCAAGCCGAGAGGAGGATCCATCGAGGTCCAGCTGAGGGCGCGCATTCTAGCCTCTCTCCTAGTGTGCGGTCTGGCCAATCTCCTACTCGTCTTCTCGCGGCGAGAAGTCTCTTGTGGCCGCCGCCTCGCGCGCCGCCTCCCGCGCCGCCGCCTCTGCCGCCGCCGCCCCGGCCCTAGACAATGCCTCCGTGGCGACAGACTCGGCGCGCGCCACATCCTCGGCCGCCACACCCGCCGCCCGCGCGCGCGCGATGGCCGACTGCAGCCGCTGCAGCTCGACCGCCGAGCCTTCGCCCCGCAAGGCGACGGCGCTCACCGCGGCGGTCAGCTCCGCGATGCTCGCCGCCCGCTGCTGCGCCGCCTATCCCAACAAGCCGTGATGGTGGGGGGGGCAGAGCGGAGTGGGAGAAGGGCGGAGATGAGGGGAGCAACGGTAAGGGGGTCGGAGGAGAGAGCCAGGAGAGAGATACATACACAGAAAGAGAGAGCGAGCTGTCTCTGGAGAGCGGTGAAGCACCTGTCGCGCCGCCGCCGCCTTTGACTCCTCGCTGCGCCGCGAAACCATCTTGGCGAGGGCGTCCCACGGCGACTCTGGGAGGCCCGCACCCAGCGGGGAAGAGGGCGCCGCTGGCGCCGCCGGCGCCACTGGTGCTGGTGCAGCAGGCCGCGCTGCGGCTGGAGCCGCGTCTCTGTCCACCTCGCGCCGCAGAGCCGCGAGCCGCTCGCGCAGAGGCGAGAGCCTCCCGGGCGCAACGCCGTCTGCTTCGAGGCTGGCCACCAGCGCCTCGAGCTCGCCCAGCTTTGCGCGCTTTGCATCCGCCGGCGACGCGCCGGCGCCAGAGCGGGGAACCGGAGCGGCGGGAGAAGGGGAGGCGCCTGAGGCGGTGCCCGCCGCTGCCGCCGCAGCGGCTTCATCCGCCGCGGTGGGCTCCACGTCGCCAGCGACGATGGCATCGAATCGCGCCTGGAGGTGGCATCGAGAGGGGGCTGGTTGGCAGGTGAGGCGAGCGCGTGTGGAGTGGTCGATGCCGCCGTCTGAAGCTGAACCTGCTGCCTGAGGCGGGCAGCCACGGCCGCGTCCAGGTCCTCTCCTCTCCACGTTTTGACCGCCCCGGGCTTGCGCGCCACTGGCGGACGAAGGCTGAACGGATCGTCGCGCTTCGCTTCCTCTTGCGGCGGCGGCGGCGGCGGGCGTTTCGCCGCTGCCGCATTTTCTCGGGCGCCGGCCGCGCCGTCCGCCTTTTGTATCGCGACGAGCGACTGCATCGCCGCCTATGCTGAGGAACGGGCGTCAGGTGGAGACGTATTTCATGACCCGAGTATGGCTGAACGCGCCAGGGCGTGGGCGAGAGGGTCAGAGGCGTCCGAGCAGATGCTCTGCACGCGGCCGCCGGTGCCGAGTACGAAGGAGCAAACTGGCGACGCCGGTAGGTCGAGCGAGCGCTTAGCGAGGCTGTTTGGGTCGTCCACAAACCGGACTTTACCAAACTCGCCGCTTGAGGCCGGCGAAGCGCCACGCGGGCTCCGAACGGCGACAACCTCGACATCGAGCCCGGCCACGGCGTCGGCAACGCGAGCCAGTGCGCGCAACTCGGCGTCGCACCGCTCGTCGCTCTCTATGAAGGCCACCACGGCACCGACTCGGTCGCTGTCCCACGGCAGCCGGTCGAGCTGCGCAAACCTACATCCGCAGAGCAGTGATGGCTTCTTCAGAGCATCCGGCGCGGAATCAGAGCGAGACAAGGGGCGAAGGCTGGCAGCATCTAGTGCGCAAACTCGAGGAGTGGAAACTCGTCGCCGACGGAGAGCGACAGCACAGGCGAAGCAGCCCTTGCAGCTCGCCTTCCTGGGAGGCGCTTTTGTGGCGTGATGAGGGACGAGAACAAAATGATGCCGCCGAACATCAGCATGAGGGGTCGGAAATCGCCAGCCTTCTTCGCTGGCACCAGGCCGGCACTCCAAAAAAAAAACTTTTGCCCGCAGGAAGGACTCGGCAGGCGTCGCCGCGCCGTCGCAGAACGAGGCCGAGGAGAGCGATGAGTGAGGTAGAGCCAGAGGAGAGCGATTAGGCAGAGAGAGCGCAGAGGACGACGGGGCAGGAGAGAGAACGACGAGAGTGGGACGACCGCGAGGTGGCATGAAGGTTGCTGCGAGAATTGGCGAGGGACTGCGAAGAGAGATACCCAAGCACCAAGGCGCAAGGGTGGGCGACGGCTAGCGGCACCACACTCCTCTCCGTAAAATTCCTGTGTGGTGGCGGCGTGCCGTCCTCCCATCCCTCCTTAGGTTGTTTGTTTTCTTCCTGTCTTTCCATTCGTGTATTATACGATGAGTATCAGGGGCTCGAGGGCGCGCAGCGCAGCTGGGCAGCTGCGCGGTGCCGGTGCCGGTGCGGCACCGCCATCGGGCCTGAAGCGCAGCTCGGCTATGGCGTCATAGACGGCTCGCCTCGGTGCACGCCCCCGGCGGCCACCACAGGGGGCCAGCACCATCGGCGGCCACCTCGAGCAGCCCTCCGTAAGACGTCGTATTGGAGGCGGCATCATGCGCCTCGCGGAGAGGCACGCAGCGGCACCGCGTCGCAAGCATCGCCCATAGTGCGTCGTTGAACGGCGCGAAGAAGGCCTGCAGCTGCGCGCGCGTGCGATTGAGCATGTATCGCAGCTGCCCCGAGGTGCCCCTCGGGCGCGAGCCGTTGCCGTAGCGCTGACGGCTGCCGTGGATGACGCGCTCTGCTGCGCCGGCGCGAAGTGACCGGCCGATGATGAACTCTGCCGTGCGCCGCAGCGCTGCGCTCGCGGTGGAGGGGGCGGAGCTCTCCGTGGCGACGTGCGCCTACGGAGCAAGCGTGGGCGCTCTCCGCCGTTGCGAGTCTGACGGTGGTGCTGCGGCGTTACGCCTCAAAGCGGAGCAAGAGCATCTGGCGGCAGTCGTAGGTGGCGAGCCAAGCCTCGAGGTACGCCACGTACAACGAGCGCGCCAGGACATCCTCGTACCCCCCCCCGACCGCGCGCGCGGTGCGCAGCGCAGAGTGCCAGTCTGGCGGGCCCGAGCTCCCCCTTGCCTGCGCCATCGACTGCGCCCGGCTGAGCTCACGCCGGACCCGGCGGTCGAACGCCTCGGCGGTCCTCATGGCGGGTGGATCTCTCCGGAACACGTAGGCAAACTGCGAGCGCGCGCGATCGGCAGGCTCGCGCAATATGGCGAGGAGCCTGGGCGCGGGGTGCGGCGGCGTTTGCTGCAGCGGCGGACGGCTGTCAAACAGGCCGTAGGCCTATACACGGGTCTCGGTCAGCGAGAGGTTACCGGGCGAGAAGAGGGCCCGACAAGGCACACTGGCGTGCCTGGCAGCTGGCAAACGTGCCTGGCAGCCCCGCCAGTCGCATGAGCAGCGGGTGCTTGTAGCCGAGGAAGACGTCGGCCGAGCAGTCTGTTGGGCGGCTTCGCAGCTGGAGCATGATCTTGCTCAGACCCGCCTCGGCGCGCCTGCACCTGACCAGGCCGCAGACAAGAGGACGGGCCAGATCACAGCGGGGCGAGAAATCTGTGTCTGTGGGTCTATGGGGATGCTGCCGCCGCACCACGCTCTGTCCACTTGCCGAGGCGAGTTGTCAACCGGCCAGAAGTGCACCTCCTTGGGACGTATGCTGAGAGGCTCGCCGAGAGCATGAAGCCAGGTGGACACGGTGGTGGTGCCCGCCTTCATGGCGCCGATGACGTAGAATCTAGGCACGCACCGAGTCTCGCCACCACGCGGCATCGGGCGGGCACGCGTAAGTTGTGGAAGGGACGCGCGAAGAAGTTGATTCGAGATCGAGAGATTGCACGTCAGTAAAATTTCACCTGTGCATTCCACTCCGCCCGCTCCCTCCCGCTTGGCGCCCATCCCGCCCTCCCCCCTCGCCCTCCGCCCCTGCCCCGGCTGGCCTGGGTGGCACCTCCTCCTCATCACGCGCCAAGTGGGAGGGAAGTGGACGGGGCCCTGAGCCGACCTAGCCGCCAAACGGAATGGGGCGCCCAACACGTGCCGGATTACTGTGCCTTCCCCGGGCACAGCCTTTCGGTTCGTGAAGGGTCGGTGCGTGTCGTGACCTCCTGGAACACCCGTACCCCCGCACCATCTCCGTCGCTTGGTTGCTTAACCTTGCCATCACCGGGAGCGGCCAGGGCTTCATAGACTCGGTCGAGAGACCCCAGATTGGCATCCATGCCTTTCTGGACAGGGTGGTAGCTATTGGACAGGGTGGCCCGCCACAAGGACCCCAGGAATTGCGACTCGCCGCTTTCCTCCACTGTGATTTTGTGTGAGCTCTGTGTCTTGATTTGAGAGAGAGATTTTTAGCAATACCAAACAACTCTAACACGCACACGTCATTTGGGGCCTGGAGCCCTGTTCACGCGCGCGCGAGACGTGCAGACAGGGTTGCCAGGTGAGAGCGAATGGCGCGGTTCACGCCTCGCACAACAGAGAGAGAGATGCGCTCTGCATGGTGGGACATAAAAGAGAGCGAGTACTTGGGCGAGTAGGCCGTGCGGTCAACGCTGCCGCGCGCGACTTTGCGCGCGAGGCGGCGCAGCTTGAGAACGGCGGTGGGCGAGAAGCCGCCGCCGAACGTCTCGTGGAGCAGCAGGTTGAAGTTGTTGCGCTTGACAAAGATCGCGTCGTGGTAGAAACCGCGATGCGCCTTGACGTAGCCGTGGCCGGTCTTGTGGGAGAAGGGTTGGCCGGGCTGCCCGCGCGCCTTGCAGCCCATGTTTAGGCGGCGGGCCTTCTCTTCGGTGTTGCCGAAGGCGTAGGAGTGGCCAACGGAGGCGGGCGTGCCGCCGCTCGAGGCGTTACCAACGCCCGCCGAGGAGGTCTTGAGGAGGGGCGTCCAGAGCTTGACTTCACACCTCATCGCATCCTTCTTTCTGTTCTTGATTTGCCAACAACAAACCTAAAAACAAAAACAAAAATTTTCCTTGTCCCCCTTCTTTTTAAATGTACGACTTTTAGCTTATTGGGAGAAAGGGGATAGTGCGCTGTGTTCTCTAGGCCCCTAAGGGCCCTACGCGCGGCGTGAATGTGGCTACGCCGTACTCGAGTTCCTTGGGCGGAAGTTTTTTCGCGCGCTCCACCTCGATCGCAGGGCGATTCACCATGCGACTGGGCGTTGGGACCCTCGTCTTCGCTCTGGCGTTCGGCTCCTGGCTCGCCTGCCTGCACCACGCGCCGACGGGCGGCGCCGGCCGCGTGCTGCGTGTGCTCGATCACACTGGGCGAGGGACGACGCCGCTGCCGCTGCCGCTGGCTGGGAGAGAGGCCGCTCCGCCGCCCTTCGACCTCGACAGCCCATCCGGGCTTCGCGCGACACTGACTCTAGTGGCGTCGCGAGGAGGGTGGTCCTCGGAGCGGCCCGGCATCGCGGACATCGTCCTGCTGACGAGCGACCGCCGCGGCGTCCGGCTCGCGGCGAACACAGCGCTCCAGCTCCGCCGGTTCGGCATTGCGCACACCCTCGTGCTAATGGGCGCCGAGGCGGACTGCGGGCACGCACAGGCGGAGTACATGTGGCTGGCGGCGGGCTGGAGCCGCGGGCTCCGCGGGTTCGGCCGGTACAAGGGCACCGGCTTCTCGCAGAGTGACGTGGACCTCTGGGCGCTCTGGTCCGCAAAGTGGCTGGTGCTCGCTCGGCTGGTCGAGCTGCGCGCCTCGGTGCTCGCGCTCGACACGGACATGCTGGTGCTCGCCGACCCGTACCCGCTGCTGCGGGTGCGGCGCCGCGATGAGACCGACACGCGAGCGGAGCCAGACCGAGCAGCGGGCCGCCGCACGCCTCACCGCGCATGCATGCCGCGGCTCAGGCGCCGCCGCTGTCCCGCTGCTCCCTCGTCCTCCCCGCGGAGGGCACCCGCGTCAACCTCGGCATCATGTACGTGCGCGGCGGCGGCCGGGCCGGCATGAGCGGCGTCGCGTCGGTGCTGTGGGACGTGGCGAGAGCGGCGTCGTCTCGGAGGAGCCAAGGGCGGGGGCGCTCCCGCCTCACCCGCCTTGAAACGGCGTGCAGGTGCGCCGGCTGCGGCTCTTCCTCGAGCAGGGCGACGAGTGGCTGCTCCGCGACGCGCGCAGCGGCCGCACCTCGTTGCAGGGCCTCTGGGACCAGGGCCTCTTCACCGACGCCATCCAGTCCGCCATCCTCGGCCGCCACCTCTACCCGTACACCTACCTGCAGAGCGACCCGCGGCACGTGGCGTGGAACCGGACCGGCGGCGGGCTCGAGTGGCCCGCCCCGGGACAGGACCGCGCGCCAAAGGCGGTGGCGCGCCTGCACAGGGTCCAATGGCGGATGCCCAGGGAGCGCGAGCAGGGCGACCCGGCCTGCAGCGGCAGCTGGCGGCGGCCGCGGTGGCTCGGCGACGCCCCCGCCGCCTTTCGACGCACCTGGTGCGAGGCCGCGCCGCGCTGCACCGCGCCCGCAGCCCAGGCGCCCAGCAAAAGGCCCTCGCCCCCTAGGCACAAGGCGGAGCCGCTGCTCTGGGGCCGGCTGCACGCCCTGGACCCCCTCGCAGGGCTGGGCCCCACCGCAACCAGCGGCGACGGCGCCCGGGCGGTGCAGCCGGGCTTCTTGACGCCGACCGACCGCTACCCGAGGCGAGGCGGCGGCAAGACCGCCTCGGAGGACGAGGACGGCGAGGTGGCCGCCGCGGCGCCGGCGTGGTTTGCCTGCTCGCCGCCCCACGCTGCCGTGACGGGCGGGTGGGCGGAGGCGCGTCGCGGCGGCGTCGCGTGCGCGCTCCTCCACCTCGTCGAGCTGCGCTCGCAGTTCGTCGCTTTCCGGTCGCTCGACACGCGCAAGGCCGCCGCCTCCTCCGTTCTCGCGTGGCGCCGCCTCCGTTCTCACTCCGCTGCGGCCGCGCAGGCGAACCGGCCGTACGTAATGGGCGTGTACGGCTACCTGCCAGTCGACGAGCCATCCCTTGCCGCGCCGTGGCCGCCCCCCGGCGAGCCGCTTCGGGCGGTGCGGCTGAGCGAGGCGCCGCCGCCCGAGAGTGGCCTCTGCGCGTGCCGTCTTGGGACCGCAGGCCGCGCGACCGCTCTAGGCGACGCTGCGAGCAACTGGCGCCCGCCGCGGCATCGGCTCGCTCCTCAACGCGCTCCAGCTGCTGCGCGCGGTGGCGGCAGCCACCAACCGCACTCCGGTCGTGCCGGCCGTCGGCTGCGACGCGCGCTGGATACAGACCTCCGCGGGCGCGCAGTTTGGCGTCGCCGACGACAGCGTCCTGGTGCGGTGGGAGGCGGACCTCTCCGCTCCTCGCTGCCACCTCGCGATGGGCGGCGCCGAGTGCTCCTGGCCGCACGTGTTGCCCGCTTGGTGGCCGAACGCGGCTCGCGCGCTCCCTCCCTCGCCAGACCGCGCCGCTGCTGCGAGCTTGCGCGCGCCGGTTGTGGCTGAGTACGGTGTGCCGGCTCGCGGCGGCTTCTCAGCTGGGCGAGTCGTCGCCCTGAGCGCGGTGCGATTGCGAGTAGGCACCGCGGCGACGGCGGTGCGCCGTCCCCCCCCCCCCCCCCCCCCTTTGCCCAAATGGCAATGCCGCCCCACCTTGCCGCTCACGCCTCTCTAGGTGGCCGACCCAGACCCCGCGACCGCGAGCTGCAACAACGGTTCCGCCGCGGAGCTGCGGCAGGGACTGGCGCTCGCGCTAGACGCGCCCGCCCTCGCCCCTCTCGCTGCGGAGCTGGCCACTGCGCCGCTGGTCGAGATCCAGCCGGATTACCGCGGCGCCGCGGCCTCCGTCGCCGCGTCTTGCTGGCCATCGGAAAACGCGGGTGCCGCCGCCTTCCGGGGGAAGCGCTGGAGGAGCGCCCGCCCGCCTCTCGCCCGCGGAGACCGCCGCTCGCTCGCGGAGGCTCCCGCGCAGCGGGACACGGCGGGCGATCGGGCGCGGGTCTGCACGATGCCGGCGTCCCTCTCGCTCTCGCCGGGCGGGGTGGAGGGACCCGCCGCCGAGCGCAGAGAGCAATCGCTCCGCGCGCGGTGCCCCGCGTTCTGGGCGGCGCGCGGGCACGACCGGCACGACCGGCTGGACCGCATGCACAGGCGGAGGCCGACGGTGGAGCCGTGCACCTGACGAGCGTCGTGTACGCAAAAGTGCGAGGGAGAGGGGCTTTAACCTGTATCCTTATGCGGCGTTCCCCGCACAAACTTTCAAAGGGGGGAGAAAGAGGGAGATTTACTTCAGCCCACAGCCGTCCTCTCCTGCACGCTGCGCACACCTGCAGGCTCAGAGGTTTCTGTGAGGATTTTGGGCGCTCCAAAGTCACGTGTGTGAGTTCGTGCGCTGTCGTACGTAGTTTGTACAATGCAGCCGGTCAGTCCAATAGGTTGTACAGCGTCGCTCTGCCGGACTCGCCACCCAGGTATGCGGGGTCGAGCGAGGCCCCAAACACGCCGGTCTCCTCCCCGAGCCGCAAACCCGCGGTCAAAGCGAGCGCGACCGCGGAGGCAGCGACGAGAGACTCGAGCCAGGGCGGCCTCCGTGACCTCTCGCCTGCTGCCCGCGCCTCCTCCTCGGCCCTGAGCGCGGCCTCAAAGGCTGCGGCAGCGCGGGCCGACTGGAGCGCGTCCTCGTCCGAGAGGAAGGAAGCGAGGTCCCGCCCGAAACGGCGCGCCTTCTCCCGAGAGAGCGCCGCCGCGGTTGGGTCCGGCTCCACCAGCGGCCGGGCGGTGGCGGCCTCCGCCTCCGCCGCCGACCCGTCGACCGCGACCCGCGCCGACATTGCCGACATGAGGAGAGCCCAGGCCGCTCCTGCGCTGGTCGTTCCCAGCGCAACCGAGGCCACCCGCGCCGTGTGCGCCCAGCAGTTGTTGCTGACCAGGTGGAGGTCGGCCGGCCGCTGCAGCGAGCACTCCTCCGCGGCGTCCGCGCTCGCCGCTGCGGAGCCGAGGACACACATGCCCCGAGCGTCGGCGGCGTACAGCCGCCGCCGCTCGCCCCTCACCGCTCTGAGGGAGAGGAGCCGTCTCAGCGTGGCCGCCTCCGTCGCGGCCTGAGGCACAAAGTCCCACCCGACGAGGCCGCCCTCGTCGCGGTCCATGAAGAGCGCCGAGTGCACGCGGAGCGCTCGCGGCCCGCCGATCAGCGGCGAAAGCTTGAGGTAGACGAGGCGGCCCGAGGGCGGCGGCGGCGACGCGGCGGCGGCGGCGGCGGCACAGAGCAGCAGGCGGAGTGTCTGCCTCGTGCGGGGCGGGGTGCGCGCCAAGGGGCCTTGCCTGCGTCGATGCATGGGTAAAAATTTACAACACAATTCCTCCAGTACCCGGTGTCGTGCGAGAAAAGAAAGAAAAGACACAGACCAAGGGAGGGATGGGAGGACGGCACGCGGCCACCAGGATGGACTTTTAAAGATTCGAGAGAGCTTTCAAGATATTTCGTGGAGTCTTTCCCCACGTCATCGACAGCACGGACGCGACAGTCGTGAGATCCTCCCGCAGACGTCCCGCAGGCGTGCCGACATCCACCCTCGTCGACAGGACCGTACCTAGGCAGGAGCTCATTGCTGCTCTTCACCCGCACAGCCTCGCTCTCACTTGGCTCAGCTCGTATCCACGCGGAGCTTTGAATCGCCTGCGTCGAACACCTCCCGGTAAAAGAGAATTTGGCTGCGCTCGGTTGACGTTCACACTTTCGTGAGGTGTGAGGAAAAGTCTACACCGGCCGCCGCTGCCTCCCAGCCCCGCTGAGCACTCCCACGTCGAGCAGGTTGTACTGTATTTGCTCACCGACCTGCTCGACCAAAATATCCATGGTTTTCGTTCTGCTTGTCGCTCTCCAGCTGCCCCTCGCCAACTTCGCGTCGGCGGCCGAGGCCGCAGTCGCGAGCTGCTTCACGCCGAGGCTGGCGCAGACGCTCGTCGCTTGCAACCCGAGCGTCGTCGGCGGGTGGCGCAAGCAGAGCGTCGTTGTGCTGGATGGTGTGCTCGGCCGGGAGGTGAGCAAGTAGCAGCGAGTGACACCGCCCCGTTTCCGCTAGCGCTCGGTGCATCCTTGCAGGCGTGCGAGCGGCTGCGCTCTGAAGCCGAGGCGATCCGGAGCCGAGGCCTGCTCGAGCGGGCCGAGTCGAGCGGCGACGTCATGGCGACGCAGGTGACGCCGGACGACGACAGCATGCGCCGCGCTGCCACGACGCTCACCGCGCTGCCGAGAGCGATCGCCCGTGCGGTGGGCCGTCGCATCAACGACGAGGTGAGGGGGCGCCAGGCGTCCGGCGAGGCCATGAGCTGCCTCGTCGAGGATGGCGCGCACACCAACAAGCTGGCGGTCGTCGAGACGGACGGAGGCGCCTACCTCAAGCACGTCGACAGCATCCTCGCCGGCGGCATGGACCCGCGGAAGCTCACGGCGATCTACTATTTGAACCCAAACTGGAGCGAGGCCCAGGGCGGACACCTCCGCGCCTGGGACGCAGTCGTCGTTGGCGGCGACGGCGGCGAAGCAGGCCCGCCGGCCGGCGGCGACGGTGCGGTGCGCGTCGCGCCTCGAGGAGACCGGCTGGTGCTCTTCTGGTGAGTTCTGCCCCCCCCTCTAGCCCTCGCACCGCACCCGCCTCTCCCGCCCACAATCCTCCCGCACCGGGCCTCAGGTCCGACGGCCTCGTCCACGACGTCGAGCCGCTGCGCATTGCGAGCGAGGCCGACCACCGCTGGGCCCTCACCACCTGGCACCTCGCCGCCGACCCAGCCGCCGATCGCTCGCTCGCGCAAGGACTGGACCCGTGGCTGGACGTGAGACACTTTGGAGCGCCGCTGACCAGCCTGACCGCGCCTGCCCGCCGCCTCGCAACCCGGAGCTTGGCCGACGCCTGTGGGAGGGCGCTGCAGGTGATGACCAGGAGGTAAACCCGACCACAAAAATCAAAAAAAGAAAGAAAGAAAACGCACACCCCAAGGGAGGGATGGGAGGACGGCACGCCGCCACCACACAGGGATTTTAAGGAGAGGGGTGTGGTGCGCTAGCCGTCGCCCACCCTAGGGAGTCCGCCTCTTCCTATCTCCGCTCTTCGCAGTCCTTCTCCATGTCCTCCTCTGATTCTCGCTTCAACCTTCGTGCCACCTCGCGGTCGCCCCCTTCTCGTCGTGGTCTCCCTTGTCGCTTCTTCCTCTGTCGCGTCGCTCTCCTCTGCCTCGTCCTGCGACGGCGCCGCCGCCTCAAAAATCAAAATCTCGATTTCCTCACTTGAAAACTTCTTTTTGCCCTCGCCGTCCTCGCAGGACTGGGAGTCGCTTAATAGGCGGCTCCCGTTGATGTCGTATAGCGGGCTACGAGAGTCGTGCCTGCGCAGACGCAGAGTCGCTAAGTGGGAAGTGCTGGGTAAGTGCCAGAGCCCCCCAGTGTGCCCGCGCTCCCAGATCCCAGTCGCCTCCCGTGCGGCGTGCGGTGCGCCCAGCGGAGCGGTCTGAAATTATTTTTATTCCCCCGCGCCTTCTATAAATTGAGTAGACTACATCGCCTGGTCGAAATAAATAAAATAAAGGAGACCTCTCCCGGACAGATGGGCGACGTCCGACGCACGAACCCGAAAAGAAAGAAAGAAAACGGACAGCCCAAGGGAGGGATGGGAGGACGGCACGCCGCCACCACACAGGGATTCTAAGGAGAGGGGTGTGGTGCTAGCCGTCGCCCACCCTCGGGCGTCTACCACTTCCTATCTCTCTTGGAGCACTTGGAGTGCAGTCATTCTCTTCGCAGTTTCTCACCAATTCTCGCAGCGACCTTCATGCTACCTCTCGTTCTTCCGACTTCCCACTCACTCTCCTCTCTCGTCCTCGTTCTCTCTCTCTCCTGCTGTTTCATCCTCTGGCTCATCGCTCTCCTCGGCCTCGTTCTGAGACGCCGCTGCCGTCTGCCTTGCTCTCGCTGCTTCTCTCGCCTTTCTGCGTAACTCCGCCCTCCTCGCGGCACGAACCCGAGGCAGAAAGAAAGAAAGAAAACAGATAACAAGGGAGGGATGGGAGAACCCGATAAATAAATAAATAAAACAGACATCCCAAGCTAGGGCTGGGTCGAGGACAGACACGTCCCCACCTTTGCAGGATTTTGCAAAAGCGAGGGGGGAGGGCGCATCGCGGCGCGGAGAGGGCTGGGCACGGGCACAGGGGGTCTCTCTCGCATAGGATACGCACTCGGCGGCACGAGGGCAGGGCTGGGCGTCCTATTTGTGCTCCCCTCCGTATCCCTCGCTCTTGGGCACTATTCCTCTGACCACTCATCAGAGGGGCTTCTAGGCGATCGGCCGCGCTCCGGGGCAGGGCTGGGTAGGATGGGCTCGGGCCACTCGCCCGTGCGGGTGTATCCCTGCATGAGCCGGATGGAGGCCTCGACTGTCCCTCGCGGCAGGCTCTCGAGCAGCTCGAGCAGCTCTCCCGCCGCCACCGCCGCGTCGTACTGCTCCTTCAGGCCGAGCGCGCCGCAGACCCTGCGGACCGCCTCCTGCTGCACCTCGTCCGATAGATCGGTGTCATAGCCGGAGGAGTCGGCGGAGGACGCCCGCTTGGCGGGCGGCGAGTCCGGTGAGGGAGAGCGCGACTGGCCCGAGGGCCCGCCGCCGCGCGCCGACAGCGCGTTCTTGTCGACGAGCCGGGGTCCAGCATTGGCGCGGCCGCTGGCACTGCGGCCCTTGCCGCGCTGCTGCTGCCCGCGCTTCCTTCCCGGATTAGGGACAGTGAAAGTGCAGCCGCGCCTGCACGCCGCCGCCGCCGGCGGCGGCGGCACGCGCGCGGCGGCGGCCGGGCCCGCAGGCGCGGCGGGCTGGCCTCCCGCGGTGGCACCCTGCGGGTGCAATGCGGCTGCGGCGGCGTACGTCATGTTGGTCGCCGGCTCCGCAGCTGGCGGCTCGGCGGCAGGGGCTGGCGGCGCCGCAGGGCTCGCGCTCGCGGGCGGCTCCGTGGCCTGCGCCTGCCGCTCATGGCGGACCGCGCGCTCGAGCTGTGAGTGCGGGTGGAGCTGCACAATGACGTCGCCGCTCTGCGTCGCGGTGAAGGAGACCGAGTACGGCGCGTCGCCGTCGTTCTTCTTCTCCGCGTAGACGAGCGCGTAGTCGCACACCTGTCGTTGGTGGTCAGTGAATATGCTCTCCGTGCAGCGCTCGGCGGCGCCGACGCGAGCAAATCTCCTTCCCATGAAGAGTCCGCTTAACTTGTGGTACCCGAGGCACAGCGCGCGGGGAATCAAAATTCTTTTATTTTTGCACGCGAGCACCGCTCGACCTCAACATGTTCGACGCGCGCAGCGTGCGGCGTGTGAGGCGCCTCTTTTACGGCGACGGCCGGTTCGAGCAGTCGCTGGACGTCTACGCTCCTGCCTCCGCCAACACGCCGCTGCCGCTCGTCATCCTCGTGGTGGGATCTGCGTGGCTCGGGCACCTCCGGCTCGTGTACGGGCCGACCAGCTGGTGGAACTCGTCCGGCCCGCGCACAGTTGCCAGCGCGGGCGCCGTCTGCGTGTGCATCCGCCACCGCGGTGCGTTCCCGCCGCCGCCTCCAGCCGCGGCCAGGGCGGGTGCCCTTCTTGGCAGCACTGCGGCGCGGCTGTCGTGGCTCGGCCTGCTGGCGCTGGCGCTGGCGCTCTCGCGAGGCGTCGCGGCGACCGTCGGCGGCGGCGGCCTGCTGCTGCTCCTGCTGAGAGCGTGGGACACCGCAGCGGTCGACTCCGCAACCATCGAGGAGATGGTTGACGACGTCGCGGCCGCACTGGCGCTCGTCTTGCGGGAGCGCGACGCGCTGCTCCCCGCCGCCGCCGACCTCTCCACCGGCTTCGGGCTGCTGTCCGACTCGGCGCCACGCCTTTCGGGCCGCACCTACTTTGGCGGCTACAGCTCCGGCGCCCACGTCGCCTCGAGCTTGCTGCTGCCGCGGCCCCCATCCGTGCGCGCCCGAGCGCGGCACGGGCTGCCACTGCCAGCGCAGCTGTGCGACTGCGTGCTCCACATCAGCGGCGTCTTTGGCGGAGGTGCGCCGGGGTATCCGAGGACCCTCGCCTCGGTCGTGTTTGGCGCTAGCGACGGGCCGGTTTTGCCCTCGCCCGCGCTTTCGGCGAGCCAGCTGCCGGCGATCCCGCAAGTCCACGTGCGCGCCCTGCCCCGCGCCTGTGCAGGTCCCTCCGCCCGGGAGACACCCGCCGCCCTCCGCGCCGTGCGTCGCAGGTCCGCTGCACCACCGAGGCCTTTGGCGCCCCGGTCGTCGAGAAGGCGATGCAGGCGGTGCTCGCCGCCTCGCCTTACGAGGAGGCGGTCCGGCTAGCGCGCATCCCGCTGCGCGTGCACCCCGTCAGCTCGAATCACTGGGGTATTCTGTCGTCCGCCGGGCTGCGCGATGCGATCGCGTGGGAGCTGGAACGCGAGGTTCCCAGCGCTCCGGACGGCAAGGCGGGGCACGACACGGCCGCGGCTGCCTTGGCTGTCGCGCCGCCGACGCCGCGGACACGACTCGAGTTGCGCCGGAGGCGCTGACAGGCCGTCTGGGGGGGCACACAGTCGCGCAGTGACAGTGGTCGCGGAGAGACGTATGTGCTGAGTGTTGTAAGAATATCCGAGCGATACACAAACCTCGCGCCCCGCGCTGAGCAGTCGGAGATCTCGCGTGCAGTGTGCAGCGAGATATAAAGAGGGCGGCCGCCGCGCAGGCGCAGGCCGCAGCCGGACGACGACGAGCGACATCCGTGATCCGACAATAGGGGGTGCGGTGCGTACCAAAATCGCAAACCCTGTCAGCAGTCCTCCTCCGGGAATGTACGTAAGAGCCACATACATTGAGAGAGAGACACAACCCCCTCTCTCTTTTCTCCCAGTAAGCTAAAAGTACGTATGCCTGGCCCTTGCTAGCGTGTGGAGATCTTCACCTCACCTCACCTCGCCCTAGGCCGCCCTTCTTCGCTTAAGCCAAAGGGCGAGGCGAGGCAGGCGGCGATGAGTTTGGCGCGCGCGTACGAGGCGGGATCGATGGCGCAGTGCGCGCGCGCCGCGCAGCTCGCGCGGGCAACGGAGAGGGGGCGCGCCGACCGCCAACGCTGCGCCATTGGGAGCTGAGGCGCGGGTTCACTTTTCGATGTTTCGCCTTCGGCCCGCGCAACCGTGGCGCACACGTGAGTAGGCAAGGAGAGTTGGAGTATTTTCTTACCGTTCTACTTCGCGGAGGCTGTCCAGATACTGGGATACTTCGCAGCAGGCCTCGAATACTGGGATACTGTGAAAGATTTCCCTGTGAGATATGGCGCAGTAATAATACTTCAATACTCCGAGTTGGTACCGCAGATACTTCGATACTCGTGTTGACGCACCCGGTGAGTATCACAGTACTCGATCCACGCCGGCGAAGTATCCCAGTATCACAGAGCTAAATGCCAAGTAATAATACTGCAATACTGGGCGCTACTTGGTCCTCCAGCCCCGCCGAGTATCCCAGTATCCGCATCAGAGATGGCCAGTATCCAGCAGTATCCCGCAGTATCCTGCAGTATCCTGCAGTATCCCAGTATCCGGGGTCGGCCCTCGAGCGATGCATTGCACTGCGGCCGCAGTCGCACGTCCAGCAGCGGGATGCGAGGCAGCAGCTAGGTGGGGAGGGATTGAGCCAATTGAGCAGCGTGGGCAAGCGAAGACTGCCGTAAAGTGTGTGCCCGCGCCCTGCCGGCGCAATGGTGTAAACGCGTGTGCAAGGGCTGGCGGGGTGGGAAGGCGGCAACGGAACGAGGTGGGCGAAGACGGCTGAGGCGCCAGTGCTGGAACTGAGGGAGAGTGTCGTGGCAGTGCACTGGTGCTGGTGCTGTGTGGAGAGGAAGACCCATATCGGGGAGGCGTCACGGCCAACATTGAGCGCAGCAAGGTGGTCACGTCCTGCGGCGCACGCACAGGAATCATAGTATATCACACAGCAGCTGTGCCGTAAAAGGGTCCCAGAGCTATCTCGGTGGCTAGGGGCGCTGGATTGGCTGGGCGCGTCAGCTCCCACAAGCGCACTGCATGCGATATCAACGTTGTGATGCAGCGTCAGCCTTGGCAATAGAAGCTTGGCGCCGGCACGCAGGAGCACCAGCGTCTGCAGCGCTTGAATGGCGTGTGCAAACTTTTGCATCTCAGGCGGCCGGGCGTCGCGGCGCCCTCTCGCAAGTGCTGTGACCCAGGGAGGGCGCGTGAAAGTGATAGAACGGTCGAAAAGTTCGAGCGTCATTCATGTCGCCGAAGTTCCTCCTCCCGCCAACCCCAACCAGCCCCGCACGACCCCAATCGGCCGCACACCGCCACACAGCAGGCTCTGGTCACCGACACAACTCTTTGCTTGGCGCCGGACCGTCTCGAGTGAACCCACCGGTGTGGGCGCCGCCGCTGAGCATCACGGCAAACGGGTGACGGACCTACACATAAACTGAATCACCTCGGCCGACCATGCCGCTGCGGCCGACGATGTCGGATGCTCTCGAGCACTCTCCAGCGCCGGGCGCGGTCCTGACACAGCCGGCCGTGCTTCACCGCCGCTGTTCAGCTCGGATCGATCCTTCTCATGCCCAGCAATCGCCGCCTCAGCATCCTCCTCTTCCGATTCTCGTTGCTCTTCTTGAGCGCAATCTTCAAGCCAAACAGTTCTCACAAATAGCCTCAAGCTCAAACAAACGCATGTCACAGAAGCCTGTGTATGCTGGTCCTCTTTGAACGATCCGCGCGTGAGGTAGCATAGGGCCTTGTTGGCAGCAGCCAGCTTGTTGCGCTGCTTCGTTGCGATGAGCTGATTGGGATCGCAGAAGTGCATGCCAAGCACCGCCACGATCTTGAAGCAGAACACATCGCAACCGCATCGTCCGCACTGCCATCGGCATGCCGCGCCCGCCGCTTCGCCGCAGCCGCCTTAAGGCACGCATAGCGGCAGCACATGGTACGGTGCGCGTACTTGAGCAGGAGTTGCGCGCCGCAAGTAGCGCACTGGCCCTGGGACAAGGCGATATGGCGTCGTGCGCGGCATACGTTGGTCGGGACGCGTCCAGGTATTTTTCGGGTAAACCTGGACTTTTGCAGGTCTTAGGTATATTGTTGGCAAATCAAGACACAGAGCTGGACTTTTGCAGGTAATACTTGGCTATCGCACTGTTGACGTACCGGCGGCTAAGGCCGAGTAGCCGGTGTTCACAGAGCTCTGTGAACACCGGCGAGAGATTTTTCTCTCGACGTTTCTTCTGCGAAGAAACGTTCAAAACACTCGGTGTCGAAACACCTCTCCGACGCGCTCGACTATAGTCTGCGGGATAAAGCACACAGTTGGGGGGGAAACTAGATTTGGGTAGGTGAGCCGCAAACCAGCATGGTGTACATTTTGAGTTTATAGTAGGACCGTGCACCCGATACCCTATTTATTTGCGGTATCTTACATCTGATTCGATAGCTCGTCCTGCGTGCTGAGCCCCGTCTTTGCCTTGTCCAGAAAAGCAAGCACGGCTGGTGCCACGAGCGGTGAATCCCTGAACGCTGCGTGACCCGCCCCTGGGCAGATGAGCAGCTCGCTGCCGCTCCCTGGCAACGAACTCAAGCTATGATACAACTGGAGGCTGTGGTCCAACCGAATGAACGGGTCGCGGTCACCTGCGACCACGAGCGTCATCACGGTGGCCGCCGTAGCCAAATCTGAAGGATCCCACTGTGGCTCGTGCTGCCACATTGCCGTCAGGGCCTTGCCCGGCCCCGCCGCCCACGCGTCATCGTCTGCAATCGGGCTGCCCTGCCGGAACTGCGCCCACAGGTGCTCTCCGAGAAAACTTGGGCCACGGCAGCGCTGCCGACCCGACGGTGCCCGTCCTGTCCCCCACCCCCTCGGCAAGCCCATTCGTATGGAAGTGGCTGCCAATGCAGCACACAGCGGCAATGCTGACCCCGTCGCTCCTTCCTTGCGACACGCCCTGCTTCATGGCGGCTGCCAGCGCTATGATGCCCCCATAAGAAAAGCCGACCAAGGCGACAGGTCCAGCCGGGAAACCCGCTTCCCTGTGTGCAGCGGCGACCACTTCCATGACGTCGTCGGCAAACAGATCCGGTGAGAATTTGTGCGGCAGATCGCCAGGTGCGCTCCTTCCTTGCCCGCGGCAATCCAGGGCAAGCACCGGGTGGTGGGGCGACAGCGCCGGGACCAGTGAGGTCTCAAATGATCGGGCAGTTCCACCACCACCGTGGATAAGAACGACAGGCATGCCCTCGCTCGAGCCGCCCTCCACGTGGAGCTCGTAGTAGAGCGCGGCGCCGCCCGAGCACGCTGCGACACGCATCCGACTGCGTTCAGGCGACGGAGCACACATGAACTCAGCTCCCCTAGACTCGCAACTCCACGTTTGGCTGCCATCAAAGTTGACTTCATTCCTTAGCGCTCGTCATACGTGAAGGTTGCGCCTGCAAGGCGGAAAAGGAAGTCATTATTGGAGCAGTAGCTGAAAAGACGTACCACGAAAAGGGTGAGAGCTTGTGCAGGGTGCAGCAGAAAGACGTTAAAGAATATGTCACAGAGAGCGCACACACAGCCCACACGCGCGCACGGTTGGAGCACTTGATCGTGAAGCAGGACAAGAGAGTGGTAGAGAGACTGGCACTGGGCTGCTGCCCGCTGCCCGGCTGCCACCCTGCCACTCAAAAAAGACATCCCGAGTAAGCGCATAACCCGGTTGCATAGACGTCACTCTTGGGCCGCGCACCCCCCCCCCCCCTAGCGCCAAGGACACAACATCACGACCAGGCAATGTAGCGCGCGTGACTGAGGTTAGAGCAGGCTACGCGCCTCCTGAGGTGTACCGTTGGAGCACACTTGGAGTGCGGTCATTAGTCTCAGGGGGCCGGGGAGGTAAGAAGCGCATCCAGCGGGCCGGATGATCGGGATCGGGCTACGAGCAAAAGAGCCCTGACCCTGGGGGGTGCGCGTTCGCAGGGAGGGGCCCGAAAAGAAAGTAAAGATGCGTCTCCGAGGGTTGGCCCCGTGTATGTACCGTGTAGCGTGTACCGGGATCCCTTCCTCCTGACTGCAGAACGCCCCCTCTACTCGGGGAGCCAGTGAACACGACAATGTACACCACGCCGCATACACACAAACATTTGCTTAGAAGCCCCCTGTCTTGTGGCTCCCCGGTGTGAACATCAACAACGCTGCTCGCAACATGCGTGTTGCGCACTCATTCATGACTGGTCTCAATGTCCCACCCACCTGCGCGCGGGCCTTCTAGGCCCGCGGGTAGTCTCCCCCCACCCATCCCCAGGCAGGGCCTGCCTCCAGGGCTCGCACCTCAACCTCTCACAGACCAGCGCACAGCGCCATACGACGTATTTTCTCTCAATAACACAATGAACACACCAGTGAGGGAGGGCGAGACGATCGAGGGGTCCCGTACCATGCGGAATCGCCCCTATCCAGTGCTCAAGTCTGTCTTGAATTCTCACAAGCCGCCGAGCCGCCGAGCCGCCGACCGCCATTTCTGGACATCGCCACGCCCGCCGCCGCAGTCGTCGACTTCTCTACCCGCGAGTGGAAGCTAGGCTTGGCTGGCGACGAGGCGCCTTCTCTCGAGCTCGCCGCGGCTGCCAGCTACGAACACCGGCTCGCCCGCTACCTGGAGTGGTACGCCAGCCTGGCCGAGCCGCCCGCGGTGGCCATCTGCTCTTGCAGGGCGCTCACCGATCCGGGCGGCGCGCTCGCCGTGGCCTTTGCGGCGCCCGGCATCCAGCATGTGCACGTCGCTTGCCAGGAGAACCTGGCCGTGCTGGCGAGCGGGCGCACGACGGCGCTGCTGCTCAACCTCGACGAGGACCGAACCACCGCCCTGCCCGTGTACAAGGGCTATCTCGTGGAGGAGGGTGTGCGTGGGGCGGCCGCCATCGACCTCGCCGCCGCAGCCGCGGTGCTCGCCGAGGCCATCGAGTGCTGTCCCATCGACACCCGCTATGACGTGGCGGGCGGCATCATCGTGGCGGGCAGCCATGAGCTCGACTGGGCGGCGCTTCACGCGACGCTGGGCCAGCGGCTCGGCCCGCTGCTGGGCGAGACCGCGGCGCCCACCGCCGAGGGGCGGGCGAGGAGGAGGTCCATCGCCACGCAGCTGCGCAAGCTCGACGTGCCGGACAGGCCCTGGTGCAGCGGCTGGGTCGGCGGCTCGATGCTCGGCACGATCGACGCGTTCCGCCGGATGCCCTTCGTCACGCGGGAGGTGCGCCGCCTGCGAGGCGCGCCACCGAGCGGCGCGGCTGCCTCCCAACCGCCGCGCCTCTCGCGGACCGTAGGAGTACGAGGCTGGCGCAATCGACTTGCAGGCCCTCGACAGGATCCCTCGCTTACGCGCCCAAGGGGCGTACTCCTTCTCCCTGCAGCGGGAGTGGCCGGCGGCCGCGCCGCGGCTATCGCCCGCATCGCTGCAGGCGGCCGAGGAGCGGAGGTCGGCCGCGGAGTGCTCGGAGCTGCCGGCGCTCTATGTCGGCCAGAGGGTGCAGGCGGCGCACCAGCCGGGGACGATCGAGGCCGAGAACGTCGACGGCAGCTTCGTCGTGGCGTTCGACGACGGGCAGCACGCGGTCAACGTGCCGCCCTCCGCCCTCAAGGCGCTGGAGCCCGCCGCGGGGCGGCGCGAGGAGCTGCCGCAGTGGGCCGCCGACGAGGCTGCCGCGCTCGGGCCGGGCGCTCGGGTGCGTTGCAACTTCTGGGGCATGGAGAAGGCGAGCCAAAAGTACCGCCACTTCCCGGGGACGATCCGCGCGGTGAACGCGGGCGGCTCCTACCACGTCGAGTTCGACAACGGCGACTACGCCAAGACGGCGCCCCGCTCCTCGATCAAACTGATTGAGGCGGCTCCGGGGCACAAGGCGCCGCAGAGCGCCCGGCGAGACATCTTTGCCGTCCCCGCTCGCGACAGGGCGCAAGTGTCCGCCGCGGCCCGAGATGCCGCCGCCGCCGCCGCTGCCGCCGCCGCCGCCGCCGACGCTGCAGCCGCCGCTCCCGCCACTCCCGCCGCGCGCGCCGCCGCTCCCGCCGCTGCGCGGGCCCGTCTCGCCGAGCTGCGGGAGCGGCGGTCGACGGCTACCGCGACCGCGACCGCCGCGACCGCCGCTGCCACCGCCACCGCCACCACCACCGCCTCCGCCTCCACCGCCGCCGCGGCCGCGGTCGCCGCAGAGGCGGCGAGGGCCGCCTTCAAGCGAGCGATGGCTTCGGGCGCAACGCAGGAGGAGGCAAGGGCGGTGGCGCGCGCCGAGGGGGCGGCAGCGTGGAAGGCGGCCGTGGCGACGGCCAAGGCCGCGACCGTAGCGGTGGCCGACCCAAAGAGCGCCGCGGAGGCGACTGCACCAGTTGCCGCCGAGGAGAGCTTGGGGCGAGCATGGGGTCTCTCCTTGCGGCGCGCAGCCGCGGCCACCAAAACCGCCGTCGTCACTGCGGCCGCCGCCGCCGCCACCGCCGCGAAGCCCGCACCGCCCCCGCCGCCCCCGCCGCCCCCGCCGCCCCCGCCGCCCCCGCCGCCCCCGCCGCCCCAGCCGCCCCAGCCGCCCCAGCCGGCCCAGCCGGCCGCTCCGACTCGAGCCGACACCAGCTGGAGGTCCTCTGGCGGGAAGGGGAGGGGCTCGCTCGGCGAGGAGAGTCAGGTCCTGTGCGACAACTTCCGGGTCGACATCCTGTCGGGCGCCACGGGCCTCTGCAAGTGCGGCCACCCCAAGGCGGCACACCCTGTGCTGGCGCCTCTCCCGGGAGAAGACCCCGCCGTGCCCTACGGGTCGTCTGCTGCCGACTCCTCTGCTCCCGCCGCTCTTGCCGCCGCTCCCGCCGCCCCTGCAACCGCCGCCGCCGCGAAGGCGCGAGATCCGAACAAGAAGCCGACCATCTGCGGGTCGCTGGTCCTGATTGACTCTGCCGAGGGGACGCTGCAGCTTCACTGGACACAGAACTGGCCGGTGCGACCGCCACCCCCGCTTGCGTCCTCCCTCCCCCTTCCCCCGTGCCGACTCTCTTCCGTGGCTGCTTCGGCTCTGGCTGCTTCGGCTCGCCCCCCGCTACGCGCCGATGCGTGCGCAGCTGTCCTCTCCTTGCCAACAGGTGGACGGCGCGCTCGCCTATTTCGAGACGGAGCGCTCGGTCCCAGCCTTCAAGCTCAGGCAGAATGCCGGCCGATCCGACATCATGAAGGGCGTCAGCGGGGCCGACTCGGACAAGTACTTCCAGGCGCTGCGTTTCCGTCAGCCCACCTCCCTAGCACGCCGCTGTCCCGCCCACGCCCCGTCGCGCTGCTTCCATCGCGGGTGCGCCGCCCCCCTTTCGTCGATGCATCGCACGCCGCTGCTCACAGGCGTGGCTGCAGTTCATCAAGATGGCGAAAGGTTGGGGTGGTGAGTATACGCACCTGGCAGACAGCGACGCCAAGCCGATCGCGCTCTACGCCATCGACGCCTCCATTCGAGTGAGGCGGATCGGGGTGGGCGAGGCGACCAGCTGGGAAGAGGCGATCTGCGTCGCGGCTGTGCCGAGGGACTCGAGCGCGTTCAAGGGGATCCGGGAGCTCTCCCTCGGGATGTTCAAGCAGAACGCGGGCAGTGCGGGCGGGTTTGCGCTCGACCTGGGGTGAGAGAGGGACGTTTTCTCTCCTTTAAATAAAGCAACGGGCAGAAGCTCACGAGATGCCATTATAGCGCCCGCGGGCCGATATCCGGCCCTCACTTTATTGGAATAATGGATTATCGTTGGACGTTGCGAGCCATGGCATCCCATGTGCCATGCCCATGCAGATCCAGATGCACGAGTCGGAGTCCCGCGGGGCCGGGGGGCGGAGAGTTCGCACCTCACCGGCTCCGCGCTCCACCCCTCCCCCCTCCTCGCCCTCAGCCTCCGCCCCCCCCGACCTCGCGCCCCCCTGCGCCGCACCCTCCACACCCGCTCCCCCCCCGCCCCGCGCGCCCCTGGCCCCCCTTCCTCCTGGCCCATGCCGGACGCGCGCCCGCGCGACGCTCGCCTGTTGACAGCGCGGCAGCTGTGTAAAGAAGACACCGCCTCCTTGGCGGTCTCGTCCGCGCCCGCGGTGAGGCTTGCCGCAATGGCCGTCGCCATGCGCATGCCCCGCGCCCAGCGGGCCCAGGCGCCGCTCCGCCCGCGAAGCAAGCGCCTCGATCGGCACTGTACACGTGGCGGGAAGCCCCTCCTACGGACGACAGTTGCCAGTTCCCCCCCCGCACAGAGAGCACAGTGCACAGAGGCATAACTTCGAACCTTTTCACAACACGGAAGTTGCATGAAGCAAATGCTTTTTAAATCAGGCTAAGATAGTCACGATCAAATTGAAGCGATCCTTATAGACTGCAAAAACAAAACGTGAAGCGGGCTCCAGGGGGCCCCAAAGAACGTGCGAGTGTCAGAGTGATCGGAGATGATGATTTTGTTGTGATTGGTGCATGTGCATGTGCATGTGCATGTGCATGCACATGTGCATGCACATGCGCATGTGCATGCATTAACACAAAACAAACTCTCTCTCTCTCTCATGTATCGCTAATTAAAACTCTCACTCAAAACAAATCTCTCCGTGTCTCTCTCTCGAACTGTGAGAATGGCAGCTCGGCAGGCTGGCTGAAGGCTGGTGGAGCCGGGACGTTGTATGACTTTGGCGACGATGATCGCGTGAGGCTTGGAATTGAGGAAAGAACACGAGCAAAAAAAACCCCAAGAGAGGGCAGGTGTATTTTGGCGGACCTCATCCTGAAATTCTGCAAAAACCTGGCCGGCCCCTGCGGTTTAGGCTGAACAAGCTTTTCCTCTCGCACCCCGTCTCTTTTCCTTTCCTTTTTTCTCTACAGCACCCTCTCTTTTCCTCTCTATTTTCCCGGGGAAACCATCAAATTTTCCGGGCTCTGAGCCGAGTCTGAGGCTGGTTTGGGCCCAGCCCAAAATCAGCCAAATCGGCAAAATACCGGGTATTTTGCGGGTATACCTGGAAAACCCCGGGTATACCTGGAAAATACCCTGCGATCGCCTGGGTATCGTGCCGATTTCCTCAATTTTGCCTCAGATTTTGCCCCAGACCAGCTCTCAGACTCAGGGAAACTCGCGAGTTTCCAGAATGGAGCACCAAACACCCTCTGACATTTCCCTGGAAATTTCCGGAAACGCAAAGTGCTGGGGCCCCTCTGTTTTCCTTTTTGTTTGCCGGAAAAGCTTGTGCAGGCCAACCTGCGGTGCCCCTACCTACCTACCTACCTACCTACCTTACTTATGGGAAACTAAAAAAGAAATCACCGATCGGTGAAGGTGGGGTACTATACCAACTAAAGTGATGGTTGGTGGTACTATCCTGCAACCACAGTCCTTCCTGTGACATGGCAGGCCACTCTCTGTTGTTGTCACTCTCAAGCCCTACAAGCACCAGATCAACGACTTGGGGAGGGTGGTTGACATCGTGATTTGCGCCGAAGATTTCTTTTTTTGAAAATTCCGGCGTGAAAACAGGGCAAACCCCGACGGGAGGGCCCAGACCTACCCTACCGACCCCGGAATTAGGTCCGAAAGCAAAAATAAAAACACAGGACATGGAAAACCGGCCTGGGAAGCAGTCGTGGGCAAGCAGACACAAAGCTGAGCGCCTAAGCCGGCGCAGCCGGCGGCGACCTAAAGCCGATGGCCTCATTCACTGATGCCGAGCTCAGCAATCTCTCGCTCAAGAGCGACGACCTACCGCGCCTCTCCAACGAGGACGACGAAGCGCTGCTCGAGGCCGCAATCGATGTCGCGCTCGGCACGCACGATCCACCTGCAGACTTCGCACCGGCGCAGTTCGGCGTGTCGCCAGACCTCTTCCACTCGCCCGAGGCGTCGCCCCTGCGCGCCACCACCGATGATCAGCAGTACACCTTTGCCGGTGGCGGCGGCTGCTGGGGTCCGCTGATTGGCTGTCCCGCCTCGCCGTGCACCGTCGGCTTTGTCAAGCCCGTCAACCCGGGGCACTTCAAGAACAAGTTTTGCCCAAATTGCCGCGCGCACGGGCTGCGGCTCCCGGCTGAGCGCGTGCGCGCACTGACGCCGGCGCTGGTGCAGCAGCTGAAGAATGCCAAGGGCGAAGGCCTGTGGACCAGCGACGCAGCACTCGGCCGCACCGCCTCCTTCCGGCTGTGCAACCACACCGCAAAGTGCTCGGGCCCGCCGCTGCTTGTGCTGCGCGACGCAGCGGCGGTGCCGCAGCTGCCGTTCGCCGACCTGCCGCCCTTCCTCATCGAGCAGGGCACGATCCTGCTGCGTGTATCCAAGGGCACGTTGGTCCCCAGCGGGCTGCTGCACCAAAAGGTGGAGCGGCCGCCGCCCGACGCGTCGCAGGCGTGGCGCGCGGGGCCGCTCTCGCCGGCGCAGGGCGCGAAGCGGCCGCGGCCACTGGAGGCTTACCCTTCGACCGGATCCGAGTCCGAATCCTTCATGAGCGACAGCAACGAGCAGAGCTCGCGGTGCGACATCGAGTTTTTGGGCGCCGTCGTGCAGACGCACGCGACAGTGCGGGCGGCGATCGACGCGCGGTGCGGGCTGGCCGGGGTGGAGCCGCCCATCTCGGCCGAGGTCGCCTCCACCGTCATCACAATGCTGCAGACCGCCGCCGACATGGTCGCCCGTAACAGCGTCCTCGGGCAGAGGACCGGAGGGGTTGTTTACCGCGGTGGGCGGCGCTCAACCCTTTCGCTTGACGCGCCACTCGCAGAGAGCGTCTCGGACGGCGACTCGGACGACAGCGTGGGAGAGCCGCAGGCCCGGCAGGGCGATGGTGCGCCGGCAACGAAGCCAGAGCCGGAGAGCGAGCCTCCCAAGCGGAGAGGCTTATGGGCTTGGCTGTGCATGTAGCCTCCACTCGCCGCGCCCGGCGAGTCGCTGCACAGTCCACAGACACGCAGAGAGCCTACATGTACATGTAGTATGCAGAGACGGAACTGCCCGGCAGTCGGGGGCGGCGCCGCGGGGGCGCAATGTATGCCAAGGGTTGCACGCGTAACTGCTGTGCCCGCGAGGCCGCGCGATGTTTTGTTCTCGGTATGAAAGAAAGTTTCGCCCAGAACGCTACAGCACAGAAAATCACGCGCACCAACTCCAAACAACAAAGTGTGAGTGTTAGAGTTGTTTGGTGTTGCTTAAAGAAAAATTCTTTTTCCGGGTCAACCCGTCATGCGGCAGGTGGCTTGCTTTGGCTCGCTGCCACCGCGGTGGCTCACCAAGGACTTTTCAACGTGCGGCGTCATCACCGCGCGGCGCGCAAGCCACGCCTCACCCCCGGGCAAAAGGAACGACCGCGCGCCGCCGCCGCCCGCCTCGCCGCGCCGCGCCGCGCCGCGCCGCGCCTCGCCTCGCCTTGCAGCAGCGCACGCGCACACGCACCCGCGCGCCCGCGCTCGCTCCGCGAGAGCGAAGCAACCCTCCAAGCGAGTTTCGAGCCGGGAGCCAAAAGGTCCCAGCTCGAACCGCGAACCGGTTCGACCACCGCCGCTGGCGGTTCTGCAAAGGCACTCAAGGGCAGTGCCTCATATAACGTGAAATAGTGCGAGCGCGCGAGATACTCACCCGACCCACCGTGCCCTCGCGAAAGAGATCTCGCGCCGCGCGCGCTCGCACACGCCGCCCGAGAGCACTCCCACCCCCGCCGCCCTCGCAAGCTCACAGGTTGATTTGAGGAGAAGCAGCTGGGGAGGTCAAAGCGGGAGAAGGCGGCACGGCGGCGGCGGCGCGGCCCCCCCCCATCCCCACGCCTCCGGGTCGTGCGTACCGCCTCCAGGCGTGAGTGTCCCCCCAGCGTCTGCTCCAGCAGTCGCTCCGGTAATCAGGCCGAGAGTACCAGGGAGGAGGGGAGAAGATCCCAGGGTGGGGAGAGGAGAAGAGCCCAGGGAGGGGGGAGGAGAAGAGCCCAAGGCGGCCTCCCTCTCCCTCCCCTCCCACCGGGCCTCCCTCTCCCTCTCCTCCCACCGGGCCTCCCTCTCCCCCTCCTCCCGCCAAGCACCGACAGTCTCGAGGGGCCAGCCGCTGGGGGAACCACCTCCTGAGAAGGGGGGGTGGACGTACGCCAGCGGCACGAGGGCTTCAGCCACACAACTACCATGGGAACGCGACCCACACAAAGCACCAAAGTTAGGCATATCCCCCGGCGCAGTGTCCCCCGCTATGTGTCGCCGTTCGTCGGTGCACGCTATCCTGTGCAGTCAGGGCAAGTGGGGGCGGGGCGGACAGCCCAGAGTCTATACCCTGGGATCTCTCCGCCCAGTCCGGGGGTGCGTCGAACCTTCCATCACCCTGCGGAGACGACTCGACGCCGCTGAGATCGGAGATCAAGCTCTGACAGGTCGCACGTCGCTCCTTTGACGCCGACGTGACTCACCCGTGCAGATCACATCAGCACACGGTCTCGACGCGCTCGGTACGACGCCTGCGACCCGTCTCGGGTCAGGTGGCACGACGCTCATCGCGCCTACCAGCGCTGCCGTACAGGTTGCCACGACGAGGTCGAGCACGCTTCTATACGCTCGCCGAGCCTTCCTTTCCATCCAATTAGGCAGCCTGGGAACGGTGGCGGTCAGAGGCAAAGCCTACGAGGGGTGGTGGAACCACATGTCACGGCTACTGCCGGCTTGACCCCACGATAGCCTCCGAAGGCTGACTTTGCGGCACCATCATCGGACGATGTCGACGAGTTGGGTCGCTCTCGCGGTAGCCAGATGACCTCTCTTCCTAGGTCCTAGGAGCACATCGGCCATGGCCGCAGGGAGCGCGGGGGAGGGCGCTGGAAGCAACACGGAGCTCCGTTGGAGACGTTTTCAAGATTAGCGCGTGTCAGAGTGAATCTCCGCTGAATGTGAAATGGCACTAGCCTCCCCATATTGTCTGAAGCGCCCCGCAAAACATGATAGCTGGGCTCATCAGTCCTCCTGTCGAGTCGCCTGGGCAAGAGCCCGACAACGACAGCTTGAGAGAGAGCCTGGCGCGCATAGAGATAGACCTTTTCGGTGCACAGTCTCGCTTTAATATCCCTTTGTCGACTCAGGAATGGCCCCGCGAAGGAGAACCTGACACGGCTCACGTGTGTGCGCCGCCGGCTATCCAGACAGCTAGGAGCTCGACACAATAGCCGCGTCGTACCGAGCGGACTCTGCCTCCATGCGCGCGTTCAGATTAGCGAGGTGCACCATCAGCTCGAGGGACCGCTGGAAAGAGGCCTGCGACTTGCGGAGCGAGGGCGGTGGCATCACCGAGAACCAACGCACGGGATCTCCTGCGGCGCTTGGCCGTTGAGAAGCGGCCCGAGTCGTCTCGGCCGCCTCGGCGCCGGCGTCGTTCACTAGGCTCGCAAATCGCGCGTCCTTGAGCGACTGAATGCCGGACGGCGCCATGCTGATCGGCGAGGAGAGCGAGCAGAGACGTGCGCCGCCGTCGGGACCCTCGACCACGAGACTATCGCCACACGTCATGCCGACGCCGTCGCCGCCGCTCAGCGCGCTGGCAATCTCGCTGCGCAGCTCCCCGGCGACGCCCAGCTGCTCCAGCTGCGCCTCGTGGGCTGCAGCCTGCTCGGCCGCACCGGCCGCACCGCCGCCAACAGTCGCTTTGCTGCACGACGGCGCTGCCGCACCGGGAGCGCGGCGCACGATGCGCAGCTCGACGCGGCCCGTGTCCGCATCCGCGACCTGAGCGACTCGTGCGGTCGCCTCAATCTCCTCTGGAAACTGCAGCGCGCCCACACTCGGAGTCCCTGTGTTGCGCGAGCGGGAGAGGTCGCGCCGAGCCTTTGCGAGTCCAAAGAACCCCTCGCGGAGCACGGTCTGCAGCTCGAGCTGGCTGGTCAGGAACTCCTCGTAGGCCTCGAGGTGCGCGATCAGCGCCGTGTCCTTTTGCTCCTGCTTTGCTGTCATGCCCCGTTCGCGGTCGGGTAAGCCCCGGCCACTCCGCTGTGAACACCGAGGGGCCTCGGTCTTGCGGAGCTGCCGGCCGCTCGAAGTCTGTTCACACCGAGTAGCTGTGACTGCGGCTATAGCAGACAGCGCCGTTCGTACCCGAGGACACAGAAAAAGAATTTACAACCAACTACTCGCACAACACTGGGGACGGGACAGAAGAATTTTATCAACCCTGAGCACGCGCACTGTGCGCGGCGATGCGCCCTCCCCCCTCGCTTTTGAGAGAGATTTTTAGAAGCCAACAAGAAATGTGTCACACAGAGTGATTTGGGCTCGGCAGCTTGTCGACTACCAGCCGGAGCCGGAGTCGGAACCGTAGCCGAGATGGTCTTCGAGGGTGTCGAATATGTCATTCGCCTCGCTAGTGGAGCGTGGAGGTCATTGCTGCGATGTCGTCATGCCCATCTTCTTCGCTTTTGCAAAATCCTGCAAAGGTGGGGACGTGTCTGTCCTCGACCCAGCCCTAGCTTGGGATGTCCGTTGTACTTATTTGTTTATGTACACTACAGAAAAAGAATTGATCGCATCAGCAAAAGAATGAGCGGATAATAGCGAGTAGCACACCTTTGCAACAATGATCAAATTGCAACAATATACCTACAGGCTACAGCAAGAAGAGAGAGAGTCTTCAAAAATCTCTCTCTCTCCCTACAGCACACCTCAAGGAGTCCCCAGAAACCCCGAGGAGTCACATGTACATGCACATGCACACACACAGTCCCTGTGTGATGCACGCCCTGCGAGCGGGGGGTGGGTGGGTGCGCGCTGTACTACCAGTACCTCTCTGTGTTCGTGCGTCGCCCATCTCTCATGGAGATGCTAGCCCATTTATTTCTTTATTACTGGCACCACAAGGTCCAAGAACCTTGGAATAGCTAAAACACAGGAAAGCGTAAAAAGGAATTGCAGGTGCGCGCCCGCGTCCGTTCAACCTGAAGAATGGCGGCGCAAGCAGCGGTTCAACCTGAAGAATGGCGGCGCAAGCAGCGACTGGGGCGGGCGTTGCAGCGGCAAGCAGGCCTCTGCTGGCGCTAGGCGTGATTGGGCCAGACGACCGCCGACGCAGGCAGGCTCACCGCGCGTGGACTGCCGATGCCCCCCGCCTCAGAATGATTGTGAGATTTGTCGTCTCAGCTCGCGACCGAGCCTTGCAGCCGTGGTGGGAGAGGGCTTAGATGCCATCAGGGATCGCGTCAGAGCATGCGGCACTGTCAAGCAGAGCGTGCATGCCGAACTGATTCTAGATATCGACCCTGACACATACAGACGTCCACAGCCTCTCTCTGCAGGAAGGCATCATAGCAGCAGAGGCTGACGTCGATCTGGTGGACTGCCTCGGCCAAGGCGGAGGGGCCGCCATCCCCCTCTCCCTCACCGATGGCTGGCTCCGCCTCGCCTATGAGCGCTACGATGCGGCTTTCATCGGCAAAGCGGATGACGACTCGGTTGTCAGCCTGGGCCCGACTGAGAGACGTGACGTCGGCGACCAGGCTGGGCACAGCTTCATCTTCCTCAGCCAAGTTTGTAGGCTGGCTCCACCGCGCTCTCGTCGCGGAGGAGCAGCGGGTCTCGCAGCCCCTCTCGCGACGACATGTCTACGCGGGGACCATGCAGTGGCGCGCTGGTCTCGTGAGTTTGTCGTTCGGCATGGCACGTGTCAGCGCGCCTGCCCTCATATTCGAGTAGGTACCACTGGCGCGCGGCCTCGAGCGCAGCAAGGATGGCATCCACTGGGAGAAGCCCTTTGACGCACACCTGACGCCCGCCAACATGTAGGGATAAGCTGGAATTCGTGCCTCGCGGGTGGGGCCAGGGCCCAGTCAACTCGCGACGCAACGCGGCGCGAGACGGCAGTGCGCTTTGCCCGCAGTGTTCGGCCCCGTTCGCCACCGCGTGCAACATCAGCCTCAGCCTCTCCCCACGCTGCGCCGGGCCCTTCCCCTTCGCAACCGGTCGGCTGATGCTACTTTCCTCGGCGCTCGCACGGTGGTATGCATCCTCCGACCATGTGCAGCAGGCGGTCCAAGGGGCGCTCAACTCGCGCCTCAATCGCAGCGGAACGGCAAGTCAGCCGCTTCCGCTTACGGCAGCGCGCCAGCGGGGGCTCTTTGTGCGCCCTCGAGTCGCTGACGACCTGCAGACTCGCCTGTTCGAGGACATCTTCCTCGGACATGAGATATGCTTCGGAAGCCTTCGCAAATTGACCCTCTTAGCCTTCCCGGCCGGAGTGATCGAAGACGTCCCATGCAACGGCCACGGTCGGTGGGGGTCGTCGGGCTGCCGCCACGCCCTCAGCACAAAGTTCAACTGGTCGTCGTCCGCCGGCTTGCCCTTTGTGCTTCACAATGTCAAAATGGCTTCCGAGCTTGCATTTGCGGCATCGCTCGTCGGCGCAGTCAAGGTGCCCACTCGCGCCGTGAGCACCGACTTAAACAACGCCAGCAGGCTGCCGGCCTTCAAAGTAGGTCGGCGAACAGAGAGCGGCGTGCAGTCGATTTCATCAGCCAGACGCGATCCCAGCAGCCACACCGGCATGTGGTAAGATAGTAGATGCATGACTCACGCTGGCCAGCAAGGTGAGCAGCACCACGTGCCGCAGACATGCGCCCTCATCGTCAACCGTCCTGCGACAGGTGAGGACTGGAGTTGGTGCGCAACTCCCTGGCCCTCGATGCCGCGGCGACTCGAGCGGCGACGAGGTCGAGGGCAAAGCGGTCGAGGCTCTCGAGCGAGCCGTCTTGGCCGAAAGCGGTGAGCGGGGATATGGAGATTTATCGTGTGGGCGCGCCGACCACCGTGCCGGCGTGCCGCGGATGAGACCCCAATCGCCCACGCGGCGAGGCACGCGGACGCCCCCACCCCTCCAGAGGGGCCGCGCTGGGCTGCTGCGGCTAGGGCGCTCGGGAAGGTGGTGAACGCGTGGAGGACGCGGGGGGCGCGCGATCCTTTCGCACTGTCAAATAAAAAATGGGGAATGCGGGGTTAGCGCTAGCGGTAGCCGGTAGGGAGGGACCCTAGATCGGCGGATTGTCGATTGAAAAGATCCCTCACAGCAAGAACGTGCAGCTACACCCTACACGAGGTGTACACGTGCAGCTGCACGCGAGCCACGAGGGCGGCGAGACGCGAGACGACAGAGGACAGTCGACACCTCCATGTACATGTGCGTGTCCCTAAACCCCATCTCGTCTCAGAATCTGCCCATTTTATTTATTTATTTAAAGTGCACGTCGCACGCGGCGCGGACTCGGAAGGCGCTTGCCGCGGGCCGAAAGTCTCGGCCGGGGCTCTCTCGCGCTCTCCCAGACCTCTCTACGCGGCGCGTTTGGCGCGGCGGGCGCCCCTCGAGATTGCGACGAAGCCCGTCTTGATCGGAGTGACCGACCGGCGCGCGCCGCAATTGTTGCACTGCATGAAGTAGAGCCGGTTGGACTTTTGCAGCCCCGTGTTTGGCGATTTGCAAGACGAGCACGAGACGTACTCCACCACGTACCGGCGGATGATCTGCTCGATGGCCTTGGGCGGGAACCGTCCCTTGATCACCATCCGGCTGGACGCGTCGATCGAGCCGGTGGTGCCTAGAAGGGCCAGCGGTCGAACGCTCTTGCTTAGACGGCGGGGCTGTCTGGAGGCGGCGGGCGAGGGAAGAGCAGGGCGGCAGGGCGTGGCGGCGTCTACGGAGCGCGCGCCCATCTCGGCGAGCATGAAGGCGAAGACGTGGTCCTGCGACCGGTTCAGCGTCTTGCAAATGTCGCCAAAGTTGATGATGACCTACGCGCGCGCGCGCTTGCTGTGAAGACCCGCCGGCGGCGAGAGGCGCTGGCCGGCAGCGCAGGGGTCACGGACCACGCGCTTCGAGCCTTCCCGCACCACCTGCGGCGGCTTCATGAGGAAGCGCTTGCGATCTCCGGCGAGCTCGGGGTTGTTGGCCACCAGCAGCGAGTACATCCGGTCGAGCAGCTCCTCGTACCTGTTCACATGTGAACCGGTGAAGACGGTGCAGCGAGGGCGGCGGCAGGATGGGGCCCCCCTCCGCACTTGTACTCGCGGTCCCGCGGGATGGAGACGAAGTCGCCCTCCTGGAGAGGGAGCGAGCAGTCGTCGAAGCCGGCCCTCGAGGAGGAGGGGCGGAGGGGGCGGGGGGCCGGGGGGGGGGGGGGGGTGCCTCCTCGTCGTCGTCACCGCCTGGGTCGTCATCGCTCTCGCCATCCTCCTCGCCCTCCCCCTCGCCCGGAGGGGAAGCCTCCTCCTTGGGCTTCTTCTTCTGCGCGGCCGCCGGGGACAACAGAGGGGAATGAGATATGGGCGCGGCAACCGGGGCCGACTTCTGCGGCGGCGGCGGGGCGGCGGTTGCGGCGGCGGCGGGGCGGCGGTGGCAGCAGCTGCAACGGCGCGGCAGCCAACGCGCCTTCTTCTTCTTGGTGAAATCCAGATCGTCGTCGTCGTCGTCCTCGTCCGCGGGAGGCGCCTCCTCCGCCTCCTTCGGCTTCTTCTTCTGCGCCGCAGGAGCGGGGCCGAGCTCAGAGTTTGCACGGGCCGGTGGGAACGGACCGCGGAGAGACGGCGCGCGCGCCTTCTTCTTCTTGGTGAAGTCCAGGTCATCGTCGTCGTCCTCGTCCGCCGGCGGCGGCGCGGGTGCCTCGGCCTCCTCCTCCTTGGGCTTCTTCTTCTGCGGGACGATACGCAACCACCAGCCACCAGTTCAGCACGCAGCGGTTTGCGGCTGCGGGAAGGAGCGGGCTGGCGGGGGCGGCGCGCCTTCTTCTTCTTCGAGAAGTCAAACTCGGCTTCGTCGTCGCTCCTGCGCAGATAGGATAGGCGCGTGGATTGAGGGAGGTGTTAGCGGGGAGTGGGTTCGGCACTCGGCTCACATCGCAGCGCTTGCGACCGCTCGCACGCGCTGGGCAGGAAGAATTCCTCAAGCGCCCCTCCGTACTTCGACGCGGCTGCTCGCGTAGAGGAGGTAGAGAGGGAGAGGTTGTATTGAGTAATGCGTCCTTCTTGCGGTACGACCGAAGAGAGACCCTCAGCCTCGCCGCCGCGGGTGCGGCGGCTAAGCCTGACATGCGTTGAGTGAGGGGAGGGAGGCGATGCACTTTGCCCCCCCCCAGACGACCGACATCACACACGACAGTCAGCAGCAGACATGCACATGACAGGCGGAGGGACAGGGAGATACCCGCAAGACGCACCCGGAGCATCCTCTCGGGTGGAATCAAACATCAGTACAGAACACAGTCGCCAGGGCGTGGTGGGCGGGAGGCGACTGAGAGGTGATGGCGAGGCGTGCGAGCGATGAAGGGCAGACACTCGATTGCGCCGACGGGCGCAAGTCTGCCGATATCTCATCCGATATCTCATCCAATATCTCGTTAGCTTCGACGCCTCGTGGTGTGAAGTAGATGATGTGGTACAGAGGCCTACGGCCTGCAGGGCGAGCGCCGCACGAAGCCCAGCACCACCCCTCAGCAGAGCTGGCGAGAATCCTGGCGGATTCGCGCTACCTCTGCAAAGGGCCCCTCCGTACTTCGACGCGGCTGCTCGCGTAGAGGAGGTAGAGAGGGAGAGGTTGTATTGAGTAATGCGTCCTTCTTGCGGTACGACCGAAGAGAGACCCTCAGCCTCGCCGCCGCGGGTGCGGCGGCTAAGCCTGACATGCGTTGAGTGAGGGGAGGGAGGCGATGCACTTTGCCCAACGCTCTCGGAGTAGAGTCTCCGTGCGAGCCCGGTACGGCTTCGGCGTGAAGCGCCGCCCCCCCACGCGAGTGCGGTCAGGCTCCCCTCAGTAGCAATCCACCTGCTTGTACTCGTCGACGGCGGCGGTGTAATCGACCGGCGTCGACGCAGCCCGCCTCGACCAGTCCACCGAGTGGCCGAGACACGTCCCGGCAATCTCTTCCAGCATCGCGCTGTGCCGTTCGCTGAGGATGACGGCGTTGAGCGCACCAAAGAACATTTGGATTCTCGTGCTGGTGGCGATCGATGCTGCACGGAACGCCGGCATCTCGTCTGCCACCTTGAGAACTTCAGCCGTGACAACGTGGCCTTCCTCTGCCTCCTTGCACTGTGGCAGCTTACGGAACATTTTCAGTGCCTCGTTGGCACCTGATATCTTGACCTGCGCCGAGGCGACCTCGTCACGGCGCTCTTCGTCGGCCTCGAGCATCTTGTTGGCCCGGAGGGTATCCAGCCATCCGGCCCAACCGGTAAAGATCCTGCCCAGCTGATTAGCGGAGAACAACTTGGTGTCTTGCAAGTGCTCCCTCTCGGCTTCCTGGGCGGCGGCGGTCTCCCCCGCTGTCACCGCCTGCCCCAGCAGCCCTTTGATGATCGGCCGTGCCAGCTCCGCGGCCTGCGCTGCCGTCGCGTCTGGGTGCATCACTTTGACGGTGAACTGCTTCGTCCCACCATCGACGACTCTGCCACCCACGCACACGATGATCTGCCCGCTTGTTATACTGTGCACCTGCGAATCGGCTCCAGCCGTGCCAGACAGCTTCTCAATGATGGCATCCGTGCTCACGGTGAGGGCCATGGCGACTGAGAGGTGATGGCGAGGCGTGCGAGCGATGAAGGGCAGACACTCGATTGCGCCGACGGGCGCAAGTCTGCCGATATCTCATCCGATATCTCATCCAATATCTCGTTAGCTTCGACGCCTCGTGGTGTGAAGTAGATGATGTGGTACAGAGGCCTACGGCCTGCAGGGCGAGCGCCGCACGAAGCCCAGCACCACCCCTCAGCAGAGCTGGCGAGAATCCTAGCGGATTCGCGCTACTTATAAAGCAAGCCTGTCTCACAGTACACTGGCACGACAAGGGCGCGGACTGGCGCGGACTGGCACACACACCGGCTCACCACCGGAGCCGCAGGAAGAATTCTACTCCCCCTGGGCTTGTCTGTTTTCTTTCTTTCCCCCCTATCCCTCGTTTGGGTGTTCTCTGTTTCCTTTCTTTTTAGCACACTGGCACGAGATGAAGAAACGCAGCAACGATATATGAAATATGTCTAATTGCTGTGTGGTGCACGCCCTCCGAGCGGGGCGGGGTCTGCCCGTCGGGTTGTCGCCCATCCCTAATACGAGCGTCATCTTGTAGTGAACAGGCCGAGTTCGCGGTTTGAGCGCCCAGCGCAGACCGACCGACCGCAGGGGGGGTCCGGTCGACGGCCGCGGAGGACCGCAGACCGGAGGGGGGGTCCGGTCGGTCGGAGCGCAGACCGGGGGGGGGGGGGGTCGGTCGGGTTGGCTCGAGGGTCACACCGCACACGCTCGCCGCAGCTGTGAATAAATTAGTATCTCGAAATACTAGAGACACCAAGCGACCTCTCCCCCCGTCTAATCACTCCTCGTCGTCCGAGTGGCTGAGCTCGAGACGCTCTACAGGATTGGGTCGGAACACGAGCTCGTCCATGTCCACACTCTGGTCGTCGTCGTCGTCCATGATTAGCTTCGCCGGCGACACACTGTACCCGTTGACGAGCCGCTTGAGCGCGGCCAGCACCTCCTTGGCAAGTCATCGTAGTCATCAGAAGGGACGATGCGCGCGTACTGTGGAGAACTGGAGCGCTGCCAGAGCTTGTACAAAGCAACGGCAAGCAGGACCAGGCCTGCGACTGCGTAGATGCTCCACATATATGTGTGCGGTCGGGCTTGCTCGGGCCTCGGCGAAGAGTCTCCTTGGCGCTTGGCTGCGTGACTGGTTTTCATAGTGAAAATCGGCGATTTCGAAGCGCCCGTGGCGGTTCGCGAGAAGGAGGGCGGCGCTGTCTCTCAAGATGGAAGCAGGAAGCTTCCATCCCGGCGGTGGTTCGAATCCACATGAGCCGAAGGTGAGGGGGAAGGTTTGCCTGAGATCTGAAGCTCACCCATTGAGGAAGTGAGGAACTGCTCGGCTCACCCCGATCATGCCGAACAAGCTCCTCTTGTAGCTCGATCGGTCACGCCCACATCGCCGTCGGGGAGAGGGGGGACTGCTTCGGCAGCGTGCACCTCGATCCTGCACCGTGTTTGTTATGACCCCCCCCAATGAACACACCAGTGAGGGAAGGCGAGACGATCGAGGGGTCCCGTACCATGCGGAATCGACCCTATCCAGTGCTCAAGTGCTCAGAAGGAGGGAGAACGTTTGTTTGAGGGGGCTCACGGCAAGGACACCGACCGAGGGGGGGGTCGGTCGTCACACCTCCCGCCGCCGAGAGAGCGACCGACCGGAGGGGGGGGGTCCGGTCCACCTCGGGGGCAGACCACCGACCGGCGGGGGGGGTCCCCACGAACTAGGGGGGGTTGGTACAAAGTGACGCTCGTATAAAATGTTTCTCTATTTATAGGAGGCTGCCCGCGCCTGCCCCCGTGCCGCCCTGGGACCCTGTCGTGTGGGTGAATCCTGCCCAGCCCCCCTCCGGGTTGTCGCGATGCGGGATGCGCTCCCCGGCGCCCGGCTAGCCATCACACCGTTCTCAAGGTCCAGGCAGGTGGTCCAGCCGCTGGCGCTTCGGGTGACAAGCCGGTCAACCTTCCCCGAGCGGCCTGGTTGCAGGTCCTGCTCTCCGCGGCATGTCACGCCACAGAAGCCCGCCCCCCATCCCGGCTCGTTGTGCGGGGTGTCTCGACCCACATATTGGATGTGGGCCCTGGTCAGACCCGAGCCCGGGTGTGGGGTCGCCCACACCAGTACCCAGTCCGCCCTGAAGCCGCCCTTATCGTCGAGGAAATAGACCCAGACCGGCCCGCCTATCGTTTCGGGTGCCGCCACGTTCAGCTCGTCGAGGTCCGTGGCCCGCATCGACGCCAAGTCCTTGGGGTCGAGTGCCCCCCCCGACCAGCTATGCGCTGCACCACCCCCATCTCGGTCCCCATCACCGTGGACGTGTCCGTGGCCAGGATCAGCGTCGGTCGCTGGGGGGCTCGGCCGGGCGCCCGGTTCCTCATCATCTCCTCGAAGGCAACCGTGGTCCGGTACGCCGCCGCCACCTCGTCATTGTATCGGCTCAGTCGGGTCGTGTCGGCCGTCATCAGGACCTCTCCGTCCGACATCTCCACGGCTGCTTCTCCAGAGTCACCTACCGACGATCTCACCGGGAGGGCGAGGGAGGCCACCTCCCCTTCTTGTATCACGTGGCCCTTCCCACGGGACAGGCCTGGCACGGCTAGCATGACCGCGAGGTCCTCCCGCCATGTTTGTCCCAGCTTGGAGTCGGCTGCGAGTCCGCACCGCTTCATCCCTTCGGTGGTGTGTACATCGATAACAGCCTCGGTCCCGAATGACCTGGAGACGGCAATCTCATCAATCATGACCACCGCTCCACCACCCCCCGGCGTCGCTTGAGCCCATCTGATCGCCCGCAGCCTGCATCTCGTGGCCCGCAAGAGGCAGTTCCTCCGCCATAGGCGTATCACCTCGCCCCCGGGGCCTTCCCTAGCCGGGTTGAGGGCGGTCATTTCCCCCCCTGACTGTAGCTGCTGCCACTGTCTGGCATCTGCTGCCACCCATAGGACTCCGTCCACGATTGGGAGCAGGCCTGCTCTCACCAGCGTCTCGGACGGGGTAGGTCGGAGGGCGTGCTCTCCCGCTACCGCCTCCTGCGGCCCCACGCGGCCGGCCACGCATGCACCTAGGTTTGTTGCCCAGGCTGGGGCGAGCTTACCTCTCACCGGGTTTGGGTCAGCCCCATCGGTCATGGGCTTGATCTCCACAGGCTGGTCGTATCCAAGCGCCGCTGAGCTGACTCTCTGCAGGTCCCGGCGCAGCTCCTCCTCATTGCCATGGTCTCTCGGCAGCGGGACTATCACGACACCGTCATGCTGAAGGCTGATGACCGCACGCCCGTCGCGCACGCCCAGTTCCATTTGGCCGTCCTGGAGACCGCCTCCAGTTCCGAAACCACGTCCGATTTGAGCACGTGCGCGCCGGGTCGGTCGCCCCCCCAGGCGGGTTCACGTTCGTCTCGTGCAGGTTCCAGTACCCCACAGTCTCGTGCAAGTCCCTCAGCTGTTCGGCGAGCCATTGCGTACGGAGCGACTGTTGCCGGAATAGTTCCCGGACGTGGAAGGTCTCGCCCCCCCTTCTCTCCTCGGATCCGTCTCCCCCGCGCGGCTCCCCCTTTCTTCGGCAGCCACCAGCCTCCCCCCTGAACATGCAGACGAAACCAAGAGTGAAAAAAATAGCCAGCGCAGATCACAGAGTGCCATCAGCACGCGCCCGTTCGTCCCTCGGCCCCGCTCGCCACAGCGGCAGCCAAGCGCGCACCGCCGCGCCGAGGTCGGGCGCCCCTGTGAGGGCGCCGATGACGGCAAGGCCCTGCGCCCCGGCGCCGAGCACACTCGGGGCGGCGTCGAGCGAGATGCCACCGATTGCGACGAGCGGCACGTCGCCCGGGAGGAGCGCGCGCCAGTGGGCGACCCCGGCGAGGCCCTTTGGCTCCACCTCGCGCGACGGCGCCTCGCCCGCCGCGACGGCCGGCCCGGCGGCGGCCGGCCCGGCGGCGGCCGGCCCGGCGGCGGCGGCGACGACGCGCTTCGAGGTGGTCGCAAAGACCGGCCCCAAGGCGACGTAGGAGGGCCCGACTGCGAGGGCGGCGGCGAGCTCGGCGAAGGTGTGGGTCGAGACGCCGAGCCGCACCCCAGCATCGGAGAGGGCGCGCAGCTCCTCCATGCCCGCCTCGCTGTCGGTCAGCGCGGCGAGGTCCTCCTGCCTACGGCGCCGGGCGGCAACACCGCGGGTGAGGGCCTTGGGGCTCGCTCGGGGGGCAGCCTCCGCGAGGGCCCCCTCTCGCCCCAAGTGGACGCCGTACGCCCCCTCCGACACCGCGATGCGCCCATAGTCGTTGACCCACAGCCGCGCGCCCGCCGCCGCGCAAGCCGCCTGAGCGCCGCGCACCTCCGACGCCACCCGCGCGGCGCCGGCGCCCTTGATGCGGAGCTGCACGTCGCGCGCGCCGGCAGCGACGGCGGCGGCGACCGACTCCTTCGAGTCGAGCACGGGGTACAGGCCGCGCGCGGCGTCGCCGTCGCACCGCGCGAACCGCGGCGGTGCGGCTGCGGCGGCAGCCGAGCGGCTGAGCACCGGCATGGAGGAGGGCGACGAGGGCCAGCCGGTGTGGGCGACGGGCGCGGGGCCGGCGCCCACGGCGGCGGCGGAGGCCATGCCTTGCGTCACGTACGCCTTCGCCAGCACCACCGAGTCGACGAGCGGGTGGCCGTGCGCGAGCATCGCCGCGATCGCAGTCGAGAGGACGCACCCCGTCCCGTGGCATCCGCCGCCAGCAGCCTCGGTCGCTCCGACGCGCGCGCAGCTCAGCCTATTCGGCAGAGAGCGCGCTCGGCCGCCCGCGTCCAGCCGGCGAGCAGCCCGCCTCTGCGGCGAGCGCTCGCGCCACACGGGCGGAGCTCCGCCGTCGACGAGGACGTCCATCGCCGGAGGCGGCGATCTGCCGCCGCCGGCAGCGCCCTCCCCTTGGGCCGCAAAGTAGGCGGCGTGGCCGCCCTTGAGCAGCACGGCGCCGCAGCCGGCGCGGCGGCGCAGCTCCACCGCCGCCGCCTCGGCCTCGGCCGCCGTCGTGATGCGCCGCTCGAGCAGCGCCTCTGCCTCTGCCAGGTTTGGCGTGAGCAGCCGGCACCGCGGAAGGACCGATGAGCGCAACGCGGCGAGGCCCTCCTCGGAGAGCAGCCGGGCGCCACTCGACGAGACGAGGACGGGGTCACACACGACGGACGGCGACGCCGCGAACGGGCGGGCGGCATAGGCGCCGGCCGCCGCGCCCTCCGCCCCGCCCGCCTCTTCTGTCGCCGCCTCAGCCGCCGCGAGGAATGCGCCAACCTCGAGTACGCTCGCTTCACCGCCGAGCATGCCGATCTTGATCGCCCGCGGCGGGAGGTCGGCGGCGAGTGCATGAAGCGTAGCGCGCACCTGCAGGACGACGCGTCGCCACTGAGCGTTGGCGAGGGCCGGGTGGCGAGCGGTGTTGTTGCGCGGCGAGTTGGACCGAATCGCCGCTCGCCAGCTCGACGTGGCGCACACCGACCGAGTTCTGGGCCGTGAGTGCTGTCACGACGGTGCAGCCGTGGGCTCCGAGCGAGTGGCACGTCAGCAGGTCGGCCTAAGGGGCGGCGAGCTCCTGACGCGAGCGGTGAGAAGGGTGGGGGAGGAGTGAGTGCGGCGCACTTGCACGCCCGCGCCGCCGCCCGAGTCCGAGCCAGCGATGCTCCAGACGATCGGGCGTCCGACGTCTGCAGAGGTGCCAACGATTGCTGGAAGCGACAGCAGCGCGTACATCCTAGAGGCCGGAAGTGGTCGCCTGAGACGTACTTGCGAGAGGTGTCGCCGGCCGGCCGCTCGGACGGAGACGGGCCGCGCACCGCGCCCGCGATGCGCAGCGTGCCCTGCTCCCCGTCGCCGGCGCCCGCCGCCCGCCCGGCGAGGGTGGAGCACGGCAGCGCGCAGCTAAATAAATAACGTGGGCTAAATCGATGCCGATCCGGCCCGCTTGGTGCGCTTCTCAGCTCCCCGGCCCTGGATGTGAGGCTGATAACTGCACTCCAAGTGCTCCAAGTGCGGCGTTCACGATGCCAATCATCCGGCCCGCTGGGTGCGCTTCTTAGCTCCCCGGCCCTGGATGTGCGGTTACTGACTGCACTCCAAGTGCTCCAAGTGCTCCAAGTGCTCAGCGGAGCTGGGAAGAGGACCGCCGCAAGCGGCGTGGCGTGAGTCGGTTGTGCATCCCTCCGGGGGCCCCTCTGCGCCGGGGAGGCGTTGTTGGAGGCTAGGACGCAAGCGTCCGTCGCCCTTTTCAAACTCGGGGCCCACTCCGCTACGCTCCGACCCGAATTTGGAGGGCCTGAAAAGTTTAAGGTGTTGCTGCGCAAAAGGGTGGGGAGCCGCGGCGGCGCCGCAGGCGCGGGCGCGCAGTGGAAGCACGCTAGCCACACATATTCACGCAGAGAAGCTGACGGTCGGGGTCGTGACGGCTCGAGGGTGCGCACACTAGCGGCCGGACGCCTCACCCGCGGACGCCTCACCCGCACGCGCACCCTCCAACATCGCCGCCGAGCCCAACGCCCTGCCGTCAATCTCGACGAGCGCCGCACACCTGCGCGGACAGTGGGCAGACGTTGCCGCCTTGTGTCCTCGTGTGCCCGGAAAGCCTCGAGCCGGCGCGCACCGGTGGCAGCGCAGGATGAGGCGGCAGCAGTGGAGGGTTGGGGCGCATTTGAAGGCGCTGGCCCCGACGCGCCATTAACTGGGTCGGGGTGGTTCCTCACCCCTCTGGTTTCAGTCAAGCGGGAAGAGTCTGTGCAAGGGGGGCGGATGGGGCTGGCTGCGTCACCTTGGAGCCTGAGGGAGGGTGTAGAGGATGTAGAGTGTAGAGCGCTGTAGAGCTGTAGAGCTGGAGAGCGCTGTAGAGCTGTAGAGCTCTACATCCGCCGCGTGACGAGGCGCCTGCGTTGTAGAGCGATGTAGAGGCGCTCTACAACGTGAAATCTCTACACAAACTCTACATCATAAGCGGCGAACGACCCACGGTCGCTCTCCGACATGAGGCGCGTTGCACTTGCCAGTGCTGCCCTGGCCTTCTGTCTGCCCGCCCAATGGGTGGCAGGTGCCTCTGCTGCTATGGCATGCCTCACGGCTGCGACTGGCCGGCGCCTCGGCGCGTCAGCTCGGCTCGGCGTAGCGATAGTGGCCAGCGCAACTCGCCTGGACTCAACGCTCAGCCAGGAGCTCCCGCACGCGCTGGCGCGAGTCATGGCGCATGCAACGCGTCTGAATGCTCGCCTCGCCTCGCGCAAATGCGACCGTCCTCGCAGCCGACAGTCCACCGCCTGCTAAAGAAGCACAGCGACGAATGCGGCACCGGCGACACATGGCAGGCTGGTCATGACGCAGTTATAGGGTGTTGTGTGCCGTCAGAGGGACTCTCTGTGTGTCAGGGATAGTCAGGGCTGTCCATCAGAGCTTCACTAAGCTCGGAGACACCCCATTAGCGCGGCTCGACCTCTTTGAGTCACTGCCTTCCCGGCGGTTTGGCTGTAGAGCCTCTACAACAAACTCTACAACAAAATCGCGCTCTACATCGCTCTACAACGCAGGCGCCTCGTCACGCGGCGGATGTAGAGCTCTACAGCTCTACAGCGCTCCAGAGCGCTCTACATCTCTACAGCTCTACAGCGCTCTACACTCTACATCCTCTACACCCTCCCTCAGCTTGGAGCATGAAAGGTTCCTACAGTAAGGCTACTCGAGTACGCAGCACCTTGGCTTGGCCCCCGAGCGGGGAGGCGGTCGACGACGCGCAGCATGGCGGTGAGCGCAGCCTGACGACGCGTCTTGATGGACGGATCCTTCTGCCGGCTGACCAATTCCGCCCACCTCTTGACCGGCGGCTTCGTCACCAACATGCGCTCGAGAGGCGGAGCAGCGATCCAGTTCGGTAGCTATCTTGTCGCGCAGCGCATCGTCAAAAGGCAGGTTGTTACAGGCGTCGCGCGCGTCCCCGAGGTCACGCAGGAGGCTCTCCATATGTGTTGCAATAGCCCCCGGCTGTGGTTGCTGCAGTGCTCCCGTAAAACATATCTTGGCACCAGCTGAAGGCTTGCCCCCGTCCACGGCCCACATCACATGGTTTCTGCACGGTATTCGGATTTTGCTATTTGTTCGTGTGGGGGTGTATTGCAGATTTGTCAATGGTACCGCGTCTGCGACGCGGGCGCCTTGCGAGCAGAGCCCTTAGCCACCCTTTTATGTCTTGCGCGGAGATAAATAAAACGGAGAGGAGATGGGTAACAGCTCCCGATAGCACTGCGTTGGCGAGGGCCGGTAAGATACCCGAGTGATGGTTGGTGCTACCCTACTGTCCAAGCCTAACCACTCGCGCCGAAGGGAGTGTTGGGAAGATTCTGTGATTACGGCTGCGTGGTCGCTCGGTGGCCGTCGCGATCGGTCGTCCCGTGCCGGCCTCGGCCTCGCGGGGGTCGTCAGGAGTCAGCAGCAGCAGCCGCACGACACGGTACGCTAAGCCACTCTTTTTGGAAAGACGCAACAATACGGTATGCAGCCCCTTGGCGAGTGTGAAAAGGCGTCGTAGCCCTCCGGTCTACTATGAAGACCCGCAGGGCTGTGGCGGGGAGCGAAAAAATAGCAAGCGAGTGTACGTACGGTATGTGAGTCAGCAATCACATGAACATGCGGAACCTTGAGCTGAACCTTGGCTTCCACCCCTTCTTGGGTCTCACGCCGCCGCCTTGCTCTTCACCGCCTTCTCCATCAGGCCGAGCGCCGAGAAGCTCGTGATCACGTCGAGATTCGACGGCATCCTGCCCGCGCCGCCGCCGTCGGCGCCGCCCGCGCCGACGATGACGTTCTGCGGCATCTCGACCGTGAAGTCCTTCAGGTTGGAGTAGAGCGCCGTCGCCATGTCGCGCTGCGTCTCGGCCAGGAAGATCTCCTTGTTCTGCGCCTTGGCCTTGTACTTGGCCGCCAGCACCTCCGCCTCGGCCTTGCCCTTGGCGGCGATCGCGTCGGCTTGGAACCGGGCCGCGCTTGCGTTCGCCTTCTGGATGTCGAGCTCGGCGCGCGCGATCGCGAGCTCCTTCTCCTTTTGGATCACGGCGAGGTCCTGCAGCTTGCGCTGCTCGATCGTCTCGCGCTCCGCCACCTGCTTCGCGACGTCGACCTACGTAATCTCAAACGCCACACCTCAGGAGAGAATGGGCGCAGAGTGGAGCGTGTCTCCCCCGCGTCGTCGACGACCTCGCGCTGCATCTCGATCGTGCGCAGCTCCTTTTGGCGTTGGGCGTCCTGCACCGCGCGCGTGCGCTCGATCTCCTTCTTGAGCTGCTCGGTGTTCGCCTGCGCCTTGGACGTCTCCTGTTCCTGCACCGTCTTGATGCGCTCGGCGACGAGGCGCTTCTTGTCCATCAGCAGCCGGTCCAAATTGGGCTCGGGGCGCGGGTCGCCAATCAGCACTTGGGTGACGTCGATGCCGTACTGGGAGAGCGGGTTCTCGGCGCGCTGCGGCACGCCATTGTCCTGGAGAATGGGCACCGTCTTCCACACCAGCTGCTTGGCGCGCACGAGCTTGGGGCCCGGGCCGTCGGGGGAAGCCAAGCCGACGGGCGCGAGGTCGGTCTGCTCGATCTCGACCTGCCGGCGCTCGGTGAGGTAGATGCCATTCTGCAGCTGATCAGCGAGCTGGGTCTTGAACTGGTTCAGGCCGCCCTGGAAGAACTCCTCGCCGGTGTACTGCGTCGCCGTGATCACCGTCACGTTCGACGCGTTCCGCATCAGCAGCGACTTGACCAGGTTCGTCTCGGAGCGGAACTCGCGGTGCATCTTGCGCACGCCTTCCGGGTCGGCGGGCAGCTTGAAGCGGAAGGTGACGGGGATCATCCCGACGTACGTGTCGGCGAAGCGGGCGATGACGGCCTCGTCAGCCTCGAATGTCGACGTGATGACTTGCTTGTAGTCCGTCACCGTGGAGAAGAAGGGCACTATGTAGTGGATGCCTGGCTCTGTGTGCACGTCAAGCTGGCCGGTCAGATTGTTCTGGACGACGTACGTAACTCCGGCGTCCGTCATCAGCACCGCCCGCTTGGCCAGGTAGAGAGCGGAGGCGCCGACGACAGCCGCGGCGACGAGCGAGGCCGACGGCGCCGGAATGTCGGAGATGTTTGGGATGCTGCCGCCAAAGGAGGATGACGAGGAGCCGGACGAGAAGTTGCACCGGCCGCCGCGATAGCCACCGCCGAATGACGGCGCACCGGTCGAGAGGGCGCCAGCGCCGGCCCGAGTGGTCCGGCCGGAGGAGCCTGAGGTGGTTGAAATATTGCGTGGCGCCGACGTAGTGGCGCGGCGAAGCACGCCCGTAGATGCGAGTCGTGACGCCAGCGGAAGTAGCCGCGCGGCCGCGGGCAAAACAGCACGGCCGGCGGAGAGGCTGGGAAGGATCGACAATGACGACATGGGACGCGTCCGGACCTGTCTTGGCAGCCCTTCGGTCAGAAAACGTTTCTGAGCCCGCTGGTCAGCCCTCGAGTCATATTATTCACAAGGAGCGTAATTCTTTTCGAGGGTTTAAATTCTTTTTGATGGAATGGCTGGGTTCCAACTTTTTCCGGGGTATGGTATGGTAGCCTCGGCGGCCCAAAGGGGGAGGGGGGGGGGGCGTATGGTCCTGACCGCCCAAGACTAGCCCTACCATACCCCAAGCAGGTCTGCCAGAGGCGGGGGGGTATGGTCTTATGGGAAACTAAAAAAGAAATCACGGGATCGGTGAAGGTGGGGTACTATACCAACTAAACGGTGATGGTTGGTGCTACTATCCTGCAACCACAGTCCTTCCTGTGACATCGTGGCAGGCCACTCTCAAGCCCTACAAGCACCAGATCAACGACTTGGGGAGGGTGGTTGACATCGTGATTTCCGCGGAAGATTTCTTTTTCTGCTGTGACAATTCCGGCGTGAAAACAGGGAAAACCCCGACGGGAGGGCCCAGACCTACCCTACCTACCCCGGCATGAGGTCCGGCCAAGCAAAAATAATACACACCTGTGTGGAAGAGAAAGCGGATACAAAACAAGAACACAACGCACTCTCTCACATGACAAGCGATCCCACGACAGCGATTGTGGGGACTACATTATCGCACTTAACCCTTTTGCTTCATAGTGGTCATGGTGACCAAATCTCGATATATCTCCAGTCGTAGCGGGTGGAACTTTAAAACGGCTCGGTCAATTATTTAGCCATATATGAGAGGATCACGGCACAGTGTCGTTTGAGTCGACAGTAAATCTCCCACAGCCCACGTAAATCCGTCTTTTTCAGGCACCCGGAGCCCGCCGCGGCCGCTTCTACGCCGGCGAAGCACCATCAAGCTGCTGTACGGCCCCGGCATCGCCTCCCCTGGCTTAGCTCTCTCAGTCAGTCAAGATATTGTGCACATGGGTGGCCTCTACAATATACTCACTGACACTGAACCTCCCAGAGCTCGTCCCGGTCCGTCACGGCCATCCTCGTCCTCGGAGGGCCCCCGGCCGCCGCGGCGCGGTGCGGCGGCGTCACAAATCCGACCACAGAGCACCGGGACGCGGTCGGGCGATCTGAGGCCCAAGTAGGCGAATGCATTGCCCATCCAGGGCTATCACCTGGACCTATCAACAGGCGCCTGCGGCGCCGTGCTCAGGAGTTGGTTTTCACTCGCTCGAAATGTGTTCGTAAAAGGGTTAACCCTTTCGCGCCATAACGTTCCTGGAGAACAAATCTCGATATATCTCCAGTCGTAGCGGGTGGAACTTTAAAACGGCTCGGTCAATTATTTAGCCATATATGAGAGGATCACGGCACAGTGTCGTTTGAGTCGACAGTAAATCTCCCACAGCCCACGTAAATCCGTCTTTTTCAGGCACCCGGAGCCCTCCGCGGCCGCTTCTACGCCGGCGAAGCACCATCAAGCTGCTGTACGGCCCCGGCATCGCCTCCCCTGGCTTAGCTCTCAGTCAAAATATTGTGCACATGGTCGGTCTCTACAATATACTCACTGACACTGAACCTCCCAGAGCTCGTCCCGGTCCGTCACGGCCATCCTCGTCCTCCGGCGGGCCCCCGGCCGCGGCGCGGTGCGGCGGCGTCACAAATCCGACCACAGACAGAGCACCGGGACGCGGTCGGGCGATCTGAGGCCCAGGTAGGCGAATGCATTGCCCATCCAGGGCTATCACCTGGACCTATCAACAGGCGCCTGCGGCGCCGTTCTCAGGAGCTGCTGTTCACACGCTCGAAATGTGGGCCTGAAAGGGTTAAGGGAGGGGCAAAGAAGAAAATCGAACAACGCGGAAGCCGTTGCCGCGCCGAATGCCGTCGCTCGCGAGCCGTCTCGTGCCACCAGCCGCCACGATGGCGACCTGGCACTGCTGCAAGCTGCTGCAGTGTCCGCCGTGGCTCGGCATGGCTCTCGCGACGCTCGTCTACCTCTGCATGAAGGTCCTCCTTCGCTCTCGTGCTGCTGCGCCCGGCCGTGCACCCGCGCCCGCGGAGCCCGCCGCGCCGGCCGCGGCGCGCACCTTTGGGAACACTCCACTTTCGCAGCAGGCGCCCGCAGACGAGGCGCTCAAACGGCGTCAGGCCGCAGCGAAAAAGCTGGGCAATGTTCCGCTCTCGATGCAGTGATGCCGGAGTGGGCTCTTTGTACAGAAGGGCGTGCCCTTATTGGAGTCGTCGAGGAGTGGGGGGGGGGGGGGTGGACTCCTGCGCTGCGCCGGCCCGTACGTTGGCTCGCAGACTCTGTGCGCGGTGTGCAACCACAGTTCACGTGTAATTTCCCGCGGGGGAGTCATCTCTCTAGCTCTAGGATCGGCAAGGCATTTTGTGTATTGACGGTGTGTCTGTATTTTCACCGACACGCGAGCGACTCACTCCTGAGTCGGCTCAAGAAGCTTCCCCAGCCCCATGCGGCCCCCATGCTCCAGGACCCACCCGCACCCGCCGCCCTTGCACGGCTCCGCTAGGCGGAGCCAGCCGTCGCGCATCGCGTCCGCCTCGACGGTCGCGCCCTTGCGCGCGATTCCAAGCATCGGCGCCTCCGTGCTGGGCGCGGCGCGCAAGTAGACAAACGGCGCGTGGACGACGCGGTAGAGTCGAGGCTCGCCAGCGCCGATCGGGCGCTCTGCACTCGAGGTGGCGGCGGAGACCGCGGCGACGGGCGGGCCGGCGCCGCTCGCGGCCTTGGCGGCCGCCTCGCGCCGCTGCTCGTCGAGCGCGCGCGCGGCTTGCTCGGTGAAGATATCCTCCACCGCGCGCACGTTGCTCTGGTCCCAAAAGTTGCACATCAGCGTGACTGTGGGGGAGAGGGAGGCGGCGTAGTGCCACCACCCCTCGGGAAGCACGATCGTCTCGCCGGGGCTGAGCACGGTCGCCCACAGCTCCACGCCGGCGTGCTGCGGCGCCGCCCTCTGCGACGCGTCCAGGGGATCGAGCCGCGGCAGCCTCCCGCCGCCTCCCGGCCTCCGCGGGTGTATCCGCCTCCCCTCGCCCGGCGGCGCGGCGACGTACAGCTTGTGGCCTGCTCACAAGGGCGCGTGTGAGGCCGGCGCGGCCCACGGCCGCGGCGGTGCGGCGAAGCACGGCTCGTCGCCGTGCAGCTGTGAGAGCCACGCGTGGGCGCGGTGGTTGTCGGTATGCCTGTGGGAAATGTCTCGGACATGTCACGGGCGTGCGCCACCCTCGCCCCTTCTTGCGCCGCGTCGAGGGCGTGCATGCGCGTGATGGCGCCGCGGCAGCCGATGAAGACCTTGCACAGCTGCCGCACCTGTGGTCACGCCGTGAACGTGTCGTGGACGTGTCGTGGACGTGTTGCAGGCGTGCCCCCAGGGCAACCAGGTGGAAGCTGGCGTCGCTGCCGCGCCTCGCCCGTCACGCGCACTCGAGTCTAGGGAGCGTCTAGGGAGCGTCTAGGGAGCGTCTAGGGAGCGTCTAGGGAGGTGTCTGGGAAGGTGTCTGGGAAGGTGTCTGGGGAGGTGTCTGGGAAGGTGTCTGGGAAGGTGTCTAGGGAGGTGTCTGGGGAGGTGTCTGGGGAGGTGTCTGGGGAGGTGTCTGGGGAGGTGTCTGGGGAGGTGTCTAGGAAGCGCCTTGCCCGTCGCATACTCGAGCGAGTCGCCGCCTAGGCGGAATCGCTTGTGCATCGCCACGTAGGCCGCCTGCGGGTGGCAACGGCGGGAGGTGGCGGGAAGAGGCGTCAGCTGAGGGGTTAGGCGGAGGCGGAGGCGGAGGCGGAGGCGGAAACTGGGGAGTTGAAGAGCGTGGCGGGAGCGGCGGAAGGGGAGGAGGCGCAGCTGCCGTCGACAAGTTGGTGATGCTTCCCGGGATCTGATCGATCGACGCGTCCCACAAGCACGGGTGCGACTCGAACAAGTCCCATCCATTCATGTAGAGGAGAGGCAGCTCCTCCGGCGCAGTCTCCATCTCCTCGGCGTACCGCATATACCTACACGGCGACGGAGCCGATCTTCGGCGCCGTCTCCTTGCCCGCGGTCTCGCGCCGCGCCGCGTCTCACTCGCGCAGCGAGCACTCTGCTATGAGCGTCGAGTCGCCGCGGTCCTGTGGGGAGGCGGCGGGGAGGGTGAAGGGGAGGCCGCGGCGTGGCCGAAGAGGGCGGAGGAGAGAGGAGTCGTCCTCGTCGAAGATCGGCGCGCGCTGCTTGCAGAGGACCGCCTCATCGCCGTGCCGCTCGCCGAACCACCCCCAGCCCCACTCGCGCGGCGCCCATCCCGCTCGCGGTCCGGTCAGCACGAGAGGCGCCTTGCCGTCCCACGCACTCCCGTGAGGCGCCCGAGGCACGGGCAGCGCTCCGGGCAGCAGCGAGGCGCCAAAGTCGGCCTGCGAAGCTGCAGCCTCGAGTGCGGCCTAGAGGCGGGGGAGGCAGACGGCTCAACGCGTGAGCAGAGTCTCGCCGCATCGCACTGATTGGTGGGGAGAGACCCGGTGCGTACACGCCAGTGCTAGGATAGGAGGAGGCGCATCCCGCGGCTAGGGACGGCGGCCTCGCTGCCGAGCCGCGCCGCGAAGAAGCGCTCGAAGTGCGCCGCCTCCGACGGCCGCAGAGGCCCGCGCAGCCGCCGCACCCACCCGGACCAGCTCGAGGGCCCGGCAGCGCAAGCGGCGGCGGCGGCGGCGGCGGTGCGCGCCGCTTCGGCGTGGACGAGCGGTGACGTGATGGCGCGGAGCGGCGGCGGCATGGCAGGCAGCGTGAGCAGCTGCCGCAGCAGCGGAGTGGGCAGGCCGGCGCAGGCGGCGCCGTTGACTCGCACAACCTCAACCTCAAAGACGAGGGCCGATCCGGGCGGGATCGGGCCGGCGAGTTCGTCTCCGTACCCAAGGCGCGCGGGCACGTGGATGCGAGCCAGGTCGCCCAGCCCCAGCTGACACAGGCCGCGATCCATCCCCTCGACCACCCGGCCGCTTCCAACCTCGACGCGCATCGGCTCTCGCCGGCTGCACGGCTTGGAGCGCGACGAGTCCATGCAGCAGGCGGAGCGAGCGAGGAGGCAGGCGTAGTGGAGCTCGACCTCGTCCCCGCGGCTGATCGGTGCAGCACCACCCGAGTGAAGTATCTCCACCCAGAGCTCGCCGGATGACGGGAAGGACTCGACGGGAGCTGCGACAGTCTCTGACGTCTTGAGCGAGGCGACAGCCTTGAGCCTCGCCGGCGGTCGCCAGCACCCTGCGTGGCGGCCACAGGAGCGCGTCTGCAGCATTTTCGTGGCCCAGACTGAAACTAACCTCTTCCCGTGCTTGCTCATACAAAAAGAGAGAAACAAGCGCCCGCCAGTTTCTTTTCTCCCAGTAAGCTTAAAGTACGTACGTACAAAAACACAACCACGGACCCAAGACGCTTCGCTCATGCTTACAGTACCTGTGAATCACGCTGTGAAAACATTTTGGGGGGATTTTTTCGCCAGTCAATAGAGCATAAAAATACCTTTCAGACGGTACCTTTCTGTTTTTGTTGTCCTTTCTGTCCTTCAGAGTCGAAGAACTCGTCCGGTGGCTGGCCGCCAAAGTGGCTGGACGGCGCCGCGGCGCACACTGCTCACTGGTGAGCCGCGGAGCACACTGAGGGAGCTGTTCTCGGCGCAGCCGTTCGGCTCCCGCGGCCTGGGTGGTGGCAGTGGACCTTCGCCGGGCGAGCCTGGCTCTCGCTGCGCAGCGGCGCGACCTTCGGTGAGGCTGCCGATCGTCGAACTGGGCTTAGCTCTCAGTCAAGATATTGTGCATATGGTCGGTCTCTACAATATCTTGACTGAGCACAACCGATGAATCGGCAGCAGGGAGACAGGAAGGCTCGCGGTGTGAGTCGGCCACGCAGAGTCGCGAAACCTGCCTGGGAAAGAAGATAAGAAACGGCGCAAAGCTGCGTGTGCTGAGGGAGCATCTGTGGTGCTTCCTTTGGGAGGTGCGCACCTCCTGCGACTGGTGGAGGGCCGTGCCGCCGCGCGCCTGCTCCGTGGACAGGGCGGGGAGACGGCGCCGCAGCGCCACAGCGCCCGCTGCATGCCGGTGCAGCACTCTGCTGCTTGGTGGGCAGCCTCCTGGATCTGTGCGCGACGTTCGCGAGGCTGCAGTGTCGCTGTACTGCCTGCCGCGCTGCCGCGGCGAGTGGCGCGCGGCACGCGCGGCGCCGCGCGTGGCCAGGACAGCGCCAGAGAGCGCGCTCGATGGGCCAGCCTGCGCGGCGCGAGCGCCGCGCAAGCCTGGCACATCGTTTGCATGCTGCCGTCGATTCTCTGGTCGACGGCGGTAAATCTCGCGACTGTCGATCAAACCGGCGGGCTTCATTCGACGCCGTTTACGCGCGATCGGCTGGTTCCGGGGTTTCGCTTTTTCTTTTGCGAGGCGGAGGGGGGTAAATATTATTATTGGCTGGCACGGAAATCCCGAGAGGGTGGTGTTCGCTCCCGCCGTCAAACCTTCTTTCCTCTTCTCTTCCTCTCCCCCTCTCCGCCGCTCCCCTCCTCGCCGCGATAGGAAGGCGAAACACAGTCCGACCAACGACTGGGACACCAACGCGGTATGGATCGACGCGGGATGGGGGGGAGAGAGAGAAACGTACACACTGGAAAACAAATCTCTGACCTCCGGCTCGCCGTGGCGTCGGAGGACGCCACCGTCGCCTAGACTCCCTTGCGTCACTACGTGCCTCCCCGCCTGGCGTTTGTGCCCCGTTTGTGCCGCGTGCCGTGCCCCCGAGTTCATTTAAAAAAACAAATGTCTGTAAAAGTCCCAACGATGCGTCTGAGGAAGCTCTTCACTGGGTGGAAAGAGGCTCGGCCGGCCTTGAGGGAGTCGCAGAGGAGGGATAACGCAGGCAACGCAGGGACGGGCCAACAGCCAGTGGGACGAACGAGGGCCGCGACGGCGGCTCAAGCGGGAGGGAGCGGAGACGGTGGGCAGAGAGCGAAGTGGGTGAGACTGATGATGCTCCTTCGACTTAGGGAGCGGTTCAGATGCTGGGCGGGCTTCAGGCTGGTGCTCACGCGAAAAGGAATCGACGCGATGTACAAAGCATACAAAAGGGGAGAAGGAAGAGGAGAGACGCCGGTGAGGACGAAGCAGAAGCTAGCGCAGACGAGAGCAGGGCAGACCCGGGGACTGGGGAGCCGGAGCAGACGGCATCGGCCGCCGAGGGAACGTTGGGAAGAGGCACGAGGGGCGACCTCGACGACTATGGAGGACCCGTCGCCAGACGACGCAGGGCAGAAGACGGTGAGGCGGAGCAGACGCGCAGGGCGAGACGAGGGAGGGAGCAGGACTTTGCGGAGATCAGCAGGAGGATGTACGAAGAGGGACCTGTACGCGGGAGGCACGGCTGTCTGTTTACAGGCGCTGGTCGCCCGCGCGCGCGCCGGACCGGCTCCGGCACGTCCGGCGCTGGGCGGCGCGCGTCCACACTGCGCGAGCGCGTCGCGCAAAACGAGTGATGGCGGACGGTGGACGGCGGACGGCGGACGGCGGACGGCGGACGGCGGACGGTGGACGGCGGACGGCGGACGGCGGACGGCGGACGGCGGACGGCTGCGGCGAACGGCGACGGCTCGACTCGCGTTCGCTCCGCGAAGGTGCGACTGAGCCTGCCGCGCTCGATCTGGGAGCCACTCAGCGCCAGTTCGAGCGGCGGTCGGCTCGGCCACTGTGCGGGGCGACGCATGATAGAGCATGCTGGGCGCCGCGTCATGTACTACCGCTCCACGCCAAGGCGCGGGCGGCGGTGCTCGCCGGCGCTCGCGGCGCTTCGGTGCTCGGGCGCGCTCGCCATCGTGGTCGCTCAGGGCGGGTCGCACACGCACACGCACGCACGCACGCACACACACACACACACACACACGTACGCACGCACGCACACACACATGCATGCACAGACACACAGCCCCTTCCCCTTCCCCCTCAAGGACGAGGACATGCGTAGGCCGCACCTCTAGCGAAGCCCACAGAGTGAGAGACTCCTATCACCGCCCCTGCCACCCTCGGCGTGAGCCTCGGCCGCCCCTGTCAGTGTGCCCGTGATAGTGAGAGACTGCCAGTGAGAAGCCGGAGGAAGGTCGCTAGTCGAGAGAGATCGCCAGTGGAATAGGAGTCCACCGTGCTGCGAACCTGTCGCTGTCCCTTGTCAGGAGCAGGAGAACTAGGAGAGCGCAACCAGTAGGGGGCCCGCGCCTGCCCCCGTGCCGCCGGGTGCAACTTTGTCCTTCCTACCTATACGAGAGAGAGGGGGATCCCTGGGACTCTGTCGTGTGGGTGAACCCTACCCAGCCCCCCTCCGGGTTGTCGCGATGCGCTCCCCACTCCCGCTCCCCTGTGTCCCTGATCGTCCTTCCAAAATCCTGCTCGTGCAGGTGGGGGCCCTGTCCTCCTTCCATGCCTCGATTGGTTTTTTCTTGAGCTAGACTTTGATGTTAATAACAAGCGAAGGCACACACAACAGGACGCCAAACACACGACTGCACGCACCGCACCGCACCCCGCACCCCGCGCCCGCCGCCCCCCCGGGCCCGCCCTGCCCTGGGGTTTTTTCTTCGATCTCTGTCTACCAAGTGAGAGATGCCCGCGACCTCAACCGCGTCTTCGCAGCCGGAGGAAGCGCCACGTGAAGTGCCAGAGGGCATCTCCGAGGAGATCGGCAGCCTTCCCGAAGAGATCAGGCAAGCGGCTGCGCAAGGCAACGAGGCGGCGCTGCTGGCGTGGCTCAGCAGCGGCGGGCGGGTCAACGCGACTTGCGGGGAAGGCGCTGTGAGTGGCATCACTGCGCTGATGACGACCGCCGGCAACGGCCACGAGCGGCTGGTCGAGCTGCTGTTGCAGCACGGCGCGGAGGTCAACCTGCAGAGCAGCTACGGCGTCACCGCGCTGATGGACGCCGCTCACAAAGGCCACGAGCGGGTGGTCGAGCTGCTGCTGCGGCGCGGGACGGATGCCAACCTGCAGAACAGCAACGGCTACACCGCGCTGGTGTTTGCCGCTGGCAAAGGCTACGAGCAGATTACTCGGCTGCTTCTCCAGGCCAGGGCGGCGGTCAACCAAGCCCAACACGACGGCGCCACGCCGCTGTTCATGGCGTGCTACCAGGGCCACCTCGAGTGTGTCCGGCTGCTTCTCGAGGCCAGCGCGGCGGTCAACCAAGCCGACGAGGACGGCGCCACGCCGCTGACCATCGCGTGCCACAACGGTGAGGTCGAGATCGTCCGGCTGCTCCTCGAGACTGGCGCGGCGGTCAACCAAGCCTGCAACAATGGCGTCACGCCGCTGTTCGCCGCGTGCGAGCACAGCAACCTCGAGTGCGCCCGGCTGCTGCGCGACGCTGGCGCGGCGGTCAACCAAGCCAGGGCCGACGGTTGTACACCGCTGTTCTTCGCGAGCCAGGAGGGCCACCTCGAGTGCGCCCGGCTGCTTCTCGAGGCTGGCGCGGCCGTCAACCAAGCCCAGCAGGACGGCGCCACGCCGCTGTTCGCTGCGTGCCACCAGGGCCACCTCGACGTCGCCAAACTCCTCTCCTCCTACGGCGCCTCCCGCGCTGCTACGCCCTTCGGCACGCCCGAGGAGGCTGCAACCGAAGGAGGCCACGCCGACCTCGCCGCCTGGCTGGTCGCCAGCCGCGGCTGGACGCCGCTCCAGCACCTCGAGGCGTCCCCGAGACTAGCGGCCGAAGGCGTGAGCGCGCTGTCCTCACGCCCATTGCCCCTCTTCCGCAGGCGCTCACCGTCGACCGGGTGCGGGCGCTGCTGCGCGGCGGCGCGGACCCGCTCGCCGGCGAGCCTTCCGCCCTCGAGCGGGCGCGCGTCCTCTGCTCGTGGAGCGAGTCGGATCCGACCGCTGCGGCAGTCGGTTCCACAGTCAAGATCCGCTCTCTCGTCTCGCGGCCCTCGATGAACGGCAAGGTCGGCGTCGTCGTCTCCGCGAGCGTTTCGACGGGCCGCTTCGGCGTGCGCGTGGCGGGCGAGGCCAAGGCACTCGCACTGAGGCGCGCACTGCAATGGTCTCTCCCCGGCTCGCCGGATCCTCTCTTTGAACACCCCAAGCCTCTGCCCTCCCCCAGGCCGGCCAACCTACAGCCAGCGGCCGAGGCGGTGGAGGTGGGCAGGCTGGTCCTCAAGGCAGAGGAGTGGTCGCCGCGGTCGCACGAGCTCTTCCCAACAGCGGCTCGCAAGCGGGCGGTCGAGGTGATGCGGCTGGGCTACCTGATCGCTTGGGACGAGGAGCGCTTCGATAGCCGCGAGGGAGCGGCTCCAGAGCTGGCGGACATCTGGCGCGGCTTTGTGCTGCCAAGGGTGGTGGGGCGATGAACCGATAGCTCACGACCCGAGAACGGAGCCGCGGAGCGCAGAGCCGAGCCCGACGTGCGACGAGCCGCGGGCGAGCCGAGCCCCCGGAGTCAGCCGAGCCGCGAGCCCCCGCGAGAGGCGAGAGCGACGTGTTCCCGAGTCCCGTCCTCCCCGCGGACCTCGTGTGTTCCCGCCACGAGGGGACGCATCCAAAGTTGAGTCCTCTAGCTAGCCCAAGGTCGGTCGCGGAGAATAAATAAATAAAACGGACACCTCTTACTAGGAGATGGGTAAAAAGGAACAGGTCCCCGCCCTGCGGTCTTTGTGCAGGGTTCTTTGTGGGTGTGGTCGGCGACTAGCCGGGGTCGTCCTCCCGATGGGGGACTAGCACTAGCCGTCTTCCACATGGTCCCTCGGGTCCCTGCTGCTCCTAATCTCGTCGTACATCCTCCTGCTGATCTCAGCAACATCCTGCTCCCTCCCTCGTCTCGCCCTGCGCGTCTGCTCCGCCTCCCCGTCGTCTGCCCTGCTTCGTCTGGTGACGGGTCCTCCATAGTCGGTCGAGGTCGCCGCCCTCCTCGTGCCTCTTCCCAACGTTTCCTCGGTCGCGGAGAGTCGTGTCAAGGAGAATAAATAAATAAATAAAACGGTCAAACTCTGAGACGAGATGGGATTTAGGGACATGTGTCCCCGCCCTGCACGATCTTGGTGTGAGGGGACACGGAGTCATAGGAGAGGAGATGAGAGTGGAGATGTAATGTGCGGGATCAGGCCCGAGCGCCCTAGAGCCTAGTGTCGCCGAAAGGCGAAACCGAAAAGCTGGTACCCGGGTAGCTCCCTTTTTCGTAACAGGAACATTTTTTCTCTCATACATGGACATCTCTACCCAACATCGGAAGATCCTTGGACTGTAGTGTGTAGTAGATCGCGTAGATGCCTTTTTAGACTTTTAGACATTAGAGATATCTCAAACGTGGCAAATCTCCTGCCAAGACGCAAGAGCAGCGCAGTAGATTGAAGAACTGGTGGAGGCAAATCTTCTCCGGTGTAGATGCTCGAGAGGGGCCAGGTGGTTCCTCAGAGTAGCGCGAGCGCAGACGGGCACGGCGATCAGCAAAGTGGCCCAGGCGGCACCCGACTCCAAGGATACGCTGAAGACGCTGAGGATAGCGCATGTCGCTGCGCTGAAGGGCTCACGCTATAGGGTGCTGGATGAGGACGGGTACGATGCGCTAGCCCCTGCAGTCGGGGAGGTGTTGCCAGCACTGGTAGATGACCTCTCGGAGAAGAGCCGGAGGGACCTTGGCGCCGGGGTCACGAGGAACTTGCAAGTCGTGGCCGAGGCGGCGACGGGAGCGGTGCAGAGGTGGATCCAGCTCAATGATGAGGCTACGGCGCGCATAATGAAGAGAGAGGAACACATCGAGTGGCTGAGGAAGCTCTTCGCTGGGTGGAAGGAGGCCCGGCCAGCCTTGAGGGAGTCGCGGAGGAGGAGGGATAATGGAGGCAACGCAGGGACGGGCCAACAGCCTGTGGGACGAACGAGGGCCGCGACGGCGGCTCAAGCGGGAGGGAGCGGAGACAGTGCACAGTGGGCAGCGCGTGAAGTGGGTGAGACTGATAATGCTCCTTCGACTTAGGGAGCGGTTCAGCTGGGCGGGCTTCAGGGTGGTGCTCACGCGAAAAGGAATCGACGCGATGTACAAAGCATCCAAGGGCCTAGAAATCGCGCCTGCCTCTCCCTTTTCTCCCAGTAAGCTAAAAGTACGTACAAGAAGAGGAGAAAGAAGAGGACGGACACCGGTGATGACAAAACAGAAGCTAGCGCAGACGAGACTCGAGAGCAGGGCAGACCCGGGGACGGGGGAGCCGGAGCAGACGGCATCGGCCGCCGAGGGAACGTTGGGAAGAGGCACGAGGGGCGGCCTCGACCGACTATGGAGGACCAATCGCCAGACGACGCAGGGCAGACGACGGGGAGGCGGAGCAAACGCGCAGGGCGAGACGAGGGAGGGAGCAGGACTTTGCGGAGATCAGCAGGAGGATGTACGAAGAGATTAGGAGCAGCAGGAACCCGAGGGACCATGTGGAAGACGGCTAGTGCTAGTCCCCCATCGGGAGGACGACCCCCCGGCTAGTCGCCGACCAGACCCACAAAGAACCCTGCACAAAGATCGCACGGGCGGGGACCTGTTCCTTTTTACCCATCTCACAGTAGAGGTGTCCGTTTTTATTTATTTATTTCGAGAGGAGTCTGAGATGTCGAGTTGGTGCGTGCAGTCGCTTGAGATCTTGCGACAGAGGTGGAGATTCTGACTTCGCGCCAAAGGCGCCTAGAGATCGTGTGGGCCGACTGGAGATTGCAAAATGGCGCGAAAAGAGGGTGGAGATCCTTTTGCATTGTGAATGAGTCCATAGCGCATCTCCTTGAAGGTTTGAGCCCCCCTCCTCCCCCGGGCCCCCGAATCGAGATTGGAGATTGGGAGATTGGAGATGGAGATCGGAGATCTGACTGAACTTCGGCCTAAGATGACGACGTTGGAGATTGGAGATTGAAGATGGAGATCGGAGATCTGACTGGATCCGGCCTAAGATGTAGCGACGCTGGAGATTGGAGAGTACTGGAGAGATGGAGATCGGAGCCCCCCCCAGCCCGTGGTGTCTCAACGTTTTTGGTTTGTTTCTAGGTAAAGGTTCTGTGCGCGGACGGCCCGGGGAGCCTGCGGCGCCATTTTAATCTGCGCTCCTCTTCATGGCCTGCGGCGCCTGGCTTGAGCTTGGAAGTGTAAACGAGTCCGCCAGGGCGGTCTGCGAGTAATGGACATCTCTACGCAAGACCAGTAGATCGTTGGGGTAGAGATAGTAGATTAAGACTGGAGATCCTAGCGGATCTCTCACACGGACACGCCCAAGTCTCGCCAGTAGATCCCTCCAGTCCGGTTCCCCATTCAAGACTAAAGATCGAAGATTGAGATTGTGGATTGCAGATCGCTGAGCAGCAACACGGGCCAAAATGTGGAGATAGGAGATGGAGAATGCAGATTGTAGATCCTAGCGCCCAGCCATCCGCCCCAGATGTGAGATCGAAGATTGAAAATGGAGGTCGTAGATTGCTGCCGGCGGCGACAGTGGCCAAGTAGAAGATTGGAGATTGGAGATGAGAGATGGTCAGTGTGAATGAATCCATAGCGCATCTCCTTGAAGGTTTGAGCCCCCCTCCTCCCCCGGGTCCCCGAATCGAGATTGGAGATTGGAGATTGGAGATGGAGATCGGAGATCTGACTGAATCCGGCCTAAGATGACGACGTTGGAGATTGGAGATTGAAGATGGAGATCGGAGATCTGACTGGATCCCCGGCCTAAGATGACGACGCTGTGGATTAGAGAGTATTGGAGATGGGGAGATCGGAGCCCACCCAACCCCAGCGGCGTTGATAGATGTTTTATAGATTTTTGTTTTTTCCTGTGGTCTGTGCGCGGACTCGTTTACACTTCCAAGCTCAAGCCTCCATCGCCGACGGGGAGAGGGGGGACGACACTGCCTCGGCAGCGTGCACCTAGATCCTGCACCGTGTTTGTTATGACCCCCCCCAATGAACACACCAGTGAGGGAGGGCGAGACGATCGAGGGGTCCCGTACCATGCGGAATCGACCCTATCCAGTGCTCAAGTGCTCAAGCTCAAGCCAGGCGCCGCAGGCCATGAAGAGGAGCGCAGATTAAAATGGCGCCGGAGGCTCCCCGCACCCCGGGCCGTCCGCGCACAGAACCTTTATCTAAAATAAAACAAAAAACGATGAGACACCACTAGGGACTTGGGGAGCTCTCCGATCTCCATCTCTCCAGTACTCTCCAATCTCCAGCGTCGCTACATCTTAGGCCGGATCCAGTCAGATCTCCGATCTCCATCTTCAATCTCCAATCTCCAACGTCGTCATCTTAGGCCGGATTCAGTCAGATCTCCGATCTCCATCTCCAATCTCCAATCCCCAATCTCGATTCGGGGGCCCGGGGGAGGAGGGGGGCTCAAACCTTCAAGGAGATGCGCTATGGATTCATTCACAATGCAAAAGGATCTCCACCCTCTTTTCGCGCCATTTTGCAATCTCCAGTCGGCCCACACGATCTCTAGGCGCCTTTGGCGCGAAGTCAGAAAATCTCCACCTCTGTCGCAAGATCTCAAGCGACTGCACGCACCAACTCGAGATCTCAGACTCCTCTCGAGCATCTACACCGGAGAAGATTTGCCTCCACCAGTTCTTCAATCTACTGCTGCTCTTGGCAGGAGATTTGCCACTTAAGAGATCTCTAAAAGGCATCTACGATCTACAGTCCAAAAGGATCTTCCGATGTTGCGTAGAGATGTCCATGTATGCGGTCTGCAAACACACACGGAGCGCGCTGCGCGGCGCGCGCGGTCTACGCCGACCTGGGGGCGGTATCGTGGTTCACGCTGCCAACTCGGCAAACAAGTGTTTACCACGCGCACAGAGTGTGTATAAATGAAATCACGGGCCTAACGTTGCTCAGAGGTACATGTGTAGAGGTAAAGGGCCCACGGCTGCCCAGAGGTAAAGGTAAGAGGGCCGCAGGCCCTCAGAGGTAGAGGTAACCTAGACCCCTCCTACCCGGCCCTCCGGGCCGAACATACTTCCAGTCGCAAAAAAACAATCTCGCTCGCTTCTCGGACGCTCTATCACTACAGCTAACACGTTCGATTTCATGGTGACAGCGGGATGAATTCATCCCGCTGTCAAGGCGTAGCGGCCGGAGTCAAGCCAACGACCCCTCGAGCCAACGACTGGCAAACATGGAGCCCGCCGGGCGGGGTGCTTCCGTTTTTTGCGCATGGCCGCATGATGATTCAGCGGTAGATCTGCGGTAGATTGATTACGGTATTTGCATCGGAACGGCACCACGGTGAACCCCCCCAGGCCCATCGTGCACGAGGTGTGCGCTCAAAGCTGACCTGTGTGTGTGAGGAGCCGAGGAGAGCAGCCCGAACGGTCAGCCGTATATTTGCATGATGCCGTCGTTGGCCATCGACTCCGCTAGGTATCCGCGAGCGGAGGCCCCCGGCCGGCCCGGAGCGAGGCCCGGCGCGGACTCCTTGATGGGGGCGGTTGGTGTGATGATGGCGCGCCCCTTTTGCCGCCGCATAGCGGCCTTGGATGGGTTGGAGACTTCGACGTCCTGCATGATCCCGTCCCGCGCCATCGCCTGCTCAAAGTAGCCGCGGCAGGAAGCACCGGCCCTGCCCGGAGGCAGTCCTGGCGCACTCTCCTTGATCGGAGCGGTCGGGGTAATGACGCCCCGGGTAATGACACCAGCCGACGCGGCGGCTGCGGCTGTCATGGCCGTAGGGGGCTCCGAGGTTGTGCCCCACGACGGCGTGTCGAGCCGAGCCAGCCAGGCCGCTTTCGCAGCGGCCTCATCCATCCGAATGCCGCGCAATGAGGAGGTGCGGGCAGCAGTCCATCGCGAGGTTCCCGAAAGGGGGGCGATGCCCACGGTCAAGAGCGCTCCGGCCAACATTCCTCGGCCTTGTCAGGTCTTCGCAGCGAGGCGTCGAATATATTTTTTATTTTCTGCTAAGAAAAGAAGGAGCAGGGTTGAGAAGAAGAAGAAGAAGAAGAAGAAGAAGAAGAAGAAGAAGAAGAAGAAGAAGAAGGAAGAAGGAAGAAGAAGGATTCTCTTTTTGTCGGCGAGATCCTGGCTGACGCTAGGGTGCCCAGAGGACCCAAAAAAAGAAAAGAAAACAGAAATGGGCCACCCCCGATCGCAGCACTTCGTGTTGGAGAGTCGAGATATTGAGATTGTGACTAGGAGGGAGGGACGCTGGGGATTCTCAAAGGTATACCCTTGCAATGGCCGGATCCAGCCTTGAAAGTACGAGATCGCGCGCGCTTCGCGCGCTGCACCGCCTGTTCTCCGCGGCTGACGGTGACGACGCGTGCCGTGTACCAGCAGAGTTGGGCGCGCGCGGCGCGCCGGCGCCCGCGAGGGAAGGCGCGGGTGCAGCGGCCGCCGGCGGCCGTACCGCCCGCCAGCCGGCGCAGCAGCGGCCAGCGCAGCGGCCGCCGGCGCAGCAGCCAGAGCAGCCGGTGCGCGCCTTGCGAGGCGAGTACTGCCGTCCGGCAGCCTTGAGGCGGCCGGGCGGCAGTACTCGTTCGAACTTTGCGAGCCGTGCGCGCGCCGAGGCGCCCGCGGCGCGCGCCCGCCCGGCTGCCAGTAGGAGGCGGCGCAATATGGCCTATAGTACAGCCCTTGAGGAGGAAGAAGAGGCTGGCTGGCAGTGCTGTATGCCGCCGAGGGGCAGTTTTGGGGTGCTGTCACGGGCCCAGGGGGCTGCAGAAGGTGTCCGCAGCCGGGACAACCCGCCCCCCCAGCCAAGGCCGGTCGAAGCCCACTTGGTCACAGCCATGAGGAGTCCTCTTGGTGCTCCTGGCGGCCGTTGGAATGGCGAGCGCGCGCCGATGGGGGGGGGGGGTCTTGCTTGCTCCACACCGAGCGCCATCGGTCCGGACCGGCGTGACCACCGAGGGTCGGCTTGCACAAGGTCTGTGCCGCGGGCGCTCGGCGCCAAGTGCAGTGTCACGCTCGTGCTCGCGCGTGACAAACCGGGGAACCCTCGTTTCCTATGTACTCGGTCCCCCAACGGAAGAGGCCTCGCTCCTAATGGAACACTCCAACATCAGATTTGCCTCGTGCGTCCCTTTTTGAGGCGGAAAGCTATTTTCTTTTGGGTCCTGTGGGCACCCGACGTGACGCGGGCACGCGGCACGCGGGCCCAGTCGTCGAGGAGGTGACTTGGAACCACCAGTCGAACCACCAAGAATTGGCTAGGGCCTGCAGAAGCTGACAAGCAGCGTATCTCAGTCGTTCTTCACACGGCCATAGGTAGGTAGGTACGGCCATCGTGAGGTCTTCGCAGCTTGTCGCGAGGCTTCGAATATTTTTATTAGTTCTAAGAAGAAAGAAAAGAAACAAAGAAGGAGGGCGGCGGCTCGTGGGCGGAGCTGCAGCCCGGGAGGGGCACCACTCTCAGCCTCGCGCGCCGCTACTCTCAGCCTCGCCGCCGGCGCCACCGCCGCGCCGCCGCTGCTACACGCGCTGGTGAGGCGGACACACACTCGAGAATAAAGAGAACCGTCCTCATCAGCTGGTCGGCCGCCATGTGGGCCTCCGGGCCTGCTGCGGCGGCGCGGCCGGTCGAGGCCGGGCTCGGTCCGGCCCGCGACGGCTGGCCGCCGACGAGCGCGCTCGCGCTGCTCGTCAAGATGGCGGCGGTGGCGATTGCGGCGACAAAAGTTCAGGCGTACAGCGCTCAGGCGTCTGTCGTCTTTCGTCGCATTTCGCACACCCGCGCGCTCCGCGAGGGCATGAGCCTTCCGCGATTCGATCCCGCAGCCAAAAGCTGCTCGCTCGAACCGCGGCCGACTCTGCCATCGCGGCCGCAGCTGTTGAGCTCTTCGCAGAAGACTGGTGCCTCATATGCTGCCTCCCTGCGGATGATTCGGAAAGAAAGCGGGATCACCCGAGAGCAGCTGAGCCTGCCTCTGGCCTCGCCTCCCTCTCCTTCAGGCATTCGTGGCATCCTATGGGTCGTCCAGAGTATCGACCTCTGGCTTGTCAGCCGCCCCACCGAGGGCACCATGAAGTACAGCGATCGCCATCTCGCTGGCCTCTTCGCAGGCCCCCCGACCGCGTCGAACTCATCGGCGCGGGCTCTCTCGAGGCTACGGGACCGGCCCCAGCTTCGGCTGAGGCCTAACAAGCTGCCGAGCCCAAATCACTGTGAGAGTCGTGATTTCTTGTTGGTCTTTAAAAATCTCTCTCTCTCACACACTCGCCCTACCGATCGCAGATACGGTTTTTGTCGGCGAGATCCTGGCTGACGCGGGCACGCGGCACGCGGGCCCAGTCCTCGAGGAGGTGACTTGGAATCACCAGTCGAACCACCAAGAATTGGCTAGGGCCTGCAGAAGCTGACAAGCAGCGTATCTCAACGAGGTACTATGAGTCCAGATGTGAATAGATTCCTCAACTCTATTGCAATATTGGTGCGCGGCGGTGCTATCGCCCCGACGCCCAGAGGTCCCTTTCAGCATGCCCTGGCCTGTACGACGGCCGGCGGCGGTGCTATCGCCATCGCACTCACCTCTCACCTCGGACGTGCTGCATTGGCTCCTCCTCCTGCTCGTCCTCGTGTCTGGCTGGCTGTGGATTCAGCGCGAGCGTCTGCGGAGAGCGTGGATGTGGCGGGGCTTGCGCGACGTGCAGTCGGTGCTCCAGACGCTGGCGGAGCCCGTCATCGTGATGCGCTCGCACACCATCGTGTCGGTCAACAAGGCCGCGCTCGACGCGTTTGGGTACTCCTCCCGCCGCGAGCTGGAGGGGCGGCCGGTGACGGTCCTGATGCAGCGGCACGACGCCGCGCTGCACGGGTCGTACGTCCGGCGGTATGAGACTACCGGCGAGAAGCGGATAATCGGCAAGCCTCGCGTGGTGACGGGGCGGCGGCGCGACGGCTCGGAGGTTGCGCTGATGCTCTCCGTCTCCGCCTGCGCGACACCGGGCGAGTACATCGGCATCCTCTACCGCCAGCAGGAGGCGGAGGCGCGCAAGGCGGCCGAGGCGGAGCCGCTCTAGTCGGGCGGTGGAGGGACTGATATGATGAAATGGCTCATCATGACTCATCAAGTCACCAGGCGAAGCTGCTCCAGTCCGAGCTCGCGCGGCTCAAGATGCAAGTGCGAGCGGGCGGGTCGCTGTCTCCACGCCACGTCAGCCCGGTGCGGCGCGGCGCAAGGCTGCTCGGCAGGATGTGAGCTGCATCTCTTCACGCCTCCGGCCGTGATCAGGTGCGGCGCGGCGCAAGGCTGCTCGAGGCGCGGACGGGCGCTGGTGCGGAGAGTCATGAGCTACTGAGCCAATGAGTCGTGATTAACCAACAGGCGTGGACGGGCGCGTGGCGCGGCGCCGAGAATGCGGGCGCCGAGGCGGTCGAAGCGGCGGCCGTCTAGCCCTCCAGAGAGGAGCGGCGAGTCCACTCATCGCTGATGAGTTCTCCATTACGAGTAGGCGGTCTCGCCGGCGGTGCGGAGAGACTGCATCGCGCTGTCCCTGTTGGAGGAGGAGGAGGAGGCGGGTCGCGTCCGTTGCGTGTGCCGCTGGCTGCACCAGCCGGGCGACTTGGGCGAGCCGGTCGGGCAGCTGTCCGTTGGCAGCCACGCTTTTGTCAAGGCGCTCGGAGAGCCCTTCCTGCGAGTGAGCCCGGTCAGTTTTCCCTTTGGCGGTGCGGGAGGCCACCCGATGCTCGCCAGCGAGGAGGCGGTGCTCTACGCTGGCGAGCTGGAGGTGGGTGAGCAGGGGGAGGTGGTCCGGTGGAACAACTGCTCGGGCACCTACAAGGCTGCAGACGCGATGTGCTTCCAGACGGGGCTTCCGCTGGACAAGTTCTGGGCTCTGGTGCCTGGCGGGCCGCCGGGCGCCGCGGAGCCGGGCCGGCATTGGGTCTCTGCCGGAGGGGTGGTGATGCGGCGCGTGCTGCGGCTCGACGATGCGGAGTACGAAGCGGTGCGCGAGCGCTGGCAGGCGCACGTGGGGCGGCTCTGCAGGAGGGACTCCGAGGCGGCGGCGTGTCGCGCCCTCCTCGAGCAGGCCTCCGAGGAGCGCGTGGAGGCGGTGGGGCAGTACGGCTACCTGACGCGCGTCGGCGAGGGCGACGGCCCCGACGGCGGCGTTGCGACGCAGCGAATGCCTTCCGACACTTTGGCGGCGGTGGCGATAGGGCGCAGCAAGAGTAGAGGGAGGATGTGGCGGTGATCTGTGGACTTTTTTATGTGCACATTGTGGCGGTGCGAATTTTCAAAATATGCGACCGGTCCTCCCGCGCCGCGCGCGGCCTCCCCCGTAGCCCGTTTTGATCATACCTTCATACGGTTACGGGTTGGGGGGGGGGGGGGGGGGTCGATCCGCGTGCTGGGCCGCCCAGAACATGCGAAGAAGAAACAAAGCGCTACCGCCAAGCTTCGCTCCCCCCCATGTGGACAAACACACGGCGAGGGCGACAGCAAAAGTCGAACGGGCGGCGCCTGAATCAAAAGACACGGCGACATCCTTGAGACGAGGGAGAGCAACCTCCTTAAAGGCAATGCCAATGGGGTCTAAGATTTGGAGCGCTCGCCGAAGAGGAGTACGACAAAATAGCGCCCGTGATTGCCTGCACGCTGCCACAGCACTGACAGACTCCATACCCGAAAGAAAGAGAGGGGAGCTTGCAGGAGAGGTGAGGGAACTACAGGTAGTGGGGAAGGCAGCTTCGATTTGCCATACAGACATGGGTGCGAAACAACGACAAGACCAAGGCACGGGCAGAGGAGCGAGAGAAGAATATAGGATGGATAAAGCGCCTGTTCACGGCATGGAGGGTGAGTCACGATGAACGTAATGAACGTAGAGCCGAACGGGAGGAAGCCGGGCGGAAGACGACTCCGAGGAGGACGAAACACCAGTGGTAATCCCGCCGTCAGCTGTCACGATATACCCGAAGGGAACCCCAGTGCCAACACCGACCGTTGTGCGTTGAGGTTCAAGTGCTCGAAACGAGAGTGAACCTGAGCAACGACATGACTTGGTTCTCGAGGTTCTCGAGGTGGATATCCTTTGGCCGCGTTGGGTGACATGACTTGGAGGCAAATGAAGAATTTAAACAAAATAAGTCTCTCTCACAGCAGACAGGCTCGACACAGGTGCGAACTGGCGCGTGCTAGTACTATCACAGGCACACCACCGGAGCCGCCTACCAGCGACTCCGTTAAGAGCGGCAATGGAGAAATGATGCATTGGCCCCAGAAATTGAATATTCTTACTGTATCTTCTGCCTTGCCTCCGACGCTAGAGACAGTCACCACGGATACATACGTCCGTGGGAGTGCCCCCCTCCCCCACCTGCCCTGCTTACACAGGATAGCATGCCCCGAGAACGGCGACATTTGGCGGGGGGAACCAGGGAAGGAGGTTCGGGTTAGTCTTTCTTTTTGTCCTCTCGGGGGAATGTTCTCTCGGCGCCCATGGCCTTCTGAGGTTTCGTACTAATGACGTCCTTCTTGGCACTTCGGGCGTCGGTGTGTGCGTATCTGTGTGTCTAATTCCCCCGGTATGCGATTATATAGGTTTCGAACAGCGACCTCCCTCTCACTCGCAGCGATTTCTTGCTGGATACCTTTCCGCAAGCGGAAGGTCGCCAGTTCGAAACCTGCTTGACCCTTATATTTTTTCTCACCTGAGCGGGCTCAATTTTGCTCTGGGTGCCTCCTACGAATTCGAACCCACGTTTTTCGGCCAGGCGGCCGGTGCGTTGGTCGTTCTCGTCATGGGATTTAGGCTGTATATGCTTTTCCTCTCGCACCCCGTCTGTTTTCCTTTCCTTTTTTTCTCTACAGCACCCTCTCTTTCCTCTCTATTTTCCCGAGAAAACTCCGTGGAAATCGTCCATTTTTCGGCTCTGAGCCGAGAGTCTGAGGCTGTTTTGGTCCCAAAATCAGCAAAATTGGCAAAATACCGGGTATTTTGCGGGTATACCTGGAAAACCCCGGGTATACCTGAAAATACCCAGGTATTTTGCCGGTTTCCTCGGTTTCGCCTCAGATTTTGCCCCAGACCAGCTCTCAGACTCAGTCAGTCAGGGAAACTCGCGAGTTTCCCGAGGGAAACTCGAGAGAAACAGAATGGAGCACCAAACACCCTCTGTTTTCCCTGGAAATTTCCGGAAACGCAAAGTGCTGGGGCCCCTCTGTTTTCCTTTTTGTTTGCCGGAAAAGTATATACAGGCCAACATGGGATTGCATTGGCCTCAGAAGAGTCGTCCTTGCGCGAGGAGCGCTCGATAAACTCGAGGGGCCAAATTATGATTTTTATTAACCAACAAGAAATCACGACTCTTCAAATTATGCCGCGAGGAGGGCGGAGTTACGCAGAGAGCGAGAGGAGCAGCGAGAGCAACAAACAAACACAAACAAAAAAGGCAGACGGCAGCGGCGTCTCAGAACGAGGCCGAGGAGAGCGATGAGTCAGAGGATGAAACAGCAGGAGAGAGAGAGAACGAGGACGAGAGTGGGAAGAACGAGAGGTGGCATGAAGCGACAATGAAGGTCGCTGCGAGAATTGGTGAGAAACGCCGGTGGGGTCTAACAAGACGCCGTAGCGAGCTGCCAATGGTGGCCGCTGCCTCGGGCAGTGGCCACGGTAGCCGACCCAGGGCTCCTACGCGGCTACAGCCGTGCGCGACCGCTGCCGCTGGCACCGGTCGCGAGGACTCTGGCTCGGCATGCGCGCCACCGGCCGGTGGGCCGCGCTCCGCAGGACGACGCCTAGATGCAAAAGGCATCCCGTGCACGCTTCAGCAGAGCTCGGCCGGCCGGCCGCCGCGATGGGGCGGCGAGCACCTGGAGGCCCCTCCTGGCGCTGCTGCCTCAGCTCGACCGCCGGGCGCGCCGCGAGGCGAGCAGCAGCGAGGCGAGCAGCAGCGAGGCGAGCAGGAGGGGGGCGAGCAGGAGGGGGGCGGGCAGCCGCGAGGCGACCTGCTGCGAGGCGACGTCTGCCGCCGCGCTGGCTACCCGCTTCCTCGCCAGCCCATTCTCTCTCTCGAGGAGGAGCTGTGCGAGGCGCTTGGCGTCAGTCTGGACGACGCCGACGTGGTTGTCCTCCGGGAGGCCCTTCGGCGGGGGTGCGGAACCAGAGTGAGATGCGGCGGGCGGGGCCGCGAGGCGGCGGCGAGTGGCAGAGCGTCATGCGATGCGGCGGCTGCCAGGGCTGCGCCCACCCGCGACTCAGGTCCGGGTTTGACCTGGGCGCGCAGTGTGCTTCGTCTCCCTGGGGCAACCCTTTCCCCCTTCGCGATCCCCGCGACTCGTTTGGGCGCAGGGAGTGCGTCCGCGAGTTTGCTGCGCGCCTTCGGGCCAGCCCTGCTTTTGTCGAGCGCGTCCGGCGGGAGCTCGCGGGCTTCTTTCTCGCCTGCTGTTGCTCCTCTTGCTCGGACCCCTCGAAGCGCCGACTTTGCCACGGGCACATCCTCTTCTAACTCGCTAACTGCTCGGCCTACGACCTCCACGCCTTCCTCTCGCCGGATGCCTCCGCCCTCCCCGAGCACGAGGCGCGGGCTCCTGCCTCCACCGAAGATGCGGCGGACGGGACGGTGGCGGCGGAGGCAGGCGGCGCGCCGCCTGCGGCGCGGGCCCTCGGGCCAGAGGTGAGGCCGCCCCCTGCGCCAGAGGGCGTGTGGTCGGGTGATGGCCACCCTCCTGCCCTCCTCTCGCGCCTCCCGCCGGCCCCGCCCCCGCCTTCGCCCTCAGGTTCGCAGCACCCTGAGGGAGCGAGGCGGCGAACCAGCTGAGCAACAAACTTTCGCACGCTCAGCACCTGGACGAGGTCACATGGACCACCAAGAACTGGCACGGGCTGCAGATGCAGCGCTTGTCTGTCGTCCTCCACACCGCCGTGGCGTGGCAGACGGTGAACGAGCTAGCGTGCGGGGAGAGCGGCATTGTGCACGGTGCGGAATGCATTGCCGTTCTTAACGGAGTCGCTTAGGCGGCTCCGGTGGTGAGCCGGTGTGTGTGCCAGTCCGCGCCAGTCCGCGCCCTTGTCGTGCCACTCTAGATGCACACTCTAGAATTCTTTCTTTTCCCCCCATGTGGCTGATTCCTGCGGCGCTGTCGGCCTCTGCGACGACGACGAGGCCACTCGTTGCCACGCCGAGGGCCGGCCGCGCTCGCCCAGCAGCCTGCAGCGCCGACGTAGATGAAGCCAAATTCCGCCACAACCGCCGTTCCGTTGATCGTTTGCAGCTCGCTGTGCTCGTCTCTGTGCCAGCCGCGTGGGGTACCTTCGCGCCTGCCGTCAAACTCGCCAACGCGGCCTCGCCGGTGCCCTTTCCGGCCGTCCTCTTCTCCGCCGGCCAATACGTGGTCGCCTCCTCGCTGCTGCTCGCCGCCACTGCTCTCGTGCCACCGGCCGCGCCAGCCTCGCCCGCGCCGACTCCGCCGCCGCGCTTCGCCTGGGCGGCCGGGGCGGAGCTGGGCGGGTACCTCTTCATCGGCAACCTGCTGCAGGTCTCCGGCCTCGCGACTGTGCCCGCCGACCGCGGCTCCTTCCTGGTGCAGACCACCACGCTGATGGTGCCACTGCTGCAGGCCCTCTCGCAGGGCGGGCTTGGGTCCGTCTCCGCGAAGACGTGGACCGCGTGCGCGTTGGCCTTTGTCGGCGTCCTCTGCATGAGCGCGTCGGACGGCGGCGGCGGCGGCGGCCTGTCGATAGGTGGCGCTGCCAGCCGACCCGCGGGGTGCTCAGGACACGTCCGTGACACGTCCACGTGACGCATCCCCGTAGCATTCGGGCCGGGCGACGTGCTGGTCCTCTCCTCCGCCGTCCTCTACTCGCTCCACGTGCTCCGCCTCTCCGGTGCGCCGCACGCACCGCACGCAAACGTTTGTCTCGCGCTCGTTGCCTCCTCCGTTCCCCCTCTCCCTCCAACACGCGCCCTCCGCTCCGCCCCTCTCGCGCAGCGCTCGCGCCTGCGGTGCCTCCGCTGCGGCTGGCCGTCGCGAAGGCTGGCGCCGAGACCGTCTACGCTGCGCTGGCCGTCTGCGCGCTCATGACCGCCCTGCCCAACTCGCCGCCGGCGATCGAGGCGGGGCCGCCGCTGTGTCGGGCCGCCACCGCCCGGCGCAGTGCGGACGGCGTCACTTCACGCCGGGTCGCGCTGGGGTGTAGGTGGCCCGATTCGTCGAGGCGCTCGGCACGATGGGGGACGGCGCAAAGGCGCGACGCCTTGCCGCCTACCGCCCTCCCCGCCTTCCCTGCCGCCCCCTGCCGTCCCCGCCGCTTTCTGCTAGACTGCTCGACCGGCGCCTCCGTCACCCCGCGCTCCGATCATCCCCGCTCCTCCCCCTCCCGCCCCCGTCGCCGCCGCTTACGCCGCCGCCGCGTTTGCGTCGCCGCCGCTTGCGTCACCGCCGCTTTCCGCCCCCTCCGAGGCGACCCTCGCGGCCTCCGCGGCCTGGTGCGGCGCCGTGACGGTGGCCTACACCATCTGGGCGCAGTCCTTTGGGCAGAGCTCGGGGATGAGCGCGACGCAGGCGGGCCCCCGCTCCCTCCGCCCTCCCCTCGCAGCCTGGGCGCGCGCCCCTCGCACTCGCCCACCGCCACCGGATCCGTGCGCCGCCAGGCCAACCTCATCTACACGACGCAGCCGCTCTGGTCGGTGCTCTTCGCCGCGCTGCTCGTCTCGGAGGTGCCCACCAGCAGCGAGGCGCTCGGCGGCGCGGTGATCGCCGCCGCCCTCTGGCTGGCCGCTTCGGATGAGGCGGCGCAGGCCGGGTCGGCGCACGCGGAGGACGAGGCGAGCAAGGCAGTGTGAGGGCGACCGGGGACTGAAGGAATTTAGTGAGCCGAACTGTTTTATATAGTGTCCGTCGTCGTGCGCGCGGCGCCCGCAGAAAGCAAGTGAAAGAAAACAAAGACAGGGATGGGAGGAGGACAGGGTCATCCTCCCCACCTCGCTCCTCTCGGTCCTCGCACCTGGACCCTCTGGGCCGGCGCGGGGGCCCCAGAGGGTGTCCATGCGGGGGGGAGATGGGGTCCCATGGCCCGCCGCAGGCGCCGATTTAGACGGATTGTTTTTTTTTCGCGGTTTTTTACTTGTTTTCATGGGAATTCGGCGTACTTGCGGCCATGCTATCACGCCTTGCGACAGCCTGTCGGCGCAGCTGACCGTGCCATGATGCACAATTGATCACCTGCATAGCTCGCGGCCTTAGTATCAAGCATTCAGTGACGACCTGATCGTACGGCCAGTAGGAAGGTGTCCTTCCATCGTGTGCACGCTTCTGGCGCAATGCGCGTCACCTCGGATTGGCTGCTGGCACTCTCGAGGCTATGCCTACACAGCCTCGCGCGCATGGGCAGTCAAGAGGGACCATGCACCTTCTCAGGACAGCGCCGGTGCCTCTCTCTTGGACCGGCAAACTTGGTGGTATCGTGTCACCAATGTGGGACCAGTGCGGCATCGCGCCATCGACAGCTCTGAACTGCGCCTCACCACTGACCGGGAAGGCCGCCAAGTGGGCCAGCACAGGTCGCACATTGTGGCAGCAGTCAGCAGTGCATGGCTGATAGCTAGAGCAGCAGCGTCAGGGTCGCAGGGTCGGATCGTGTCAAGCCTCTCGCCCGGCCGGCCGCGTGCAGACGTCGGCCTGTCTGCTGTCTGGAGTGATCTGTCGGCGGTCAGTACGACCGATCAGGTCGGAGTTTTCTGATGGTTGGAGGGTCTATCTGTATGTACTCCTCGAGATCTCTCCAAATCTGCCCTCTGATTAACCGTACTTAATCGGGAAGTCGGTGCTCATAGAGACTCATAGAGCCGGAGCCCCGTTTCCGCACTGCGGCGCGGCGCACGGTGCCTCCGGGGGCCCCCGCCTCCCCCCAGAGGTGCGACCCGCCCTGAGCGACCACGATGGCGAGCGCGCCCGAGCACCGAAGCGCCGCGAGCGCCGGCGAGCACCGCCGCCCGCGCCTTGGCCCAGAGCCTGGACCTCGAGACCTGGACCTGCGAGTGCGACCTGGCACCTCTGCTACTTTATGCTGAGGGAGGGGGTGTAGACTGTAGAGGATGTAGAGTGTAGAGCGCTGTAGAGCTGTAGAGATGTAGAGCGCTCTGGAGCGCTGTAGAGCTGTAGAGCTCTACATCCGCCGCGTGACGATGCGGTGCGTTGTAGAGCGATGTAGAGCGCGATTTTGCTGTAGAGTTTGTTGTAGAGGCTCTACAGCCAACCCGCCGGGAATCCAGGGCAGCACTGGCATGCCTCTTCTGGTTCTGGTTTACTCGTCCCCAGTGAGCAGTGTCCCGTCCCCTCTCGGTCTCCGCGCTACACGGTGCACAGCAATGTGAGCGTCTCCTCACTGCACGCACAGGAGCGGACGCGCTCGCCTCCCATACCTATTCTTGTATTAAGACTGGCGAGACATGTTGCGCATTCAGTCCGCGCCTGTAACAAAAGAAAACAGAGACCCACCAAAAAAACGCAAACCGCAAACCGCGAGGGATGGGAGGAGGGGACAGGGTCCCCACCTGCACGAGCAGGATTTTGGAAGGCCGCGCCTGTAGTCTAGAGCTTGGTTAATTCTTTTTTCCGGGTTGAAACCAATGCCCGTGAGTACTTGATCGTCAGAGTCATGCCGCCGCACCTGCGGGCAAGGGGCAGGCCGCGGCTGGGCGCGGCGCCAGGTTTTGCGAGGGAGAGGAGGAGGCGCGCACTCGAGCTCGAAGCTGCGGGATGCGCGGCAGCTGGTGTCCGTCTTGGTCCAGCCGCGCATGTCGCACGAAACAGCTAAGGTAGGATCGCGCCCCATCGCGCGGCCCATCTTTGCGCTCGCAGCGGAGAGAGCGTCCTTGCGCGCGGCGGCGTCTGGCGCGCAAAGGCCTGCACGTAGGTCGGGGTTCGAGCGCAGGAAGGAGGGCAAGGTGCCGCGGCACCACGGTCGGGGGGGTGGCGCGATCTCGGCGCCCGCGAAGACTGCGTGGACATGTTCCTAGTCAGTCTTCGCGCCCTCTCCTAAACCCACAAGGATCGACTATCCAACTTATCCATATGTCGGCAACCCTTCTCGACACCCCTGCAACTGAAACCCAAACGCGTTCTGCCAACTTTGGCAACTAATTTTGAGAATTGCTTGAATCCAACCTTTGCAACACTTCATCATTCCTGCTTCCAGCATTCCTCGTGCGCTTTGTTTTGTTCTTTGTGAATCAATCAATCTTTGTGTTCGGCTCTTTTCTCTCTTCAACTTCAGCGAAGGAGGAGGAGGAGCCATTTTTCCTTTCCTCCGTGGGGCAAGCACAGAAAAAGCTGCAACAGCACCGGTATGGCGAGATACAGCTGGCCGAGCAAGTAGGGGTCCCGTACCATGCGGAACCGACCCTATCCAGTGCTCAAGTGCTCGAGCAATACCGGTTGCTATCTTGCGGCCCCGGGGGCGCCAAATCTCGGGCGACTGGTGGTGAGAATGGGGTGAGTCTGAGCATCTACGGTGACATGCGTTGCCCCTGGAACGATGCTTTGGTACAAACCTTCTCTGACTCGCTCCTCAAACGTGGGCTTGGCAAAAGCCAGAAGTTCATGGCCGGCATTTCGTTCGCTATGGATACCAAAGGCCAACGCGTGTGCCTTCTCGCCGATTCGGGCGGCGAGACAAAACTACCGCAGCATGACGCTCTCATGCAGGCCGGGAAGGACATCGAGCGCGCGCATGGCGTGAAATGCATGGTCCTGTCAGCCCAAGCTGGACTGTGCATTGATGTGTTCGAAACGTGGGAAAAGGACGGCATCAACCAGTACGATTGCTTTTGCGTCGAAATGAAGCTTGTCGCGTGGTTCCAAAGCCTGCGCAAGATCGATCGTGATTTTCGTGTCCTCTCGACGTTTGCCTGCCCGATCGGGTTCCGGGGGAAGGACATGCCGTACACACCGTCTCCTGCCATCGACGGACCTCTCGGGGTGTTTTCGCGCTGCGCTGTGGCTTGCCCCGGGTGCCAGCTCTTCGCCCCGATCGTCAACAAGCTTGGCTTCTATGCGAACCCCGATGCGCGTCATGCGCCTGTCCTCGGCGACCGCAAGACCGACCCTCAATGCACACCGCGCAAGCAGTCGCTGTGTGTGCCCTGCCTCGGCCCACACTCCGCCCCGGCGAAATAGATCATTAACGTATACACTCTCTGTGGCGATCTCGTGGTATTGCAATACGTGGACCGTGTCGGTGTTTTTTTTCGAGATGGCAATGCTCCTTTTTACACTCGTCACATGAGCTCTCTCCGCAACCCGAGAAGAAATTTCTTTTCCTGGACAAAGATGGTCCGCTCGCTTGCTATCCTGCTATTTGCCTGCCTGCTTCCAATCGCGTCCGCATTTGCGCCCGCGCTCTTTGCTCAGGTGTAGAGGATGAAGAGTGTAGAGCGCTGTAGAGATGTAGAGATGTAGAGCGCTCTGGAGCGCTGTAGAGCTGTAGAGCTCTACATCCGCCGCGGGACGATGTGAGTCCGATGTAGAGCGATGTAGAGGCGCTCTACAACGTGAAATCGATGCGTTTTGCATGGCTGAGCCCCCCTCCTCCTCCCCCGCGCCCACTCCCCCCCCCTTCCCCCCCCCCCCCCCCCCCACTCCCCCCTCCCCGCGCCCACCCCCCTGCCCTCGCCCGCCACGCGCCCCGTCCGAGCCCTCTCCGCCCTCGCACAGGTGAAGAAAAGGGGGAAATCTAATCAGATGGAAGCAGGAAGCTTCCATCCCGGCCGTGGTTCGAATCCACATGAGCCGATGGGTGAAAGGGAAGACCCGCCCGAGGTCTGAAGCTCACCCATTGAGGAAGTGAGGAACTGCTCGGCCCACCCTGATCCTGCTGAACAAGCTCCTCTTGTAGCTCGATCGGTCACACCGCCATCGCCGTCGGGGAGAGGGGGGACGACACTGCCTCGGCAGCGTGCACCTCGATCCTGTACCGTGTTTGTTATGACCCCCCCCAATGAACACACCAGTGAGGGAGGGCGAGACGATCGAGGGGTCCCGTACCATGCGGAACCGACCCTATCCAGTGCTCAAGTGCTCAACGTGAAATCTCTACAACAAACTCTACATCATAAGCCGCGAACGAGGCACGGTCGCTCTCCGACATGAGGCGCGTTGCACTTGCCAGTGCTGCCCTGGCCTTCTGTCTGCCCGCCCAATGGGTGGCAGGTGCCTCTGCTGCTGTGGCATGCCTCACGGCTGCGACTGGCCGGCGCCTCGGCGCGTCAGCTCGGCTCGGCGTAGCGATCGTGGCCAGCGCAACTCGCCTGGACTCAACGCTCAGCCAGGAGCTCCCGCACGCGCTGGCGCGAGTCATGGCGCATGCAACGCGTCTGAATGCTCGCCTCGCCTCGCGCAAATGCGACCGTCCTCGCAGCCGACAGTCCACCGCCTGCTAAAGAAGCACAGCGACGAATGCGGCACCGGCGACATGGCAGGCTGGTCATGACGCAGTTATAGGGTGTTGTGTGCCGTCAGAGTGACTCTCTGTGTGTCAGGGATAGTCAGGGCCGTCCATCAGAGCTCCAGTAAGCTTGGAGACACCCCATTAGCGCGGCTCGACCTCTTTGAGTTACTGCCTTCCCGGCGCGGTTTGGCTGTAGAGCCTCTACAACAAACTCTACAGCAAAATCGCGCTCTACATCGCTCTACATCGGACTCACATCGTCCCGCGCCGGATGTAGAGCTCTACAGCTCTACAGCGCTCCAGAGTGCTCTACATCTCTACAGCTCTACAGCGCTCTTGAGCACTTGAGCACTGGATAGGGTCGATTCCGCATGGTACGGGACCCCTCGACACTCTACATCCTCTACACCCTCCCTCAGGTTGTACAGTGGGTTGCGGGCATTAAGAAAACAGGATTTCCCGGCACGCCGCCGTTTCTAAGCCTTTCCACACCCCTCACCCGCCCCACGCCGTGGTTTCTTAGCTCTCAAGGTAGGTCAAAGGTCAGAGCCGGCCGCCCCCTACATGTTGTAGTTAGAGCGCCTCTACATCGCTCTATAACGCACCCGCATCGTCACGCGGCGGATGTAGAGCTCTACAGCTCTACAGCGCTCCAGAGCGCTCTACATCTCTACAGCTCTACAGCGCTCTACACTCTACATCCTCTACACCCTCCCTCCCTCAGCTGCTATGCACCCGCACGACTAGGATTCCTAGCCGCACGAACTTGGAGCATTTGGAGTCATCAGCCGCACATCCAGGGCCGGGGGGCTAAGAAGCACACCCAGCGGGCCAGATGATTGGGATCGGAAGAAATAAAGCAAGAAAACAGACAACCCAAGGGAGGGATGGGAGGACGGCACGCCGCCACCACACAGGGATTTTAAGGAGAGGAGTGTGGTGCTAGCCGTCGCCCACCCTAACCCTTGGTCGTCTGCCTCTTTCTATCTCCCTTCGCAGTCCCTCGCCGATTCTCGCTGGGATCGGCTGGGGAAGAATTCTCCAATCCGGGTTGCGCGCGAAGGTGGAGCCCGGCTTCTCACGCACTGTGGCGTTGCGCACAGCCGCTCTCGAAAGGATGGCGGAAGGCCCCTCCTCCGAGCCCAGCGAGGCGGAGAAGGCGGGCGTGCGAGCTCAGCTGCGCGGAACCCTGGACAAGCTCAACGAAAACCGCTCCAACCTGACCCAGACCAACAGCCGCGGCCTGTGCGAGGTGCAGAAGCAGACCAACGAGATCTGGGGCAAGACGAAGACGGATGCGCGCAGCGCAGCGCTCGACGCGGCGGTGCTGCACCAGGTGTCGGTGCTGGGCGCGGAGCAGGCGGGCAACCTCGAGAAGAAGAGCGAGGGCTTCATCCGCAACCTCCGCCAAAAGTACGGGGTGGGCGCGAGCGTCGACGGAGAGCGCTCGCGCATCCACTGGTGGCCGCTGCACCCGCGCCCACCTCCTCCACCAGCCGCTCCGCTTTCCCCCTCCTCCTGCCCCAGCTCTCTCCACACCTTTCCCGCTCCTGCCTCCGCTCAACACCAAAAAACACCACCTGTCCCTGTACCTGTCGCCCACCCGCCGCCCGCCCGCCGCCCATCCCCAGGGAGCGACTTGGGCAAGCCATCGGGGAGGCGGCGATCTACGCGCACGTCCCCGCCGTCACCTTCCTGCTCGGCGATTTTGTGGCGCAGGCGCCCAAGCCACGGCAGGAGCGGAAGCGCAAGGAGCGAGCGCCTGTCGAGGAGGTTCAGACGGTGCCTGCGCTCGAGCGGAAGGGGGGGGGGGGGGGGGGGAGGCCGCGGCCGGGTCGAGGCCTCGGGACGGGCTGGCGCGCGTAGGCGAAGCACGTCGACGTGAAGGAGTTGCAGGAGGGGGCGGAGAGCAAGGCGCAGACCGCGCGCATGCACACGCTCAAGACGGCGGCCGCTCGGGATCAAGCGGCCGGTCCTCGGCCAAGGCTCATCCGTGACGCGTCGGGGACTCGATAGGCCATCCGCGAGCACGCCAAGGCGTCTGCCGACGGGCGCGCCAGACCCCCCCCCCCCCCCTCCTACCCTCGCCACACCTCCGCCCCGATCCAATCCCTTGCCTCCCTGCCACCGCCGCCACCGCCGCCCGCCGCCCGCCCCGTCTCCCCGGGAGGTCGCCCATGGGCGACGTGACTGCAGACAGCCCCCCACCCCCTTCCCTCCCCTTCCGTCCTTGCCCGCAGGCGCGTCCCTCTCTTCCGCATGCTGCTCAACCCAAACTCCTTCTCGCAGACCGTCGAAAACTTCTTCGACCTGGTGCGTGACCCCCCCCGCCTCCCCCTCCCTCCCCCTCCCCGCCCCGCCTCCTACCTCCGCGCCTCCGACCTCGCCGTCACCTCGCTGCCCATCTGCGAGTGCGCGGCCGCCGCGACCCACCCTCCCGCAACCCCTACTCCGTCTCCGTGCGCCCGCCCCAGGCCTTTCTCGTCAAGGACGGGTGGATGGAGATTGGCCCCGACGACGAGGGAAGCGCCGCCCGCCGCCGCCGCGTCCTCCCAGCCCTGCCGCGGCCGTCTCTCCACGCTCGCCCTTCCGTGTGGACAGGTGGCGCGTACGTTGCCCCAGCAGCTCCACCCACGGACGATGGCCGCCCCAAGGCGAGCCTTCTCCCCCTCACTCTCGCCCTAACGAGGGCCCGTCCCCGCCGCCGCGTCTGGGTCGGAGCACGAATACGGAGCTCCCCGCACCGTCGCACCCCCCCCCCCCCACACACACACACACACAGGCGCCAAGCAAACAAAACATCCTCACGCTCGACCACCCCACGTGGCTCAAGCTGTGCAAGCGCTGGTGCGAGGGCGGGACCCTGCTCCCGCCTCGCTGAGGCGCGCCCGAGGCCTCACCAGCGAGGTGTCGCTGCGGCGGTTTGCGTGAGCCACGCGCAGCGCCAACACATGCAGCCCGCCGGCTGGGCAGGGAGCTTGTACGAGGCTGTCGCCCCTCCTTGCTCGTACGAATGCCAGCAGCCGCTGTCTATTGCCAGGCGCACCCGAGCAGTTTCCCTGAGACGGGTCTCACCATTTGTGGTGCGCATTTCGTGGCTTCTGGCTTTGCGGACCCGAGAGTACACTGCACATTGCTTTAATTGCTTCTCGCCACAGTAATTAAAGCAATGCGCAATGGGGAAGCGCACCACTCTCAGCGCTCGCTCACGCCCCGCGAGACATCTGTGACAATGGTCAACCATCAATCAATGCACAATGCACACATTATCGGGGCGAGCAGGCTGCGCAAAACCAATCGCTCTCCGGGATGGCGGCGAGCGGCGGCGAGAGGCAGCCGAGGTGGAAGCCCTTGTTGCAGCCGTCGCAGAGAAGCATCCTCTCGGCGTCGCGCGGACTGCCGCACACCTCACACTCCTTGCCCACGATGGTGAGCACGTCCGCAGCGCTCACCATCGACGTCCCGCCGGCCCCGTTTGCCGTCGGCCAGCAAGCAGCCCCGCGCCGGACTCCGTGGAGGGGGCAGTGCCGCTCGTGCCGCGGGCGCGAGCAGCGGGCGCACGGAGAGGCGGCGGCGGCGTCGGGCGAGGAGAGCACGAGGCAGTCACGCACATCCTCCGGGTGCAGCAGGTTGTGCTGCCTGAGGACCTCGAGGTGGGAGCGGAATGGGGCGGCGAGGCCGCGGAGCTCGGCGGCGTGCTGGACCGCGAAGGCACGGCAGAGGGCGGGCAGGCACCGGTCGCCCACCAGCCGGCTGCGCTCCGACCGCTGCACCGCCCCGTTCCACAGATCCATAAAGGCAGCCTCCGCCTCACCGACGCCGCGGCGGCTGCGGATGCGGTCAGCCGCCTGCTCGAGCTGCCACGCGCCCGCCTCGTGCCGCCACGACGGCGGCACGGGGTCCGCCTCCACCGGCCCCTCGCGCAGCGGCACGCCCCACTCGAGCGGGTGGTAGAAGCGCGCGAGGCCGCTCGGCAAGCGCTGCTGCGGCGGCGGCGGCGAGACTGGCCGCTCAGCGGCGACGGGCCGCTGCTGCTTCTTGCGCTCGCGTTGCTCCCGCTTCGATGCCTTGATGGCCGCCGCCTCGCCCCGCAGCAGCTGCTGCGCCGCCTTTTCATTGTACGGCAGCTTGATGTTGTGCTCGCGGCGGCGTCCGAGCGAGGCCGCGTTGGAGCAGGGCCCGGCGTGGAAGTCGGGCAGCGTGCAGCCCGGAGTGCCGCACAGCCGGACGCCGTCGCCGCTGCAGCGCTTCGCCATGAAGGGAGGGGTGTGATGCGCTAGCCGTCGCCCAACCTTGGGCGTCCGCCTCTTCCTCTGCATAGCTCGCGGCGTTAGTATCAAGCATTCAGTGACGACCTGATCCTACGGTCAGAGGGTCAGTAGGAGGGTGTCCTTCCATCGTGTGCACGCTTCTGGCGCAATGCGCGTCGCCTCGCTCGGATTGGCTGCTGGCACTCTCGAGGCTATGCCTACACAGCCTCGCGCGCATGGGCAGTCAAGAGGACCACGCACCTTCTCAGGACAGCGCCGGTGCCTCTCTCTTGGACCGGCAAACTTGGTAGTCTCGTGTCACCAATGTGGGACCAGTGCGGCATCGCGCCATCGACAGCTCTGAACTGCGCCTCACCACTGACCGGGGAAGGCCGCCAAGTGGGCCAGCACCGGTCGCACATTGTGGCAGCAGTCAGCAGTGCATGTCTGATAGCTAGAGCAGCAGCGTCAGGGTCGAAGGGTCGGATCTGTCAAGCCTCTCGCCCGGCCGGCCGCGTGCAGACGTCGGCCCCTGTCTGCTGTCTGGAGTGATCTGTCGGCGGTCAGTACGACCGATCAGGTCGGAGTTTTCTGATGGTTGGAGGGTCTATCTGTATGTACTCCTCGAGATCTCTCCAAATCTGCCCTCTGTTAGACCGGGTTAGATCGGGAAGTCGGTGCTAGCTGAGACTAGCGGAGCCGGAGCCCCGTTTCCGCACTGCTGCGCGGCGCACGGTGCCTCCGGGGGCCCCCGCGCCACCCCAGAGAGTCTCTCGCCGATTCTCGCTGCAACCTTTCATGCCACCTCGCGGTCGTCCCACTCTCGTCGTTCTCTCCCTTGTCGCTTGTAGCCTTGTTCCTCTGTCGCGTCGCTCTCCTCTGCCTCGTTCTGCGACGCCGCCGCCGCCTGCCGATCCCTGTGTTAGTGCCAGTGCGCGCCAGTCCCGTGCCCAGTGTAAATAAATAAACAAAGAGTTGGACAAATACCAAATTCCAAATCGCAAACATAGAAACCCAAACACAGGCGGCGAAATAAATAAATAAAACGGACACACCAAACAATGCAGCACGCCGATCTTCTCCATGGAAGTGGCAAAGAGGTTCGCCGCGTCCAGAGCGGTCAGAAGCCGCGACCAGAATGCCCCATTGAAAAGCACATTGAGAACGTGGTTCCCATCGAGGAGGGTGCCTGTCTGCTGGTCCACGCTGAACCGGCACCGCGGCAGGAAGGCGCCCTTGGCGTCACTCTGCCCCAGGGTGTAGTTGGTCACTGCTCCTGCATTGTCGTACACCGTGGTCCAACTCAGACAAGGCGTGTGGTCCTTTACGTGCTGAGCCCCTGGAGCGAGAACGAGCGCTGCATCACTGGTGATCTGAACTTCGTCAACGACGACGACGATGGGCGCTTGCGCAGCTGGCGGGGCCTGCTGCTGCGCCATCTTCACTGCGTCCTCTCCTCTCCTCCCACCTCACAGAAAACTGCGGCCGCCAGCGACAGAGCGTCTCGCTGGCGGACGGCGAGAGGAACACAAAGGGACGTCCGGACGTCCATCCACTGGGATGAGATAACTGGAGATCTAAGGTCGAATCTCCCGATTCCACAGCCGCCCACAGGAGCGCCGCCTCAACACGGGGTCTCGGCTCTATCGAGCCATGCTAGCTCCAGCCGCAGCCCCACCCGGCCGCCCGAGGGTGTTCCCGCAGGCAGAGAAGACCAATCCTGGGGGAAGTAACCATCTCGTTCCTACAGTTGTATATTCGACGTTCTTGCTCATATGCGTTTCCGGGTTCCGATTCGTTTCCGATTCGTTTCCAGTTCCCCGTCCCTGACGAAATCTTTGCGCTCTCCTTTTTACATACATAATTTGGCGATTATATCCATAAGGGATTTCATCCCTTTTTGGTTTGGAGATCCGTGGATTGCGATTGGTTTCGGTTTTGGGTAAAACGTATACAGCTGACGCGATGCGGCCTCTGCCTAGCTTCCTGCTTCTATGCGCGAGCTACGGCGGGACCGCTATCGAGTACAAATCGCTCATCCAAGAGCTCCATCCATGTACATCCACACCCCATCGAGGCCCAACTACACAACTTGTGTACACGTGAGAGAAGGCGAGCCCCTCCTCCGCGCACTCGCCCATGCCAGATGCCATTCAAACGCGCGACTCGCCGGCGAATGCACATGCCTATGAGCCTTACCCCCTACGCCAGCGGCGCTACAAGCCGGCGCGGGCGGGGCTACGGGCGGGGGGCGCTGACAGCGAGCAACTGGCGCGAGAGCATGGCGACCACCTCTGCAGTGAGCGGCTTTGGCAAGCACCGGTCAAAGCCATAGTCGCGGCACGCGTCGACGTCGGGGTCGGCCGAGATGGCCACCACCCACGGGGGGCGGGCAGCTGCAGACCGGACGTGCTCGCGGTACCAAGAGGCGACGGCGTAGCCCGACATGCCCGGGAGCTGCAGGTCGAGCAGGACCAGCACGTACCTCGGCGGCAGCAGCGCGAGCTGCGTCATGGCGGACTCGCCTAAGGGGAGGGCGGTGGGGGGATTGCGGTGGTGAGAGGGAGATGTGAAGAGATGGTGGTGAGTGAGAGAGAAAGGGAGCTGGCACGGCATTCGCCCGGCGTCCCAGCAGCGCCTCTCCGGTGATCCCGGTGATCTCGGGTGATCTCGGGTGATCTCGGGTGATCTCGGGTGATCTCGCCGTCCATGTGCGCGTCGACGCAAAAGCCGAGCCGCTCGAGGAGCTGCTGCCTGTTGGGCGTGCCGCTGGGCCGGTCAGACGACGCCCCCCCGCAGGGGCCAGGCAACGCACGGGCCGAGCACATGGCTGCAAGGGCAATCTGGCAGTCCTCGACAATCAGAATGCGCGGGCGCGGCGGCGGCAGCGCGAACGCGGCGGCGGCGCAAGCGCAAGGCGCGCTCGGGCCGCCGACCGCGCCGCCGCTGCCCTCCCCGTCGCCCCGCCGCGGTCCTCCGAGCGGAGAGCCGACGACGCCGGGGATGAGGGGCGCCACGGCGTCGCCGAGCGTGGGCATCCACTTCTGGAGCGTGTGCCTGTGAGGGCGGCGGGCGCATGCTCTCATGGCGAGATGAGGTGACACGATGCGACGCGAGGAGCCTCGTGGCGCTGCTTGCGGCGGCGGAGCACACCGCAGCGACTGCAGCGTCACCGGCTTGCAGAGCGCGTCGTGCATGCCAGAGGCGGGCAGGTCGAGCTGGGAGGCGTTCGAGGAGCAGGCGATGAAGACGGTTTGCGACATGCGCGCCTGCCGCTCCGAGGGCGCACTCGAGGGCGCACTCGCGCGCGAGCCGATGTGCTCCGCGTACGCCCTCGCCAGCTCGACGCCGGAGAGGCCGGGAAGCCGCAGGTCGACCAGGACGATCTCAAAGACGGTGGTGCTGCGGGCAGGCGGGGCGTGGTCTCGACGGCGGGGCGTGGTCTCGGCGGGAGGGCGGGGCGGGCATGGCAGGTGGCAGGTCGGGGCGCACGAGCAGAGCGCCCACGCGTCCTCTGCAGAGACGGCATGAGTCAGCACGAAGCCGAGGCGCGGGAGGCCGAGGCTGTCTGCCGACTTTCCGATCTGGTCAAAGTGCGACTTGAGGCACAAGAATGAGAAGCTGTCGTCCTCCACGATCAGCACACGGATCGCCCGCGAGGGCTCGTCGCGGCTCGACGCGTGCGTGCTCTTCTCGTCAATCGCCGCCCTCATCGTTGGTGCGACGGGCCTGGGCTCATCATCAATTGACGGCTGGCTAGTTTCCTATAGAAAAAACCATTCGCGCGGTTGATAATTGCACTCGAAGTGCTCCAAGTGCCGACGAGCAGATGGCCGTTCAGCGAAAAACTCTCATATGCCAGGTCTGCGGCAGGGGCCAGGGTGATTCGGCGAGACCGACACTTCTTCGCGAACCAAACGCACCGCGACGTGGTGAGGGCTTTCCTCCCGAGGGTGAGACCGGGGCCGGACCATCACCCATCAGCAGAGCGGGCGAGAAAAGCGGAAGCTGTTCGCGCCACATTTTTTGACCAGCTGGAAGTACTTCTTTTCCGCCCGAGGGTAGGCGACGGCTAGCACCACACTCCTCTCCTTGAAATCCCTGTGTGGTGGCGGCGTGCCGTCCTCCCATCCCTCCCTTGGGCTGTCTGTTTTCTTTCTTTCTTTTTTGGATACTTGAGCACTTGAGCACTGGATAGGGTCGATTCCGCATGGTACGGGACCCCTCGATCGTCTCGCCCTCCCTCACTGGTGTGTTCATTGGGGGGGGGTCCTAACAAACACGGTACAGGATCGAGGTGCACGCTGCCGAAGCAGTGTCGTCCCCCCTCTCCCCGACGGCGATGGCGGTGTGACCGATCGAGCTACAAGAGGAGCTTGTTCAGCAGGATCCGGGGGGGTCAGATGCACTACCTCACTGGGCCTGAGACCACCGAGACAACACCCGTCACCGTCTCGGATTTGCGTGGGGTCGAACCACTCACATTGCTCATTGGGTATCGCCACGCATTTCGCCAACCCGCTAAATCCCGCAAGAGTTCTCTTGCACCGGGAAGCGCAGAAAGGCTGCCAACCTCCTCTCCCATCTGGCGCTTGCGTCGGGCAGCGTGGGCGCGGCATCCGTGACGGATGCGGGCCCTTCTCTCGCGGGATCGCTGGGAGCCGCTCGGCTCCCCACGCGCCGCCGAGCTGCAATGGCAGGTTCTGATTTTTACTTTTCAGGTCCCCGCGGGAAGCCCCGCGCATAGGACAACAACGTCTGTCCCACACAGACACAGACGCGCACATACATCCTGCTCGGGCACACCCCACAGTGTAGTGGTGTGTGTGAGTACACAAGTACTAGCAGAGTGCACACCTGCCTTGGCGGGTGAGGGTCGTAAGAATCAAAGCCTCTTGGTGCCAAACGTGCTCGAGCGCGCCGAAGAGAGACGATCTACGCTCGAGGGAGTTAGCGAAAGTCGCACGGGCAGAGGGGAGACCGAGGCCTCCGGCAGTCCGCACCGCCTCGCGAAAGGGAAGCAACTCAACTCCAGATTGGACTTGGGTGCGCCGAGCGCCGGCGCGTAGGTCGCGACCGACGCGCAGCGCGGGCACGTCGCGAGCACAGGAGCGCCGCGGGTGCCGTGCCACTAACCTGGTTGTGCCGGGCAGGGCAGTGCTTGAACGACCACATCGCTGGCGCGATCCGCCGTGGAGACTGTGCGCCATCCATCAGCCGCTGAATGGCTGTACGGGCTGTTCGAGCCGACAGAACAACGACAACTGAATGCGGAAACTGAATGCTCGGCGCCAATGCTCTGATCTGTGTAGCGCCTGCGCGTGCCGCCCTGCACAGCGGCCCCGGACCTTTGCGGTCCACAGCGCTACCGGCCATGGCGATTGAATCATGGCGCGACTGGCTCCATGGCAGCACGTTGAAGCAGAGCAGGTGGGGACGAGGACGCGCGGAAGGACGCGTCGCCTCTCTGCTGTGAATAGAGGGAGAGTGCTGCAGCGTTGGAGCCGTAGCTCGGCGCCTCGCCCTCAGCAGAGCGGGCGAGAAAAGCTGAAGCTGTTCGCGCCACATTTTTTGACCAGCTCGAAGTACTTCTTTTCCGCCCGAGGGTAGGCGACGGCTAGCACCACGCGCCGACCCAGCTCCGAGCACGCTCGCTCGCCGCTGGGCGGCGCGCGTCCACACTGCATCGGCAAAACGCGACGCAGGAGCTCGCTCGCGCTGCTGCTGCTCTACACTACCGCTCCACGCCAAGGCGCGGGCGGCGGTGCTCGCCGGCGCTCGCGGCGCTTCGGTGCTCGGGCGCGCTCACCATCGTGGTCGTTAGGGGCGGCTCGCACAGCGCGCGCGCGCACACACACACACACACACATGCACAGACACACAGCCCCTTCCCCTTCCGCTTCCCCCTCTAGACCGCAAGGGCGAGGACACGCGTAGGCCGCACCTCTAGCGAAGCCCACAGAGTGGGAGACTCCTATCACCGCCCCTGCCACCCTCGGCGTGAGGCTTGGCCGCCTCCGTCAGTGTGCCCGCGATAGTGAGAGACTGCCAGTGAGAAGCCGGAGGGAGCGGAAGGTCGCTAGTCGAGAGAGATCACCAGTGGAATAGGGAGTCCACCGTGCTGCGAACCTGTCGCTGTCCCTTGTCAGGAGCAGGAGAACTAGGAGAACGCAACCAGTAGGGGGCCCGCGCCTGCCCCCGCCCGTGCCGCCGGGTGCAACTTTGTCCTTCCTATATATACAATCCCTGGGACCCTGTCGTGTGGGTGAACCCTGCCCAGCCCCCCTCCGTGTCGCGATGCGCTCCCCGCTCCCGTTCCCCTGTGTCCCTGATCGTCCTTCCAAGATCCTGCTCGTGCAGGCGGGGACCCGCGTCCTTCTCTCACACCGGGGAGGAGGGTATTTTCACGTCGCGTGGGCTGAACGTCGCGCGCATTGGGGCGCGACGATGTCGGAGGCCGACGACACGGACGTTCTGTCGACGCTAAGTTTCACCATCTCGCTGCTCAAGGTCTCCCTCTCGGTGGGGCGCGTCGTGCCCGGCGGCCTGCCCGGCTGCGCGTGGCCGCTGCTCAAGGCGATGTTTTCCGCGAGCGCCGCGGGCGACGCGAGCGGCTTCTTCTGCCTCACGCAGGAGAAGGACGAGCTGACGCTGATGATGGACCAGCGCTGCCGCGCGGCCTTCGACGAGGCGGGAAGCGTCGCCACCGTCGAGTACGCGCCCTCGCGCTGGCGCGCGTTTGAGCTGCGGCTCGGCTCTCTGGGGGGAGAGGTGCCGGGCCTGGTGTGCTTCCTGGCGACGCTGATGGCGGAGGGCAGCATCTCGATCCTCAACCTGTCGTCGCACGACCGCGACTTTGTCCTCGTGCAGGAAGGCGACGTGGCCGCCGCCACGCGCCTCATCTGCGAGGGGATGCAGGAGGACGCGGTCGGGCTCAAGGAGAAGATTAGCCAGCGCGCGATGGTGCGCCGGTCGGGCTGCTCGAGCGACTCGCTCTGGCGCGGCGTGCGGGGCGCGTCGGGCGACCTCGCCGAGGAACTGCGCGCCCTACGCCAGACTGCGCTCGACGGCGCCTTTGAGTCGATGGCCGGCAGAGGCAGCACAGACGCCGACGCACCCGCCGCCGCCTTCTCCTCGCCGGCGGCGTCGAGGCCGGCGTCGACCCCGCCGCCGCCCGTGCCGCTGCCCGCGCAGGGAGAGCAGGCGGGCGCGGAGGGCGGCCTCGCGGGGCGAGCGGCGGGGAGCGGCGAGCTTGGCTGCGCGGAGGGGTGCGCGGAGGGGTGCGCGGAGCAGGGCTGCGCGGAGCGGTGCGATGAGGGGCGCTCGCGGCTGCGGCGGCTGCGCATCACAAACGACGGCGGTGCGAGCGCAGACGACGACGACGACGGCGCCGACCTCTACATCCGAGTGCTTCCCACTAAGCTGGCGCTCGTGCGACTCGCCCCGGCGATGCTGCAGGCGACCCCTACCCTTCCCTCCTCTCTTCTCCTCTCCGCTCCTCTCCGCTCCTCTCCTCTCCGCTCCTCTCCTCTCCTCTCCTCTCCTCTCCTCTCCTCTCCTCTCCTCTCCTCCCTCTCCTCTCGCCGCTGCTTGAATCCCTCGCCCCCCCCCCGCCCACCCGCCACCTCTCCCCTCACCTCTCCCCCGCCCCCTCCCTCGCTGCCGCAGGCGTCGACCCACACTCTGGTCCACCGCCTCCTGTTCGGAGGCAGTGAGGGCGGCAGCGCGCTCTGGTCGTACGCGCACATTGACGACGACATCTCGCTCATGGTGGAGGAGGAGGCCCTCGACGACTTCCCGGAGGGTGTGTGCCGCCGCCCGCCGCCGCCGCCCGCCACCCCGCCCGCCTCCCCGCCCGCCCCCCCGCCCGCCGCCACGCCCGCCGCCACGCCCGCCGCCTGCATGCAACAAGGCCGCGGCCCAGCGTTCACTGCCCGCCGACGCGCCACTCCTTAGGCGCCATCGTCGGCTCCTACGCGCAATGGCGGCCGCTGCGGCTCTGTGGCAAGGCGTTCGGCTTCGACGCGACGGGCGTCGTCTGCGCCATGTATGCCCCGTACGAGCAGGGGCTGCCGCTGCTCAACATATCGACGCAGCCGCCCCCCGCCTCTGCCGCACTGTCGGCGGTGGGGCGCGGCCCCGCCTCACGATTGGCGTGGTGTGAGCAGGTACTCGACAAACATCTCGCTGATAGAGGAGGAGGACCTCAGCCGTGCAATCGCCTCCTTTGATTTGCCCGTCCTCCGACCAAGCGAAGACGAGGACGACGCCGGCAGCGGACTCAGCGATGGCGGAGAGGCTTGACTATTGTAGCTTTCCGGCTGTGCGGGTAAGCCTATCTCGGTATCTGCGGTGCAACGACACCACCGAACACTAGCCAGGGTGACATTTACATATGTGCATCGTCATGATGTTGTACACATCGAGAGGGCTTCGTGTGTGTTGTGATCTGTGATCTGTGAGGGTCCGCCCGCAGGCCCGCATCGCGCATGCAGGCGTGTTGCTTCCAGCGCCCTCCCCCGCGCTCCCTCGATGATCCTAAGAAGAGTTGTCATCTGGCTACCGCCTACCGCGAGTCAGAGCGACCCATACCACCCAACTCGTCGACACACCTACATCGTCCGATGATGGATACCCATCACTGAGCCGACGATGCTATGGGTAGCCCCAGGGTGGCGCCCACCCCCATACCCTCAGGCATTTGCCTGCGCCCTGGCCGCGCAACGCCGCACACGCGCGCGCACGCCCGCGCACGCCGCGCACGCGCGCGCACGCCCGCGCACGTGCGCGCACGCGGCACTACGCGGCACTACGCAGCACTACGCGCCCGCCCGCGCACGTGCGCGCACGCCCGCGACGTGCGCGCACGCCCGCGCACGCCCGCGCGCACGCCGCACTACGCGGCACTGCCCAGGTTCCCTCACGCTCAGATTCCCTCACGCTCAGATTCCCTCACGCTCAGATTCCGTGCAAGGGGGTGCCGAGGAGTATGCCGCAGGCCGGGATGGAGTGAGATCTTGCGCGGCAGGGCGTGGGCTAGCGCGTGAGGGCGCAGGCAAGTGCCCGAGGGTATGGGGGTGGGCGCCGCCCTGGGGCTACCCGTAGCATTGTCCGCTCAGTGATGGGTATCCGATGGTGGGCCGCAAAGTCAGCCTCCGGAGGCTATCGTTGCGTCGAGCCGGCAGTATTCCTATTTGGGCTCAACCCTCCTTTTCACCGGCGAAAGGAGGTCATGCTCTGCCTTTTCTCCCTGGCCGCCTCCCTCTCGATCCGCGAGGTCGAGACTGAGCACGAGGATAGCGGCGCACGAGGTTAGCGTCTGCTGGGGAAAGTCGAATCATTTTTTGCATCACACAACCGCGGCGCTTCCTATTTGGGCTCAACCCTCCTCCTACCCACCGAAAAGGAGGTCATGCTCTGCCTTTTCGCCCTCTCCCTCTCCCTCTCGAGCCGCGAGGTCGAGACCGCCCACACTGAGAGCGGCGCACGGCTAGCCGCCGCCGCAAAGGCTGTCTACGAGACGCACAAGACGGCAACCGCAAAGTGCGGAGAGGCGGCGGTACCGGTTCTGAAGCAGACGATCCAGGTCTGCGCGAGCCACCCGCGCCACTTGCCAGCCGTCTCGTGAGAGGCGCACTGGCCCCCGTCCGCGCCGACTGCCTCCCAAACTGCGGCAGGACCTCTTCCCGTCTCCCTCTCCGCCGCCGCCGCCCTTCACCGCGGGCGGGTTCGGGCTCGACATGCTCAACGCGGCGCTGATGGGCGACGCCTCCAAGGGTAGCAAGACGCTGGACGGCGCCGCCAAGGTGGGGATGGGCTACGGCATGGGCAAGGCGCGGCGAGAGACGCCTCCCCGCCCCTCTCGCTGAGAGAGAGAGAGTGTGTGTGTATGTGTGTGTGTGTGTGTGTCCTGCGGCCGCAGCGCCGGGAGGGCCAACCGGGAGGGCCCACACGGGGCACACGTGATCATGGGGAGCTGCCTGTCTCGAATAGGCCGAGTCGGGCAACAGCGTCTACCATCAGGCGGCGGCGGCGGCGGGCCACAAGATCATGGGACCGTCGCCGCCGCCCGCAATGCCGAGCGGAGCAGCATACCAGGCGAGAGCTGCTCACAACGCACAGCACACACCACACGTGCACCACACCACAACGCTGCTCACGAAACACACACACACACACACACACACTTGCAACCGGTACGCTGTGGAGGGCTCCTGCCTGTCTGAGGGGGTGGTCGAGGGGGGTGGCATGACGTGGTCTGGACTGCCCCACCCCCTCGCGGTGCTCACCTACCCCCCACACCACCTAACCCTAACCCTAACCCCACACTCCGGCGTTCCTTGCGCGTGGCCCGCCGCGTGCCTGTGCGTCGGATCATCCGCCATCCCACCCGCCCCCGCCCCCACTGACAGGCTCTTTGCGACGCGGCACTGGCCGAATCAAAGACGGCACGGGAGGAGTACGAGGCCGCGGTGCGCGCTCTCGCTCTCTTCCCTCTGCCTCTCTTCCCCCACGTGTCGCTGTGTGCCCCCCTCTCGTTCCCCTCTCTCGCCCTTTACCGCGACCCTCCACCCCCACACTCGCACCTCCGGCCGCACCTTGCTATGCATCTTGCACGCACCTCACACGCACAAGTCGTTCAGACGGCTAGGGCACGTCCACAGGTAGGTAGCCAGTGGGAGCACACTGGCCCAGCCGCCTCACCCCATCTTTGGCGCCATCATCAGCGGCGACACCCCGCCACACTTTACCCGCACACGCGACACCCCCTGGCCTCGCGACGCCCGTCACACACACACACACACACACACACACACACACACACCCCGGCGCCCTGTGGCGCCCTCAGCCCGCTCGCGCCGCCCCTCCTCCCTCGTCGTACGGATCCTCATCACGCCCCGCTGGCCCCTCTGCCGCTCCACCCTGCCGCCTCTCTCCGCATGCCACGTCACGCGCCCCCGCGCCTGCCCTCACGCCCGCAGGCGAAGGACCACGCCGGCGACACGGCCGCGCTCGTGCAGGCGCCCCCCCCCCCCCCCTCCACACACACACACACACACACACACACACACACACACACACACACACACACACACACACACACACACCACCACCACCACCACCACCCACCACACGGTCGTTCATTACGCAAACCGCCCTGCACCGCCCCACCAGCCGCCCCACCAACCGCCCCACCAACCGCACCGCCACGCACCGCCACGCACCGCCCAGCCGCCACCTCGACCCCCCCACACGATCCACCCCCCTACCCTGCCCCGCAGGCGAAGCTCGGCCTGAGCTTGGCGGCCGAGCCGGCGGCGAGGGCGCGGGCGCCGCCCGAAAAGGGGGCAGACTTGGTAGATGTGGTCCAGAGTCGGCCGGCACGCGCACGCACACACACACACACACACACACACACACACACACACACACACGAGCACACTGGGGTGCGTGAGTGTCTGTGTGTGGAGAAGCTGACCTGACCCGACCCGACCCGACCCGACCCGACCTGACCTGATCCGCTAGGCGGTCGAGGACGCCGAGGCGGCGCACGAGGAGAGCGGCGCGCGCCTCGCCGCGGCCGCCGTCAAGCTCTACGAGACGCACAAGAAGGCCACGCCAGTCGCACAGTCAAACCATACACGCACGACGCACGCACAGGGGCTCAGCCCGGGCCTTGCGCTGTCAATGCCGTGGGGGGGCGCGGGGCTCTCCTGTCTTTGGACATGGCTGTGTCCAGGCTCAGAGGAGCTGGGCTGTGTCCCCCCCCCCCCCCCACCCACACCATGTGCCCCACCGTGCGGAAACGCTCACCCTCGCCTTCCCCTTACCCAGGCCACCGAGGCTGCCGCAGACGCTGCCGTCCCCGTCGTCAAGGACGCGTTCCAGGCGCGTGCTCGCAGCCCGCCGCCGCAACCAGCCCTCCCCCTCGGCCCTCTCCCCCCCAGGCCCTCCCGCCACCCTCTCCGCCGCCACCCTCTCCGCCGCCACCCTCTCCGCCGCCACCCTCTCCGCCGCCACCCTCTCCGCCGCCACCCTCTCCGCCGCCACCCTCTGCTCTACACCGCAGCCGTCGCCAGAGGACCTCTCCCCGCCGCCCGCTCCCTCGGCCCCGACGCCACGCCACGTCCTCGCCGCCGCCGCCGCCACCGCACCGTCCGTCCGTCACCGCACCCGCCTCTCCCACCAGCCATTACACCACCATCACCACCCGGAGGGCAACACACCACCGAGGGCCCACCCCCCGTGCCGCGGCTCCTCCACGCCCCGCGACGCCCCCCTCACCCGCCCCGATCACCACACTCGCCGTCGCGCCCCTTAGCACTCCTCTCGCGCACGCTCTGCAGGACCTCTTCCCGTCTCCCTCTCCGCCGCCGCCGCCCTTCACCGCGGGCGGGTTCGGGCTCGACATGCTCAACGCGGCGCTGATGGGCGACGCCTCCAAGGGTAGCAAGACGCTGGGCGGCGCCGCCAAGGTGGGGATGGGCTACGGCATGGGCAAGGCGCGGCGAGAGACGCCTCCCCGCCCCTCTCGCTGAGAGAGAGAGAGAGTGTGTGTGTGTGTGTGTCCTGCGGCCGCAGCGCCGGGAGGGCCAACCGGGAGGGCGCACACGGGGCACACGTGATCATGGGGAGCTGCCTGTCTCGAATAGGCCGAGTCGGGCAACAGCGTCTACCATCAGGCGGCGGCGGCGGCGGGCCACAAGATCATGGGACCGTCGCCGCCGCCCGCAATGCCGAGCGGAGCAGCGATGAAGGCGAGGTTCGAGGCTGCAGCAGCGGAGGCGAAGGCGGCGCGGGAGGAGTACGAGGCCGCGGTGCGCTCACCCTTCCTCCCCCATACCACCACCACACACAAGTGCACACGCACCGCGCCGCGTCGCGCCGCACACACACCGCACCGACACACACCCTCCCCCACGACACTTTCGGGTCTGAGCTCCTCCCGCGCTGTGCGCGCTGCCTCGCAGGCGAAAGAGCACGCCGCCACGACGGCTGCCCTCGTCCAGGCGAAGGCGGGCCTGGCGCTTGCCGCAGAGCCCGCCGCCGCGTCTCGGCGCTCCCTCCGGCCGGCTGGCTTGGCTGCGCTGGCCGCCGCCGCGCTCGCCGTCGCCCTGTCGCGCCGCCGGCGACCGTCTCTCTCGGCCCACGCCACGTCCCGCCCTTCGGGGTGCGATCTCACTCTCGCCGCCCGCGGCCTCCTCTCTTAGGCGTCCGAACAAGGGTCGCGCCGCGGAGGAGGAGGTCTCCAAGGTTGCGCTGGTGTGACCCTGCGTCGCATGGCGGGGGCTTGCTCAGATGGTGTGAGAGTGGACAGGCGGCTCGAGCCGCGGGGGCAACTACTCGCCTCCCAGGAAGCAAATGGCGTCCGACCGAGCCGGGTGTGAGAGGGTGAGAGGTGGGTGGCCTTGCCACAGGGCCTTCCTTGCACGCTCGGGTGTGGAGTTCGAGAGATGCCTTCACAGCCCTCCGGGGGCAGGGAGCCACGGCACACAGTTTTGGTCTTCTCGGCGCAAACGTGGGGCTAGAGGGGCGGAGGAGGTAGGTGCAATAGTGATTTGGGGGATTCGTTGGGGAGTTTCGCCTTTCGGCGTGAGTTGGTGAGTAGTTGAGAGGGGGGGGGGGGGCGCGGGGGGGTCGAGAGTGCGGTGGATCTGGATGTCTTGTGACTGGCAGGGAGGTGGGAGAAAGCAAAAACAGAGCAATAAAAAGAATACCTCCCCCGGTGTTTATACCGGTAGCGGTACCACTAATTGACGCTATTCTGACTGGGTTGTAACAAAGTTTGAACCACACGCACGGCGCGAGGCCTTGCGCCCCATGCGGTACGGGGCCGTGAAACCCATCGCCTGGGGGTGCTAGGACACCGAGAGACATGATCCAGAAGTGCCAGGCACACCCACAGTGGTCAACACGAGAACGCCGAAATCGTGACCTCGGAACCGGGGAACGCGGTCACGGCAAATCTGACTAATCTGTAACAACCGTTAATACGGATGGCTCACGCTGGCGCATGGCCTCGCCGCTGCTACCCTCCCGACCTCAGGTGAGCAGACAAGATCCCCTGAGCTGCCGGCGCTCTCTGATCGCCCGGATCGCAACTGCCGTGGCAAAACTGCGAGCTCCCGAGGACGTCTGGCGCCGTGGCGCCGAGTGCGTCTGGCACCGGGCACGGAAGCTCGCACTCGGCCGCACGCGATAGTGCTGCCGCGAGAGCGCCTGCCAGGTACGACATGTCTCGTGTAGACTCCTCCTGGGTCATGGTCGGTCATATGCAGGACGGCCAGAGTCGCCCACATCGCCTACGCGGTCCCGAGTGTGGTCAGGCTGATACACCACGACTCAACGGTTGAGTGCGGCCAGCGCACACAAAAGTCGTCGACTGCGGCCTGGCGCGGTGATCATAGGTGCTGGAGACCAGGCAGTATGAGCCTGTAACTGGGCACGCATGAACTCGGTACCTACATTCGCAGAGGCCCGGCAAGGATGGCATTGGGGCGCCGGCGGCATGGCGGGAGAGGGCGCGGAGGCACTCGGCTGAGGCGGGGCTGCCGGCGGCCTATTTGTGGAGACAGGTGCGGCTGGCGTCGAGGCGCTCGGCGGACGCGCACTCGAAGGGTGCGGCGCCGTCGCCGAGGATGGCGTACAGCGCAGCGTTGTAGGCGTCGACGTGCGTGCCGCTGGTGGTGCACTCGAGGGCCGCCTCGGCGACGCTGGCGGCGCGCTGGAGGCGGGCCTGGTAGCGCGTCGCAGGCATGCTCGGCGGCGGCGACGGCGTGCTGGGGGCGGGCGAAGTTGGCGGCAACACGCGCCACTTGCGCGTCGTGTTAAGTGAAGTCGTGCGGGTAGCACTTGTTCGGCTCGATGTCGTACGTGACGTCCCACAGCCGCCTGCCGCCTGTGTCGTTGATGCCGCTGACGGTGGCGGCGTGTTCGCTCGAGGTTAGCGCCGGGGCACGGTCTCGCCAGACGACAGCGATTCGCGTTCCCACGGGGAGGTCTGGTGGCCGCGCGGGGCGACACGAGGCGGCGGTCGCGCGGGAGATGGCGTCGTGAGCTGCACGCTGGCGGGGGGCGTCTGCGTGCCGACGTCGGTGACGGCGGCTCCGGAAGGCATGCCACGGCGGAGGAGTTGTAGCTCGTCGAGCGGCGTGACGTGGCGGACACGGGCGGTGCCGCCGTTGTCCTTGCGCACCAGATAGACGGAGCCGTCGGTGTCCGGGGCGACGCCGCAGAACATGCCCTCGGTGGCGCGGGGCTTCTCGAGGCTGCCCTTCGGCCCGCGCGACTCCTTCTCTTCGTGGTACATGACGCGTGTGCCAAAGAGGTAGGGCTGTCGGTCCTTGTTGATGATCAGGATCTTGCGAAAGTAGCGCTGGTACCGCGACTCGTTCTGGCCGGCGCACGGCCTGAAGTTCAGCAGGTACTGCGCGTAGCAGCGCGCAGGAAGGAGGAACGAGGTGCCCTTGTAGCACCGCTGGAGCATGCTCTCTGACCATCAGCGTGCGGCTCACCGCCGCTACCATGTGACGGCGGAGTTGACGGCTCCGACGGTCGTAGCGCTAGCGGCGTGGCTGAGGGCGGCGGCGTGGAGGCGCCCGAGGGCGCGGCGCGGCTGGTCTCATGGGTCTAGACCATCTACAGATGGGAGGTAGAATGTCTACCTACCGCACAAACCCTAACTTAACCCTAGCTCGGTGCTAACCCTACCGTAACCCGAGCACCTCTTCCTCCGGGAACCCTAACCCTAACCGCACCCCACCTCGGCTGACCCTACCTGGCCATCCCTCCGCCGTTCCGAGCAGTGCTTGCACTAGCGTAACTTGGCTCGCCGGAGGCGATCGCATGTGGCGGCGGCGATGAGAGAGAAACTCCGCCCCCTCCCCCGCCCTCTCCGCGGGATAAGTGGCAATTTTGCCCCGAATGGGTGTTGTTTTTGCCCAAACACATTCATATCCATTCTCTTGCATTCTTATCCATTCTTCACATGCACATGCATTCGCAGTCGCGTGTCAGCATTCAGCAAGATTCATCGTCATTCAAGACGTTGACACTCATACAGCACCATTCGCCTAACATTCAGTGCTTGTGTACATTCACCCCTACATGCATTCATGGTAGTGTGTATTCACGTCGAGCCTGACCAAGGTCGAGAAGAGGCTTTTCCAGACCGCCAAGCGTTTCGGGACAACTAGCTCGGGGGTGATGAAGGCGGCGCAAGAGAATGCTGTCAAGGCTGGCAGTGTCATCCTCGACGGGGGTGGAGTCGAAGGCGGCCGCCCCGCCGCATCGCACACACAGCGTCAGCACAGCTGTGCGCCCTCAACACATTCATCAGTATTCCCTTCTATTTCACTCAAGTCTTTGCTCTACGCGACCATTGGCATGCATTCGATTGCATACACAAGACGGCTGCATTCACAACACATTCGAGCCATTCAAGCCATTCACTCTAGCTGTCATTCAGACGAGGGTCATCCAGACGCATTCAGGGACGAATGTGTTAGAATATACAAGAATGCGACCAACAAGAATGTGCGTGTATGCACGCTACAGGAATAGGGTTGAATGTGATTAAATGGAGGTTCTCCCTGAATGTGTCCCGGCCGAATGCCATGAATGTTCGGCCTGAATGTTCCGTGACCAAATGGCCCGTGATGCCCTCATCGCATGACGTAGAATGCGGAAAAAATGTGAATGTGTCTCGCTCTGTATGTGCCATTTTCGCCGCAGAATAGTGCCGAATAGCGTTGAATGGACTTGAATATACTGAATATGTGTGAATGTGTTTGGGCAAAAACAACACCCATTCGGGGCAAGAAGGCCACCACACCCGCGGGCCTCTCCGCCCCCTCCGACTCCCGCGATTCGGTGAGGCATGTCCATGCCGCGCACCCCACCTGCGTGTGGCCTCGCTGCCAGCATGCGCACGCCATGCCGAGCGGAAACAGACGCTGTGGCAGCAGACGCCGTGCCGACGGGAATCAGACGCCGCGGCCTCTCTAGATGCCGGCGAGCGCCTAGACGGCGAGAAGAGCCGCGACTCAGAGGAAGGGGGGGGGGGGGGCGAGCCTGCCCCGCGGGCTGCCGGAGGGAGGAGAGAGGAGAGGAGGGAGGAGAGGAAGGAGGAGAGGAGGGAGGAGAGGAGGGAGGGAGAGGAGAGGAGGAGAGAGGAGGAGGGAGGAGCGGAGAGAGGTGGGAGGAGGGAGAGGAGAGCAAAGAGGAGGGAGGAGGCATCAGAGGAGAGAGGGGGCAGGAGGGAGGAGAGCGGAGAGTACTCCCCCATCGACTGCCGCGCCTGCTCCTCCAGCGCTCGAATCCATTTACGCAGCTGAACCTAGTTGGAGGGCTCATTGCACGCGTTAGCAACTTTCCAGAAGTGACTGAAGCGCGGAGACGGGGGCAAGTGGGCAACTGCGGGGCGGGGTCGGGGGTCACCGGCTGCACTTCTGGGAACTCACGGCAGACTGGCTTGATGCGATGTTCCCGAGGCCTAGCCAGGGCCAGCTTCACTAGCTTGAACTTGAACTGCAGCGTGTGCGTGATGCGACGGCGGCGCTGCGGCTGCGGCTCCACCTGTGGCCGCTGCGCCTGAACCTCGGCCGCCACGTTCTTCATGCCGCCCTGTTCGCGACGCCGCTTGGTCGTGGTTTGCCGATGCGCCTCCATTCCAGGCCGATTGCCTTGGAGACCAGGCGAAGCACGGTGCCACGGTGCCCAGAGGCGAAGCGTAGCGTGAGCGGCCACTGTTGCTTGGGAAGGTGGAAGTGGGCCGATGTCGGTCACGCCGGGCTGGGTTGAGCCAACCACGAGGCCCTCTCCGCCGCGATCCCCAGCCGCACCATGCTCTCCGGTCATGGGGCCACCAACACCCTCGGACCAACACACTGTGTTTCCTCTCGGAGATTCTCGGGACCGCCCCCCGACGCCGTCACCGAGATGTTCATCCCGGATAAACCTCCCGCGCCTGGCATCCGGCACTGTTTTCTTTCTTTCTTTGGCATCCGGCATCCCGGAAAACCTCCCGCGCCTGTAGATTCGCCGAGCTCATACCTGTGCTGGTCAAACCCTGCGACCGACCAGCTCGACCTCGGCGATGTCCCCCCCTCACTCACCCTGCTGAATGCGACCTTTGACTGCAGAGGGTGGTTGATGCTGGCAACTCTCGAGTTTCCCTGACTGAGTCTGTGAATGAGCTTGCCTGCGGCGAGGGCGGTCGAGCAAGTGCACGAAGCTTAGTCGGCCGGCCTCGCCGTCCTCGCGGGAGTCGCTTAGGCGGCTCCCGTGGTGTACCTGTGTTAGTGCCTGTGCGCGCCAGTCCCGTGCCCAGTCTTGTGCGAGGGAGCTTTGTTGTAAAATTCTTTTGCAAAATGCTTTTTGCTACGCTTGAAAAACACGAGTCTCTCTTCTACGCTTTTTGATCGCTCCTCGCTTCATTGCTGTCGCCTCGCCCTCGCGTCTCCGCCCGTGGGAGTTATAAACAAATAGAGCAGTCGTCTCCAGGAGAGATGGGCGACGCACGAACACAGAGGCACAGTGCGCACCCCGCCCCGCTCGCAGGGCGTGCATCACACAGGCAGGTGTATTCTTTTTTTGCTTGGCCGTACGTCATGCCGGGGTAGGTAGGGTAGGTCTGGGCCCTCCCGTCGGGTTTTTCCCTCTCTTCACGCTGGAATTTTCACAGCAGAAAAAGAAATTTTCCGCGA